ATATTCATTAAAAAATGAATCTAATCTAACTTAAAGTCGGTAAAACAGAACAACGGCATTCCCTTAATTTTTAACATATAAATTTAATGTTATATAATTTAATTTAAATATTTATAAATTTATATGGACATGAATATATAAAATAAATAAATAATATATGATATATTCATATATTAGAATAAAATGTTGTGAAAAATGCATATAAGAGAAGCTATATTTGAAAAATATGTATTATAAAAATTGTTTATTCAACATACAATGCCTTTATTGGTTATTATAGCAGCTGGTTTCCATGTGTGTATATGCATACATATTTAATAGGAAATTACGTGGCACGGTAAATCAATATTTGTCAAATAGGAGCGTATTGACTATTGTTCGTGCATAATGCATATTTCATAAACTTGCAACATGCAGTATGTGATTTTGGAGCGTATAAGTGATATGAATTTATAAGTAAGCGTTTCGTTATAAAATACACGACAGCTTTGTCGTGTCTCATGGGTATCTTTGCCGAGACGCTTATGTGTCACTCGTATGCGGTTTTATTGCAACCTTAGGCGTCGCGTCGTCGGGATGCACCGAAAAAAATCGGTATCTATTTTTTGTCCCAGCTTCTCGTTATAATCCTAATAATTTGGAAATAAAATAAATGAATATTTATTATTTACGTAAAAATTTTAATATATAATAATATCTTAAAATATCTTATTTAAATTGTTATTTGGATCCTTGGACAAATTTTTTAAACCATGTTTTTCATTATTATTATTATATTTATAATTCAAGGTTTATGCAATCGATATATGCATATATATATATATATATATATATATATATATATATATTTAGAATAATAATTACAATTTTTATTTCACTGTTTAAAACAATTTCTATTATGTATATATTATAAGAAACAGGAGTGTAAATGTGATTCTGAATCGGGAAATCAGATGACTCATACATCCTGTATATATACACATCGGATATTCAAACACGATTAACTCCAACTTCCGATTGAAGTCTATTGTTAAAGCGCGAATCGTTCTCGTCCTCCTTGCATTTTCTTCCTTATAAGCCTGCGCTAACGAGAAACAAGTGGAGCAGATCAATAAATTTCAAGATGTCCTCAAGAACAAAAAGAAGGGAACACTCGCGATTAAAGTCTGTCCCAAGTCGTCCCTTCTATAGTTTGGTTCTTCTTCCTAAAAACGTCAATGAGTGAAAGTTTAGGTGAAGTTAAAACCAAATAATTTTCTATTTCATTGAAAATTGTCTTTATATGCCTCTAAATTTTATTTTATTTTATTTATGAATTATTCGGAAAATTAATTTTTCTCTTTGACATTTGCGGTCTTTTTTCCAAGTTTTGTTCTCACGAGACGCTTTCAGGGAGCGAAATAATTTTCTATTTTATTGAAAATTGCACGTCTTTATATACCTTTATAAATTCAATTAATTTTATTTATTAATTATTCGGAAAATTAATCTTTCTCTTTGACATTTGCGGTCTTTTTTCTAAGTTTTGTTATCACGAGACTCTTTTAGGGAACGACATAATTTTCTAATTTATTGAAAATTGCACGTCTTTATATGTCTCTATAAATTTAATTAATTTTCTTATTTGTATTTATTAATTAATTTTATTTATTAATTATTCGGAAAATTATATAATTTTTCTCTTTGACATTTGCGGTCTTTTCACCAAGTTTGTCATCACAGGACGCTTTCAGGGATCGGAGTTCACTCTGCTCAGGGTCATCGGCTTGACCCACGGTGCGGTGGTTGTATATGCATACGAGTAGCATCCACAAATTCTCCCATTGGCCATGAGCCAGCGTGTGTGACTCACCGCCTCTAGAAAACCCCCGCAAGTTTATGTACCCTTCAATGTTTGTTCGTTTCGCGCGCTTCAGTTCGGCGCGATCTTCATCGGGGAATAGACAGAGGAAACTCTCCGCATGTGCGTTTATATCCGTGAAATCTGTCGTATCATTTTTGTTGCTGTTCGTTTTTTTTGTTTTAATTTGAAATTTTGCCTCGCGATTCTCGGTGGAAGAGTATTATCGCACTTCGTGGATAAATATCGTCCGAATTAGAGGCAAAATTAAAAAATCGTCCACCATGACAGCTAATAGGGGTAAGATTCTATATGAGAGAACTGATAATTTTTTAAATTAAATTGTTAAAGTTTTTTATAATTTTTTAAATAAAAATAGCATAGCTCGAATACGAAAGTTTTCTAAACTTTTATAAATTCTACACTGAGAAAGAAAAATGTGTTAACTTTGATTAATAAAGCTTTCAACTAAATATTATTTTGTTAATTGAACATATAAAAGTATTTAAATTAAATGTAATTTATAGTCAAGTTAACGAATTTTTTTCAATATATTATTACGTTAATTTATATTATATGTTTTAAATTATTCTCGCGGAAGCTTAAAGTGCGAGGAAGAACTTACAAGTAAATTTATTGCATAATATAAAATTCTAATAATATAAAATAAAAATTCTATAATAATATAAAATTCATAAGATAGAAGAGAAGAATAATTTATATATTGTATAATAAAATTAATTAATATAATAAAATTATAAACACTGAAAAAATAATTTATTAACTTTTGACTAAACCTCTCAACTAAATATTATTTTATTAATTGAACATATAAAAATATTTAAATTAAATATAATATATTAAATCTAACAAAACATATATTTGACTTAAATACTAATATATTCAATTAACAAAATAATAATGTATTTGAAAGGTTTAGTCAAGTTAACAAATTTTTCTTTAGTGTATAATAAAATTACTTTTTGGGGGAGACATATTATATTAAAAAATATTTTTTTGAAATATATAAATTTTAAAAAATTTGCAAAATTAAAAATAAATAATTGTTCTGATTATTTTCAATCGACATCAACCCGACGACTCCGAACTCGTCGCATCCTCTTCGGGATGCGGAAAATGTAATTGGAAAGTGAACTATTATCTCGCTTCAAGAATATAAGTCGATTCCCTTTTACAGGTGAACCGGCAAAAAGACCGCAAAGAGAAAATCGAGGGGGGTTGCGCGAAAGAGAGACTTGGCAAGGGAGATCGATATAAGTCGAGTAGAGAGAGCACATGCACGACTCCGACGACGACGACGACGACAACGACGACGACGGAGGCACATGCCGGGAAAACATTCGGCAAGAGAGAGGATTTCCCCGTATTGATTTTCTCTCTCGAGTCCCTTTCTCTCTCGGCTGGTCGCCGCGGACGCTCGTTCTCGCTCGTTCGTTCGTTTATTTCTGCCTGCCGTTAAGGATATCGATTTTTGACAGCTGCTCTCTGCGAAACGCTCACCGCGCACATATATATATATACATATATACGTACATATATATCTATAGATATATGTACACCCCTGTGGCAAACGCCATACGTATACGTACGTACGGTACGTGCTGTAGGAAGGGTTGGTTCCTCCCCGAGTTGTCTCTTTCTCCATTCTATCTGTATCTACATATATACGTATATATAGATTTCTCTCTCCCTCTTTGCACGCAACGTGGCATCGTACGCACTCATGCGAATTTTGCTTTCCAGTAAAATCGGACTTCATACAGTGAACTTCCGATTATTTGCTACCGATGAGTTGTTTGGTGTCCCCCAGTTCGTCGAATTCTCTCAATAGTTGCTTAATAGTTGTTCGATAGTTGCTTAATACACTCACCGCAACAGATTCTTATAATTTAACTTGATTCACGATTAGTTATTTTATTTTACTGATGAGAAGTTGTTTGGTGTCCCCCAGTTCGCCGAATTTTCGATAGTTGCTTAATAGTTGTTGCTTAACAGTTGTTTGATAGTTGCTTAATATACTCGCTGCAACAGATTTGTTATAATTTAACTTGGTTCACGACTAGTTATTTTATTTTACTGATGATGAGTTGTTTGGTGTTCCCCAGTTCGCCGAATTCTCGATAGTTGCTTAATAGTTGTTGATAGTTGTTTGATAGTTGCTTAATACACTCACCGCAACAGATTTCTTATAATTTAACTTGGTTCACGACTAGTTATTTTATTTTACTGATGATGAGTTATTTAGTGTCCCCCAGTTCGCCGAATTCTCTCGATTGCTGAATAGTTGTTTGATAGTTGCTTAACAGTTGTTTGATAGTTGCTTAATATACTCGCCGCAACAAATTTTTTATAATTTAACTTAGTCCACGACTAGTTATTTTATTTTACTGATTTTGTATAATAATTATTTGGTGCCTCTGGTTCGCATTTATTCCTGTGACAATTATTCTCTGATTCTCTTCTCGGGAGAGCAAACAAGATTCTTCAATATACGATTATATAGTGTCTTTGATTCGCAATTATTCGCGAGCAAACAAGATTCTCCGGTTCGTTGGACTCTATTAGCGACGATGATACTCATTCTATTAGCAAGATCGGATGCTCTGGAAGATCATTGGACGGAAAACTAGCGAAAGTATATGATGAACCGTAGATAATTTGTTAGCAGATAAGTTGTTGCATAAATCGGTGAGAAATCGCAGCAATAAATATTTGAAAAACATGATTAAATGTATAGATGTCTATACATGTATGATACATACAAATTATCATCACTAATATAATCAAATAAAATCCAAATTGAATGATAAATTGAACATTTTCTTGTGAACTCTTAAGTGCAAGCAGTAAAAAAAACTTATCCTCTATATTAAATTTTAAATTAATTTTCCTAGATTTAAAGATTAGCTATGCAAGATACTTGATGTGGAAAAATTACCAATTGATGTCCTACGATATTTTCACTAGGGAAAGATGAAAGGTTCATGGAACATCCTCGTACAAAGTCGATAAGTCCTTCTGTACAAAGTCGATAAGATTATGCATATGTCCATAAACTGAATTCAATGTTCGTTGGGAAGCGATATAACGCGATAAAGCATTGAACTCTCGCTTTACTCTCTCTACTATTTGCTTTCAGGTACGGATGATGGAGGAGCGGCTGGTGAAGGGTGAATACTGCCTGAGCACATCCGGTGTTGGTTCTCCACCGCATTCGCTGCCGTCGACCTCCGGTACGCAGAATGACAAGATCGAGGATGCCCATTGCGCCTGCATCTCGAAGCTAGAGACCCAGGTCGAGGAGCAGGTATAAAGCTTTCTCTAGCAGTCTATCGCAGGAAGGACTCCGCGCCAAACATATATATAGGATTTTGGCTGTTCTTTTTTTTCGTATGTTGTAACTTATAACTTGCTGAACAAAAGATGTAATAGCTTCAAAGCTAAATATTCGATAGTTACTGAGTTACAATCACTCAAATGCCTAATTTTTCGTGTTTGATTAACTGCAAATCAGTAACCATCTATTAAGCTTCGAGCCTATTTATTCAGCAAGTCAAAGTTACAACAGGTGAGAAAATCAGCTAATTTTACAGGGATCAGCTGGTTTTCTCATATGTTGTAGCTTATAATCCGTTGAGCAAAAAAAATGTAATAGGCTCAAAACTATTACATCTTTTATTCAGCAGGGTATAAACTACAAAAAATGAAAAAAATAGCCAATTCCAACAAAATTCTATGTATTTGACGCGGGGTCTTTTACGCATTTTCGAATAATTTAAATATACGAAAAAATACTTCAAACTCATCTCATAATTTAAAACATTAAGTGTATTCCTCAGCAATTGCAATTTTATCATGGAATTTAATAGATTTGATCATTTTATTGCTGAAATAGGTGATTATCTGATGATCATATTTATCTAATAATATTTATTTCTAAACGTATCACTTCTAGTTAGTCAAAGATTATTATTTGATTCAGCCACTTCTTTCCTTGATTTTTCTAGATTATCTGTAATCTCTGACGATTGCTCGTATGATATCTCGAGTGATATCAGGCTGTGTGTCATTTTATCGTGTTGTCATCATTGTTCATTCACAGAGGCAGTTGCGGCTTCAGGACGCCAGGCAAGTGGAAGCAAAAGCAGCGAGGATAAAGGAATGGGTCACTAATAAGCTGAGAGAACTGGAACAGCAGAATCAACACCTGAGAGAGCAGAATAATAAATGCAACCAGCAGCTTGAACTATTGCGCAATCATATAACCAATATCGGACTCAAACCCCCCGTAAGTTTTGTGTCCAGAGTAATAATTTATTTAGAAAGAAAATAATTTAAGAAGATAATAATTTATTTAGAAAGAAAAAATATATATTATCTACTGGATTCTTATTGAGAAATTTCGTAAACGCAGGCACCAACGAGAGCGTCGCTGTCCCTGGAAGTGGACAACCCCTTACGCATTGATCGTCGACGATCGGAGAGCCTTGAGGGTACCCCGCAGACGGTGCCCGAGTGCGTGCAGACTATCGTGGTGGAGCCGCAAAGCACGAGCACGAAGCACCGAAGACACTTGTCTGCTTGCGGCACCATTCAACGAGGAGTCGTTGCCGCTAACATGGATTCGAGGTAAAGCTTCCTCTCCGTAGAATTAATTCCGATTTACGAAGCTGAAAATCCTTTTTGAATCTCACACTAAACGTACTCGGCTCTCAATTCTCCTTGGGAGGCCTCACGACGTAATAGCGGCGCCCGAGTTTTCGAAATGTGGTACCCTGTAACGTCCTGGGACTTCCTGAGGGGATCCGTCGACCCTCCTCTTATCATCTTTTTCGTTGTCACATGTATCTCTCTTGGTTCTCTCTCTCATAAATTTATTATACTTCTTTTTATTCTACATATACGACTCTTATTTTTCCTTTGAAGGTTGATTTCTTAAATTTCTCTATCCCTAATTTAAAAGAACGATCAAATGGATTTTAAAGAGCCGCACACACACAATCGCAATAACACCAAGTATACAAAGAGCAATTGAATTGATTCTGTGCTTTATACTTGCCGCTTCTCTCTATCCTTCCTTAGTCTGCTGTCCGAGGAGTTGGCCGCCGCGGTGGAGAATCTGGTGATGCTGCCGAATATGTCCGGCGTCTCGGAGGCGAGCAGAGACAGCGGAAGCTCGGAAGCGGTGCACGACTACGCGGAGATATACACGCCCAGTCGGGAGGGTATGAACTGGCTGCAGGGGAGCGGACAAGGTCCTCGTCCGCCGACCCCGCCGTTGCACAGGTTTCCCAGCTGGGAGGCCAAAATATATCAGGTAGCGACGACAAGTCGAAAATTGCGTGAAGTATTTATTTACATTAACTAGAATCTTGAGATAAAATTCTTAGGTACAGGGGGTGTCCTATAGGAAATTGTTGAAACTAATCAGCTGTCATTTTTTAATGCCTGCAGTTATTGAGAAAACAAAAATTGTGTTGAAAAGAGGAAAGTCTACAGTTTTTAATAGATATAAATAAAATGTTTGTATACCAGTTTATTTTATTGAAAAAAGAAAAAGTGCTAAAAAAAATGACAGCTGATTGGTTTCAGCAATTTCTTATGGGACACCATGTATACATATAAATCTGATTTTATTAATTGGATAAATTAATTTTATTTGTTTATAGGTGGCGGACGGTGGCCTTGGCATCGGTCCGCCGACGAACGAGGAGTCGGCACCTTCTACGATGAACACCAGCTCGTCGAAGCATTCCCAAGCCACGGGACACAACTTGACGGCACACAATTCTCAAGGCTACTGCGATATTTCCGTTCCAGTATACGCCACAGTCAAAGGTAAAGATACTACTTGCTCGACGTAAAAAGCAAAATTTGCAGGAAATGTTAGAGACGACCAAAATTGCACTTAATGATTTAATTAATGGTTGACTTTATAAATTGCGATTTGTACATAAATTTACCATCATATTGTTTGTTCAGGACGTGCCAGTCAGATCAGATCCATGCCTTTTGGCGACAGCTCCGACGATAGCTCGGACGGCGAGGAACATCCAAATCAAACCGAGACAAATACCAGAATCACCAACAGCTCGTCCGACAATACGGATTCCTCCCTCGGTAGTGGGAGCAGCCCCTCAAAAAGCATCAAAACCACCAGTAGTCTGAGTCCCGCGAAAAGAAGTTCCAGTGGGTCTCCTAGTAAAAGCGTAAAACGTGGTGAGTTTAATTAACATTGCTTCTATGCATTCATTTTATGATAAGATAAATAGCCCTTACATCTTATCGCCTATATATGATAACTTATATGTAATGAAGTTTATCGACATTTTTAAGGCTTATTCTATTTATTTTATACATTATGAGAGAAAAATATTCAAGGCGAGAAAAATTTTTTGTTTAAATAAATCATAATAAAATAATATTGTTTGCACTTTGTGATGTGTATCTATAATTAATATTTTGATCGGAAAGATAATTTTTAAAATCAAGCTTTCAAAAAAAGAGGAGAATATTTAGTTTCATTATATTTGACATCCGACAACTTTAAGTCTGTTCGATTTGCAGATACTTCTCTCGAGTCAGGATTATCTGAAGATTATGCGATACCTCCTGATGCGCTCAGTTCGACGTCTTTGGAATCCAGTATGCCTAGCTTGCTGATGCGCGTTTCCGGCGAAAGTCCAAAGAGACAGGAATCGCTGGAGAAGACGGGTCATTTGGCAAAGTTGGGTGGCAAATTAAAAACTTGGCGAAAACGATGGTTCGTGTTGAAAAATGGCGTGTTGACCTATTGGAAGAGCCAGAATGATGTCAATCGAAAACCGCAAGGCCAAATAATTTTGGATGAAGTGTGCAGGTATTTATATGTAATCTAAAATAGAATTTATTCATGTAAATTACTAGTTAAATTGCTATATATATAATCAAATACATATTTAATATTTAATTCTCACTAGAAACTAGAAGCAATTTCATATATTTTGTATATTTTCAGGATCAACAGAGCTGAAGGTGCCGCTACTTTTGAAATAGCCACTGGTAAGAAGACATATTACTTGACTGCGGATTGCATTGCCACGATGGAAGATTGGATAAGGGTACTACAGAACGTACAAAGGAGAAACGCAACGAAACTCTTGCTTAGCAAGGAGGACAACAAACCAACGATACAAGGCTGGTTAACCAAAGTAAAAAATGGCCATGCTAAAAAATGTTGGTGCGTTCTCATCGGCAAGATGTTCCTTTACTTTAAGTGTCCAAGTGATACGGTGAGTATATATTTTTCGTACAAACTATTACATCAATTTATATATTTAAATTCATCATTACTAAAATTATTATAGTTATTTATATAGTTTTCTGATCAATAAACTTGCTTATTCGATAATAATATGATTCATTATTAATGAATAATAAATTTTCTGAACTGATATTATATTATATATTATTATTATTATATATTATTATTATATTATTATATTATATTATATATCATGTCACACTCTCTTATATTGTCTTATATATTCAATCTATCTTTGGCGCGATTCTAGAATCCTATCGGCCAAATCAACATGAGGGATGCTCGAGTAGAGGAGGTGGAACATGTGTCGGATAGCGATAGCGAGGAGAGGGACGCCGAATGCCCGCACGAGAGAACGATCGGCATCTTTCCGACACATCAGGGTCCGACGTATCTATTGATGCCGCATAAGCAGGACAAGGACAACTGGCTCTACCATTTGACGGTGGTGTCTGGCGGCGGACCGAGTGCGGGTACGCAGTACGAGCAACTGGTGCAAAGACTAATGGAAACCGATGGTGATCCCAGTTGCGTTCTGTGGCGGCATCCTCTGCTGTTGCACACAAAAGAGAGCATTACTAGTCCGCTGACCAGCCTGACCTCCGAATCTCTGCAAACTGAAGCCATAAAGCTCTTCAAGGTTGACACGATCTCTTATTATCGATTCTTTCTCCATTTTTTCATTTGCAATTTATACGAAATTTTTTTGCATAATCGAATTGAATGTTTTAATTGCTTTAAATATTTTTATTATTTACTTGTAAAGCTATAGTTCTTCTATATGTGTAATTTTTTTTCTGTTTGTTCTCAAAATATAGATATATTTATTTCATTTGAAAAGTTTTATGAAGTTTATATAAATTTTTAAATTAAGTTTTCGGGTAACATAAATCTCATTACTTTCAATTATTAACAAGATTTTTTAATAAGATCTGTTCTTTTTTTAGCTATAATTTTATAATCTAAATATATATTGATTTGATTGTTTATTAATCTAGAAAGAGTGTAAAAGATGTAGCTAAAGAGAACAGATGTATCATTAAAATAATCTTACGCACTTTTAATCGTCACAGGCCTGTCAACTATTTATGTCGGTGGCAGTAGAGCAAGCAGGTATCGACTACCATGTGGTTCTAGCGCAAAACGCGTTACAGCAATGCCTAGATCAGCCTGAACTTCAATCTGAATTTATATGCGCACTGGTAAAGCAGACAAGTCGTCACACGCAACACCGTTTGGGCGTACAGGTAAAAAAGGCCGCCAGACTTGTGTCACTGGGTACTGCGCGCGTTGTAAGTCCTGCTTATTGTTTAACAAAAAAACACTCAACCATCCTGTACCATTTTTTCAAAGTTAGAGCGATACCCATCGATCATTCGTTTATCAAAACTCGGATGGATCTCATCTATACCATCTCATCACTTCACGTTCCGATGATGATATCATGTTCATTCGAGAATAATATTTTCAAAGCGGAAAATGGTACATTGAATATGCTTAGTCAAGTATTATGATTTATATTTTTATTCTCATAAAAATTATATTAGTATTAATTTATATTCTTATTATTTGTTTTTAATATTTCATTATTATTTATTCATTTATAATTATTAAATAATTTATAATTAGTTATATACTTATTAATTTAATTTTTAATTAAATGTTCTATAAGTTTTAATTTTTCTTTTGAAAGTTGATCGTACAACAATTGTTTAAGCCGATAATAATACTTAAACTGATAAAAATATACCGCTATAATAATACTTGACCAAGTTCAACGACTATTTTTAATTTTAACAATCAACACATTTAATTCTCATTTGCCGCTTTAAGTGTGCTGTCACTTTCTTAGGCTCTCACTTTACCATCGCATGCATTTATCGATTCTATTATATATATATATATACATATATATATATATATATATATATATATATATCACGATGGTGTTAAGTTTTTCCGTTTACTTTTTATCATATACTTTAATATTTATACATCATATACCCAATCAAGTCACCCTAACGCCCATCATGTGAGCCGAACATATTTCGACGATTAATCATGATAATATTTATTACAATCAACATAGATGTTTATCGATCATCTCTGTTAATCCTTGCGTACAGAGAACAGAATATTACTCACTTCTACCGTCAAATATATATGAGATCCGTCAAAATACGTTTCGCGCCACACACACACTTGCAGAATGGTATGTTGGTGTACATGAGGACACACACAGAAAACATTTTTTAAATTCCTTTTTTTCCAATTTTTCATGAGTTCCTTTTTGCAATAGTTGCAATAGTTATTTGGATATTCTCTGTTTGAATGCTGCTTAGAGATTTAGATTCTTATCAACGGAATAGATTATTCTAACAAGAATGAAATTTCTAAATCCTTTACCTTCCTACAATACGAATATCTAAGAAATATCGCAAAGATGTCTAGAAAGACGCTTCAGATCTTAAAGACTCGTCTTTTAAATATGTTAGAAATATCTTTTGGATTTTTGTATTGTATTTCGATCTTTCTCTTTTCCTTTCTCTCTCTCTTTCCTCTCTTCTTTTATACTTATCCCTTTGCCCAAAATTACTGGAAAAAAACATGGACATGGACATGTTGTCACGAATATTGCATCGCTGGACGCAAAATTATGGGAAAAAGTGCCTCACTCGTCTCACATAACGTCAATAAATGTAAACGCAACGCTTTACATTTGGTGCGGTTGATTCACGTGGCCTAAAAGCATAAGAGCTTTTTTTCATTCACATTCTTGCGATTTTGAAGGGTTTATATCGAGTTTATACGCGTTTTATTCAATTAACAGAGGTTGTGCGTTGAAATTTCGATTTCTCGTGCTTATCTACTAACCGAAACATGATTAAAAATCTACTTCCTAGTTTGAGTTTATAATATAAAAGAAGAGAGATCTATATTTTTTTCCATATGAAAAAATCAGTTTAAATTCAGGGATATTAATAGAGATTCTCATTCTCCAAAATGATAGTTTTAATTTTTATATTAAGAGAATAATTTAGAATTTTTTTTCCTTCTGCTTATTTTAATTATTATTATTAGCGAGAATAATTTCTCAAGAAGAATCAAATATCACGAATCATTTTTTTTCTACTCCACATGCACGGCAAAAAATGAAAAATCCATCTTACAACAAAGAATTTGAGAAAATAAAATTTAAATAGATTTTTTCAAGTTCTTAAAGCCGCAAAGCCACTGTTGCACGCGAATCTTTTATTTAAAAAGATATTATTCGTTTAATGTGCTTGTGCTTGTTTAAATATATTACATTTAATTACTATATTTAAATTAAATTAATATTATAATTATAAAATTTAATAGTGACAAAAATATAATAAAATGTCAAACATTTTTGAATATATATATATATACATATGGAGAATGAACATCTATTTACAAAATATAAAACGGTAAAAAAAAGATATATCTGAAGTTGTTTCGCCAATCGTGATCAAGTAAAACGTTAACGCGTTTACCTTTTGGACGAGGATGAAAAAGTAGTGTAAAAGCTATAGGATTGGCTGAATATGTATAATATTCAGGGACGTAGTAGTATGCCAGCATACCATTACAGCAACTCCTCCTCTGCGCCACGCAATCGCTCTTCACCTGCGATACGCAAAGTCCCGCGGCAAATGGCAGCGGTGAAAATGCGGACGCGCAATCAACGGCCTCGACTTCTCACAGTCCTCCGCTCACGCAGGGCCACTCGACCTCCACTATCTTGGACTGCAAAACTAATCCCGCCCAGTACGTGCTTATCCAGGGATGGCAGCTCCTGGCCCTCGCCGTCTCTCTCTTCCTACCCAGGAACAATCGGCTACTCTGGTACCTGAAACTGCACCTGCAGAGAAACGCCGACAGCAAGTGAGTCGGGGAAAGCTGATCCTCAAGGATGCGATCATTGCGAACAGAGATGAAAGAGACCAATTTTATTTACTGCACACTTTCTGATTTATTATCTTATTTTAGATCTATTGTTTCTTAAGTTTATCGTATGTAAATGAAAATCATAATAATCGTGGGACACTATGGTAATATTGGAAGAATTTTATAAGAATTTCTCTGGTTAAATACTTGTTACAATAAAAAATATTAATATCTAACACAATAAAATATGTTCGATTAATTTTACTGTGTACATATTAATATTTTTTATTGTGGTAAATGTTAATCAGATAAACTTACAAAATTCTTCTCTTATAAAGATATTAATATTGTTTTTAAGTTTATTGTATGTAAATTTAATGAGGAAAGCAATCTTAAACTTCTCCATCATTCTAAAGGCCTGAGAGATAAGGCAGAGTTAGCCTTCGTTCATTTCTTTTCTGTGCAAATATATATATAATTACTTAGCTCAAAACTTTCAGAAAAATTCAATATTTGCTATGCTAATTTTGTTCACTAAATAGAATCCACTATGACAAATTCTGTATTAACAAGTTTTAGAAATTCATCTCTTCTGCAATGACCGATTATTACAATGACTCTACTTTAACACTATTTTATCCTATATTATTATCTTACATTATCTGACACATCCTATATATTGTGTTATGCTAGAACGGAATGCGGCAAATACGCGGCTTACTGCGAGCGAGCCTTGGAGAGAACGTTGCAGAACGGTGGTAGAGAGGTGAAACCCTCGAGGATGGAAGTGCTGTCGATACTAATGAAGAATCCGTACCATCATTCATTGCCGCATGCCATACCGGTTCACTTCCTCAACGGCACCTATCAAGTCGTGAGCTTCGACGGTAGTACGACAATAGAGGAATTTCTCACCACCCTTAATCAGGAAATCGGCTGCAGGGATGTTCATCAGTCTGGCTTCACCCTATTCAGCGATGATCCGATCGAAAAGGATCTCGAGCATTTCATTGACCTGCAAGCAAAGGTTCATAAAAAATATATATAAATCACTATTGGCTTTTCCCCCATATGTTATAGCTTATATTCAGCTGAAGATGTAATAGCCTCAAAGCTAAATATTAGTTACTGACAATGAGTTATAGTCTATTAAACAACTCGTAGAGCCCAAGCTTTTTGTATTTGACTGGCTATAAATTAGTAACTACCATTTATTATTTAGTTTTGAGCTTATTACATTTTTTGTTCAGCGGATCATAAGTTACAACATATGAGAAAACCAGCTGATCTTACCAAGATTTAATTTTATATATTTAGTACAGGATTTTTGAAGCTATTTAAAATTCTAGATGAAGTTGAATCTCGATAAAATCAGCTGATTTTCTCATATGTTGTAACTTATGACTTGCTGAACAAAAAATGTAATAGGCTCAAAGCAAAATAATAGATGAATTACTGATTTACAGCCAGTCAAACGTGAAAAATTAGGACTTTGCGGGTTGTTTGACTGACTGTAACTCGGTAACTATTGAATTGAAGCTATTACAACATTTGAAAAAACCAGCCACTTCCATTGGAATCCAAAATCTTATGTATTTGGTGCAGAGTCCTTTTGTATACTCTAGCTTTCTTTATTTAAACCTGTAAAATAATTCATAATTTTTTTAGCAGAATGTAAAAGCTTTGCTGTTTTATTGCATTGATTGCAGTGCAACTTTAAGATTCGAACTTATGTTTCAGCTGTGCGATATTATCTCAAAGTGGGAGACTGCGTTACGAGAAAAAGGCTCAGGAAAGTTCGAAAATACTCGAGTGATACAATTAACGTACAAATCGCGTTGCTACTGGCGGCAAGCTGCTAAAATGGAAACTGACAAGGAGAGGCTCTTGTTGTGTTATCAAGTGAATCAACAAGTTGTACAAGGAAAGTTTCCGCTAAATCGCGAACTCGCCTTCGAATTGGCATCGTTAATGGCACAGGTACAATTATATTAAATATATAATTATAAATTATATTATATTCTAAATTATGTATATATAATATATATAATATATATAATATAATTATATATATATTATAAATAATATTATTATATATTATAAATTAATTATAATCAATGTGAAAAATACACTTTATATAAAATTATATGAAATATATTTTATATAAAATTTTATCATAAATATACTTTATTGTACTGAGATAATTTAACCAAGTTCGTACGATTTCATTGAATCCATTAATTTTGTAGATCGACTTTGGAGAATACAACAACGACAAAGCACGTGGCAGCGGTCCCGGAAGCAATCCGCATCATCTCGTACTCCAAGCCTTGGATAAATTTTATCCGATACGCTATCGGTCCAACATCACCGCCGATCAATTGAGGTGAATAATCGGCAACTCGACTGACTATTGGATACATTCATTTAAATAGCGTATTGTGTAGTTTTCGTATTGTTAATCTTCGTTCGATTTTTCTTCCGTTAGGGAGTTGCAGGAGAAATTGCAGGATAAGTGGATCGGTTTGAAAGGACGTAGCGTATTGGACTGCGTTCGTATATATCTCACGTGTACCAGAAAGTGGCCTTTTTTCGGAGCTACCCTGTACCAAGCAAAGGTATAATAAGGCAGTTAGAGATCATTTTCTATACATAAGTATAGAAACAATTTTGTATACATATAATAATAATAGATTTTATATAATTATACACGGAGAGAATTTTCTCTTAGAATTTACCCTGAAAATCATGGTAATCGTAGGATAATATGGTGTTGGAAGAATTTTATAAGAGTTTCTCTGATTAATATTTATCACAATAAAAAATATTAATAGATACATAGTAAATTTTACTATGTACATAGTAAAATTAATCGAGTAGATTTTATATCTTATTGTGGTAGATATTAATATTTTTATTGTGTATAAATATTAATCAGTAAAACTTATAAAATTCTTCCAATACCATATTGTCCCACGATTATCATGATTTTCAGAGTAAATTCTAAGAGAAACTTTTTTCTGTGTATGTGTGATTTAATATTTTACTCTAAAATAATTTTTTCAGTTGAAACAAACCGAGCCCGTGACTGTTTGGATAGCGGTTTGCGAGGACAGTGTGACGTTACTCGAGTTGCAAACAATGGCGGTGGTGTGCCGTTATAATTATGCAAACATAGTGACGTTTGGTGGCTGTTTAGACGATTTTATGCTTGTTGCTTGTCCGGACGAGGGTGCGGCCGAACAGAAACTGCTGTTCGCGCTCTCTAAACCCAAGGTGAGTATATCATATAACAGTGCGGAGAGTTTAGTAGTTTAGAAAGATATTTTATCTTCTTCAATTTTATTCACGGCATCGTAATTGTTTCAGATTTTGGAGATAACGTTGCTGATTGCCGATTATATGAACGCACTAGGTCATGCATTACCTGGCACTCCACAAATGAATACTCTAACCCGCAATGGGTCACATCGATCCATTAAATCCACTATGAGACCTGCGACTGGTTGGTGAAAGAGAAACCTTTGTTTTTTCTTAATGTTTTACAAGACATGTTACAAATTAATTATATAACTTTAATATTTTATATTGAAAAGCTTCAAAAATAAAAAGAAAAATATTTGTACAACCTAACTTTATATGGAATGGCTATTTTTTTGAATTATAAATGATGAAGGTGGTCGATTTTTTTAAATTAATTTCTTTAGATGTAAATAAATCAAAATATATGAAGCTAACCGAGTTTTAACTTTTTTTTGTTTAATAAAAAAGTAGCATTTTATGAACTAATTGATTAATATTTTACGGGAACAGTGCTTAATGAACTTAATTTTTACAGGTTCAAGCTGTCTTCCAACTCAACCTGATATATTGAAATCGACGCCAGATCACCAAAGACCTTAATAAAAAGGCTGGTCGTGTTTTGAGAAGGACTATGGGAATATATATTTCTTGAATGTGTGCGGATGTGTCTGATGCATATTTTGTCGTTTGTATTATATAAAGGCAGCGTAAAAAGTGCAGTATTAGTATCATACATGCGTGAAGCGCATCGTTTTTTTTATTTTCTGCGAAGCGTAATCGCAGTCACGTTTGAATCATAATTACGTTTACGTCGAATAATGCATGTAAATTAGTATCGAGTATTTCAAATAAGATCGTATTTTAATGTAAATATTTAACGATTAGAACGGCGAAAGAGAGAGCTAACTATGAAGTACAGAATCGTACAGGTGGCTTAAGAAATGTGGTTGAAATAAAAATCGATCTGTAACACTGCCTATAATAATTCGTATGCGCGATATTACACATCGAATAGTTTCATCCCGCGACTAAGTATCACGCTGAGATTTTTACTACCGTATTTATATACCAAAAATTAAAAGCAAAAAAAAAGAGATGCGTAAAATATTACGTAACTAATGACGTACTCACGTATCACGTGTATATATATACATACATATATATATATTAATCAAAGTTACTAAATGTTTAGAGATATATCGAACGACACAGCGATATACGTTTTTTCCCAATTTTATCGAATGATGAAAATATGAAATCATCCTAAAATCGACCTAATTAAGCATACACGTGAGTTTCGTCGCTGTCATATAATTTCCGACAATTTTCTCTAATTTTATTAAATAGTTTTTTTATTTCGTTTTTATTTGTATAATTTCAATTTAATTAAATTTATTTTAATTTATTAAAATAAATTTGTTTTGTTTAATATGCATACAAATTTTAAGTTTGAATTGAGAGTTTAGATTTTTAATTGAGATTGTATATATAAGTTGTAATGAAAAATTTACATTTAATCTTAAAATTTTTAATTTGTATAATTTAATTCTGTCTAAATTCAATTTTGATATATTTAAGTAAATAATTGAAGCCATTGGCGGAAAAAGACACATACGCCAAAACGCTATTTCGATCAAATCAATTTCAAAGTTTTCATTAAACTATTACTTAATGAAAAATAATGCAATTAAAACCAATTTTTTAAAGGTGTGGTAATACATCCTTTAAACTTTCTGAAAACAGAGGTCATAGTTTGAAGATGTTTTTTATAAGTTTTAAAAAATTTATGTGACTTTTATCCATAAATAGGATAAAATCGTAAAAAGTGGTCTTTAATTTAATAAATTTAATTAAATAGAATTAAATTTATTAAATATAATTTAGTAAACAACTTTATATATTGTTTATATAAATATAAAATAATTATATAATATTGTTACATTAGAGAAATAATATGTCCTTTGTATATTATATACATATATATGAAACATACCTGAGTTGATTTAAACGGTTTACAAAAAAAAGTACATAAACTTATGTCCTTTTTCCATTAATGGCCTCAATTTAAAACGAAAAGAGAAAAATGCAGCTTATGTTTTAACAGTTAAAACGTTAGTGCAACATGAATAGATCTAATCTAATAAACGGAACTATTTTACATTCCGTTTATTGACAGAAAAAGAGACTGATTATATACTTTCTCTTATTCTTATCTTTGCATGTCCGTTTCTTTGCTTCTTACATGTGTAAGATCACTCGCGAGAACGAGAGAGAGAGATTGTAATAGACAGAGAAACAAATTTATATATCGTTACATTTTAACATTTGATAACAGCTAGTCTTCGATATTTATTTAAGATATATTTCTCTTTTTCTTTTTTTTTACAAGGACACAAATAAATGTAACATTGGGAATGTAATTTACTATTTAATAATTAACAATTGCGCGTTCTTGCGCATAATACGTGTGCAACATTGTGTATTAAAATATATATGTAACAGTTATAGCATGTTTGTGTGTATATATAAATATAGAGGGAGGAGCAAAAGTTCCGGAATGGCAAAATCTTAGATAATATTTATTTAATAAAAAAATGTTTCAAACAAAAAGAATAGGGTTTAAAAAAACTATTTGGTGATTATATCTGTTTGACCTTGAGATGACCTTGAAAAGTCCGGTCAAAGTCAACATGAAAATGTTCAATAAAACCCCCCTATTTTTTATTCATTTATATTCTTGTAGCTGATGTCGAGACCTTTCCAAAACACTGTAATAAAATATAATAAATAATGAATATTTTCATTAAGCATTTTTTAAGTTGTAAGACTTCGAAATTTATAGTACCACTGATATTTACCACGGAACTTTTGACCCTCCCTGTGTACATATACACATAGAGAAAAAGAGAGAAATTTTGTACTTGCGTTCGACGTGTCCTACGTAACTAGCAAACGTCTTCCTTTTAGCGATTACAAATAAATTACAAGCGCGGCAGAAAAGTAGGGCTTTCGTGCAATACGTACAAGACTTCTACAAGATTTTGTATAATTACCGAGATTATATTACACGATCCTGTCTATTTCCCTGCGAGAAACAACAAAAATGAAGCTGAACAGCGGATCTCAATTCGAAGGACTTCCGTAAGACGTCGAAAGGACATTTCAAAGAAATCAGAATCTTTGCGATCTCCTTTAAAAACCCGATAGGAAAATATTGTCCAAATATTGTACAAGAATTGCATCGCGAAAAAAAAATAATTTCACAATGATTGCATTAAAATGCTTCGCAGTTTTATCAGAATGAAATTTCTAAATGATAATATAGTATTTGCCCAAAAATTGATTTATTCAATTTAGGGTGTAAATGGCGCACAATTATTGCGTTATATTTATTATAATAGATGTGTAATATATTTCATCAAAATTTATAATTTCAAATTGTACATTTTTTTAAGCATACATATATTACTATTTATTTTATTTCATAAAACATTTTAAAAAAATAATGAAACTCAATATTAATCAATTATTAGATAATTTTTTTTCAAATTGTACTGAAATACTATTTAGAATTAAATTGTGCAAATATTTACATATATTTATATATACAACTTTCATCCAGATTTTGTCATACAACTTTTATGAATATTTTCCTATCGGGGAAGATTACTCATAATTGTCTGGGAATGTGGATTAAAATATATATATATATATACCGGCTTCATTTAGCACATTGCGACAACGTTTGTACGGATAATTCGAACCTCGAACCTAACTTGAGAGCAGTACAAAGATATGCAAGAAGAACGAGAGACATTTTGTCCTTAATTTTTTATATATATAATATATAATATATCGTGCGCGAGATATCAAATGTTGCGCGGGTGATTAGCACCCATGGTATCATGTGAAATGTAGTTGAAAGAAATCGTATTAGAGATATACGCTCATTCGTATGTAAATATATATCATAAAAAATGGACTTGCGTTTCGAAAAATTAGTAGAATCAAAATAGACAGCTAGTAATTTACACAATCGAGCTCTATCTGGATCGCATTCTACCGGAGCCTATCTCATCATACTTACGTCACACATTTATATTTATTATTTATTCATATGCGGAAAGAAGGTATGGAGCGAAACATGGAAAACATTGTGTACTATTGTACAAGAGAACAAATAAACTGCACATATTAATACAAGCGTATTTTTTCGTCTCACTTGGAAGAGAAATTAAACTGATGAAATAGAGGAATAGAATATCTTTATAAAGGAAATTTCGTTGATAATTTTAAAATGCGGAACTTGTTATCGTAAGAAATGAGAAAAGCCACCATAACAATTTTCAGCGGCATGTATTTCTCAAGATTTATGATAATTTGTGTACACGTTTTATGAGATTTACTTTTTGGTTTATTTTTCAGTCTGTTTCGCAAAATCGTGAGAGAAGTTTGAACGATATGATATTCATCCTGCGATAGAAATTGTGGACACTTCAGTCTACCTCTTCTGGTCTCACAGGATGTGTCAACGGAATCACAGATTTCTTCTTCACGTCTCTCGACAGCGCTTTTCTCATGTCTAAAAATATACCATCCCTATTAATATCATATATCAAATATATATTTATATACTTTCATATAAATAATATATATATATATATATCTTAGATTCCTCAAAATAAATTTACCATATGCGTCTTCATCTGGATCCCCATTATAGTATTCTAATACAGTCCTGTATACAATGTATCCCAATTGTTGATACATTGTAATTGCAACTTTATTGCTCACTCTAACAAAGAGGTCCACGAAATACGCCTGTTTCCTAATTTGCAGAAAAAAAACATTGACAAAAATTAAGGATAATGCTGAGTCTTCTTTTATCTAGAATTAAATTGTTGCTCACTTCTCCGATACTTCCTCAAGAAACTTCATCAGCATCGCAGCTAGACCTAATCTTCTGTAATCAGGAGAAACTGTGAGAGCTGTTACGTGACCGTGCCAGTTTTCTCCATGACCCTCCGCCTTCCCCATAACTGATGATTTTAAAATAATACACTAATTTTAGATTGCATTAGAGAATTACATATTGTTATAAGCAGCTTCGCAACTGTTTTGGTGTATGCTTTTGATTTTAGCTGAATCTAAATGCATGTACCAATCAGATTTACAAATTTTACAACAGTTGTAAAGCAGCTTTTTCTGCTGAATGTAGCCAATATGTTGGAACTGAATAGACTCACTGTAACCCATAATTTCACCGCTTGGGGATTCTGCTACCTGAATGTATTCTGGCCAATGTGCTAGGTAATGCATATAAAATGAGAGTCCATACTGAATAGAAATGTGAAAAAAATAACTTTGAAACATTACTTTGAAAATTATTTTAGTCAAATGTAATATGCAAATTATTTTAGTTTTTTTTTTTCATCAATAATAGTCATTTTAATGATCAATATCTATTTTCAAGAGACAAAATGTTTAATAAATCTTGAAAAAAATAATGTCATAGTAATAAATAATCTTGCATAAGAGGATTTGCTTATTTTACATTCGCTAAATTCTTCAAAATTTATATGTAATGAATTAATGATAAAAAATATTCAAAAATATTCGATAGTACATAAAATAATAGCTTTTCAGTCAGAACAAAGGATACTGTTTCTGTGAGCGGATCCAAATTCCTAAAAAAAGGAGAATAATAAATATAATTATAACAAATATAATAAATTGTTTAATCGTTGAAATTGAATGATAGGTTAGAAGAGACAAATCTTTTCTCGGAAACTACTTACACGTTGTTGAATTTGAACAAATCGTTGCATGTAAAAGGCCTGAGCGTTGTCATTTTTAAACGTTGTACAAGAACGGGTTTGCTTTAGTCACTTTTCAAGAAAATACGATTCGAACCGATCAAAATGTGATGAGTGATGACAGTCTCAACCACAACAAACCAATATATGTATATATATATATATATATATATATATATATAGTCTATATATGTATACCTGAATAGGAGGAAGGATAATCTAAGAAAATATTTATTTTTATTAATTACGAATTTTTATTTAATTTATTTTTATTAATTATTCATTTTATTTATATTTATTTTTATTAATTATATATGTATAACATAATTTATATTCATTATATAAATATATTAAATAATTATATATATATTCTTTTTTATTATATTTTTAAAATTTTACTTAATTTTCTTACATCATGGTTTACAGATATTTATATTTATGATATATGCAAATAATTTGACTAGTAATGCCATTTTACAAGATAAAAATAATGAATTCATTAAACTTGTTTGAAAAATATTCTTTTGAGAATGTTTTTAATGTTTGTTCTCTTACTGTCAGATGTTGAATATAATAATTGTAACTCGCACAGCGGAATAAATATTTGAATATTTCTCATTATGTGTTATTTTACATCATTACACCTGGATTGGAAACGTGAAAACACTGGACTGCATATTTCAGAAAGTGTATGCAAAACTGCAATACATATCGAATTTATTCACACATGTAGAACAAAAAGAAACTTCAGGAAATGTTCAAATATCAGAATACTGCTACTTTTCTTTGCGTTGTGATGTCAGGCTGTCATGCAGATTTGTGACAACAGTTTCTATCAATTCTGGAATCACTACACCATTAACATCGATGAAATTTGCAACAGACTTAGTTACTGTTGATTCATTAAGGTTGCCCGAAGCGCTTCTAACTGACAATATCAAGTTATATTTGTCATCATATTTCTTCAAATAGGAACTTGCCTCCCAGATCAAGTCGGGATTGAAGCCTGCTGGATCTCTAAAAGATCATAATACATTACACAATTTTATATAAATCTGTATTTTTATTATATATTTAATGTTAGTCTAATGTTTAATCTCATGTTAGTATTAAAAATAATTTTTATAAGGATGAACACAAAAGTAATAGACTTAAATAGAGATGAAAATAGGACGCAATAGATCAGAGATTAGAAAAGATTATAAATTCACCTTTGGACCGCAACTACAAATATGCCTTTCTCTTTGTACGTTGTATATAATGTCAAGAGTCCCATTAGAATGAAATACAGAGAGACGCAGGCTACTAAAACAGGCTTGGAAGCAGGGAATGGATACAGATAATCGCACAACAATGCTATGATAGCTATTGTCACAGCAACCCCACAGAGCCCCAGTCTTCCATCGAGAAGAGAAAAATTCTCTATGTAATTATATTTCTTTGTAAGTACATCCTTGACTGCATCATCTAAAGCATTCTTGACCGCTGTGCCGTCCCACTTATTGATCTTTATTACCTGTAGAATAAATATTTAATTCAAATTATAATATAAGTGTACGCAGATGTAGCTTATAAAAAATTCTATATATTGTACCAAAAAAATATAAAAATTTTTAATTTGAAACTATCCAGATGAAGAGAAGCAAAATTCTCTCATTTTAAATTTACATAATTCGTGAATACATTTGAAATATCGTAAAAAGAAAATATTTGTATACAGTTAGACTTGATGTTTTCACATTAAATTCGCAAAAATCTGTTTTTCGATATACCATACGCGACGAAATCATAACCATCATCGGTAACATAAAATGTCGTATGAATCAGTATAATGATTATTTATATTATAATAGATTATATCATATAATAGATTATATAAAATAATTTCAATTTCAATTATCAATGAGAATAAACTTACAGAATTCTCTGGCGTAGTCATTATCAGAGTAATATTTCCACAAAACACGTAAGTACTGTATATGTACACGTTGTGTTTGTACTCTCTGAGACTCTGCAGACGATAGAATTGTCTGACGTATGAATTAACCTTTATATGAAGAAGAGAGAAGATAGAATCCCCTCCTCTTCATATAAATCCAACAGTACACTTATATTTTTTAAATCTATTTTAATTAAATTAATTTTGACGTAAATTTATTGCAGGTGCTGTCAATTGATTGTTAAATTGATTGGATTTTCCACAACATATGGGACAATTGGAAACTTAACTTTACGTCACGTAAAACCCGCGAAATTCAAATACTTTTTAATAACTTTTACAAATACTTACTATCATATTACTATCATATTATAATATAATATAATATAATATATAATACAATATAATATAATAATATATATTTTTCAATAGCATACACACATTTACACATGTATACAATATTTATTACACAAGTATGCAATAAAACATTTTGTATTGCAATATATAAAACTTTTCAATCAATATAAATAGAAATATATATAATATTACAATCTTGTCTAATAAACATATTGCTTTGCTAACGCCCTTAAAAATTTAGCTTTTCGAATATTAGCCGCTTCTCTTTGAATTTCTTCGTTGTTGTTAGAATTTAATTCCAATAAACCGATGACTTTGATCTGTAAAAAAATATACCTTTTTATACACATAAACTATACAAAATATATATATATATATAAAATTATAAATAGTATATTATTTTTTAATAACAAACAAAGATATAAAGGAAAAATTAACTAATCTATATAATATTATACTATTTAATGTAGTTATTTGTAATTATATATTTAATTATTGTAACATTATATAATACTCAAACTAACCGCGAGTTGCTTTCTGTGATGCTCTCCGCGTTTTGTGTGTAGATATATGAGATACTCGAGTATTGTCGTGTCCCAAATACAATGATAATATGCATCCATGGCATCAGCAGCAGCACAGCTCTTTTGATCACTACCTGCCATCTTAAACGCCAGAGTATAATCCACTTCTTCTAAAAATTGACATAGTACAACCGCTTGAGTATAGCACTGCAAATGAGCGCAGCATTTGATCATTCTTCTGTAAACAAGATCGTCTATCTGTGTGCGTGGTGTCGGCTGGCTGAATAAATCACTAGCTACCATGATAGCTTCCAAGTAATACTTCATTGCGCTTTCATAATATGATAAAACTGGAGAAGAGAAAACAATATTATTATGCATCATATTTGATATTATATATTCGCAACATAACGGAAACATACCAAAATTAAGATCACCCATTAATCTCAACCAAGGTACGTTGCAGGGATAATACTTGAGGGCCTGTGTCAATAGTTGAAATAATAGTTCTCCAATATATCTGATGTTGTATGAATTTGCACTACAAATATAAAATTATGTAAATATTATTAAATATTATTTAAATATAATTGATATTAAGATTTTAAATATAATATTGTCGACTAAATTTTGTATGACTTAATAGTATAATATATAAAAGATATATAATATTATAATATAAAATGATAATATGATGAACGCACTTAGGTACTCCAGCAGGCCAAAGGGCTAGATACTGTGTGTGTAATTCCAGACTAGATTCGTCGCGCAAGACATTGCGCAAACGTGCCAACAATGATATAACTACAGTAAGAACCATGGGTTCTCGTAGTCGGGTAAACGTAACAGCGATACTAGCAGCAATATCTCTTGACGTGCCACTGCCAGAACTTCCTGAACTGTTACTGCTACTGCGTTTCTGCTGTTGATCTCTGCTGGGACCGAATGCGACTAAAACTAAGAAATTACGCGACATATACAAGTTTTAAATAAATATACATTTTTTTATATTATACATTATGTTATATATTTTTATAGATTATATATAGATTATATATATTAGTTGATATATATATTAATATATATATATATATATAGTATTAAATATTAAGTCTACTATATATGTATATATATAAATGTTTTAAAAATAAAATAAAAATACGTACTCATATCCCAAGCGTCTCTCGCAAATTTGCGAGTTCCCTTGTATTTGACAACATCTTGGCAAACACCACTGATGGCAGCTGCAAATTCAGTATAACTCCAACGCTTCTCTAAATTGATGAGATAATCCCATTCAGCCATATTTAAAAGAAAGACCGTACAATATTCTATTATTTCTTGCCGCGGGATCAGCTGATCGGACGCTTCCAACGCACCAAGGCACTGTTTACTCCGTGTGACCATACTTTGCATATCACCTAAAATATATAGTAATATATTAAACTTATAATATATAAAATAATTATACATTTTTGTAATTATAAACATTTTTAACTCTAAAATAATTTTAATATAATTTAATATATAATATTTTCATATTAATTAATTATACAATTTTTATATAATCTTTTTTCACATAGGTATCTTTTCTTTGTGTACATACAGACATTTGTTGCCGGCCAAGCATGAAAACACTTCCATATTTCGACAAGCAGGAGTTCCCAGCTTACTAGCTTGCACAACTTGAAAACCAGAGGACCTCCGTTTTTCATATTTTCTTGTAACTCTTTATCCAGTACCTTCAACAACTCGATGGCGCCATCAAAATCTTTGGATGTCACCAATTCTCGACTCTTTGCGAGCAGGACGTAGGAATAATCTTGAAGAAAACCTCTGGGAAGTGACATTACTACGCTTTGCAACGGTATGGGTAACTCCCAACAGTTGTTCACATGCCATAATGGTTTCATACGTTTCTTTCCATCTAGATGGATCAATGTTTCACGAATTATATGAGAATTGTAAGATTCTATCAGTCTCTGTTCTAATTCAAACACTTCGATTCTCGAATTTTCTGTAAAGGTAAAAATGAGATTCAAAGATATGTAGACAGTAAAATAAAGTGTCTATCAATAATCTTATATTATGTAATATTATATATTATATATATATATATATATATATATATATATATAATATATATATTATATTATATGTGTGTATATATTATAAAATAATATTTATAAATCTTAAAATTTCTTAATAAATATTCTTCTTTCTTACGGAATTTATACGTACGTATATATGGTACAGATGGGATACCCCAGTCATTTTGCAGCAATAAGTTTGGTATTTCAATTTCGTTGGAATTAACGGTTTGTTGAAAGACAGCGAGCTCCGTTTCATCAAATAATGACGAGAAGGAAGGATTGTTAAATATCTTAGAAGCAAGTCCTTCTACATCAGCAGTGTTTACAAGGTAGAGAAGATAACGAGAAATTTGTTTTTTATCTGTGACTGTTGCTTTCTCCAGCACGTTATCTAAAGCCTAAATATAATGATACAATAAATAATTAATTTCCTACTTTTTAGGTAATAAAAAGAAATAATAAAAATCTGTTTTAATACATAGTAAAAAAATGAGAAAAACATTAAGGTACAAAAAGTATTTTACCCAAAATAAGACATCTAGACCTTTTGGACCAGCTGCCTTAATTTCCGTTACATAGTCACCCAGTATTATACTGTTGTCAAGGATTTTCCTAACCAGATTTAAGCACTGTATTTGTAACAGAAGATCCCGGGCAACTACGAATTTCCTGTTTACCAATCCACCTTGCACATCCAATTCCAAATTGTCTCTATAAACTTGCGGTATCTCCCTGAAAATATTATCTGCTTGCAAAATCTGCAATATATTCTGCAGATTTTGCATGTGTGTGCATTGTAAGTATATATTATTTAAGAATTTAATGCATATCAATTTTATATTAATATACAAAGATATACCTACAGTATATTGATCTTTAATAGAAGACTGCAAACGCTGAGTAAGACTAGGTTTAATCTCTTCCAGCGGCACTTCGCATGCTAAACAACAACCATCTAGAAATTCTTTTTGCACTTTACAGTACACAAATTTTTCTGCTGAATTAAAATTATTGTACAACTCCTTGGCTTGCTTAATATGATGAGTTGCCTCTTGATATTCTTCCCTCAGTAAATGAAACATCGCAAGATCGTAATGTATCTAAGAAAAAAATGAATATTTTGTTATCCTATAAGATATAAAATAAATATCTAGTTTGTAGATTAACATACCTGACATTTAAATTCATCTATGTTTACCAGGCACATATTTTCCCAATTTTGTTTAATTTCTGTACTGTCTTCAGTCAACATTTGAAAGGTATCAAAAGAAAGGATCTTTGGCTTTATATCAGACATTTGTAAAATAGCATTTAGGGCACTTACGCTATTTGGTATGTGCGCTTCTAATTTCCTAATAATATCGTCCACTATACCTGGAGGTACATATGTTGATTCTTGAGTACCTGGTCTAGTATATAAATAAAATTTCTTTTAAACTTTTACAAGTAAAACAATATATAATTCATACTAAGAAAATAAAACTTACATATGAAGTAATTGTTGTTTGGTTGTTTGTTACTGAGAGCCCTATAAATAATGGCTCTCAGATGCCATCTGTGATATAAAACCAATGTAAACAGAAATTGATCAGAAGCTGTTTCTATAAAGAATTCTGGAATTGTAGGTATTTCTACCGTAACATCACTGGTAATATAAAATAGATCTTGCAGCAATGTCAACTGTATAGGCAGAGGTAGTTTCTTCTCCAGTATATCCAAGTCCCATTTGAGATATGCTGCCACTTTCAAAGAAAGTATCTTTAATGCTAAATTTTTATGACACCATTTGGTTGTGCCATTAGATTTTATATCGATTAATTCTGCTTCAATGGCTTTTGCCTCAGTCTCTTTTTGATCAGAATTAATTGTCATAAATTTAATTATCAGATCTGTAGGCGATGGATCTAAAAATCACAATGTACATAAAAAGTATTATTTATGTAATACTATATTATGTGTTATATTAATTTATATATTGCAAAAATATATTCATATAATACAAATATATTTATTTATTTATTATTAATTAATATCTGATATAATATACATTTATTGAAACAATATGTTGTAATTTAATTAATGAATAACATTGTATATATTATGTTTATATACCTGGGAAGGGTTTTGACAGATGCTTCTGCAGCAAAGAGGGATTCAATAAAAATTCGAACCACAATATCGTATCCGGCGAAATCGGGACTGTTCCCGGTCTAAGCAAATCTACATCCATGATAATAATATCATTAATACATTCACAATTGTCAAATGTATTTTTGCGTTATAGGACGCTCATCAGACGGCTCCGACAAGCATAAGCATGGCCGCAATTTTTCAAATCCATAAATCATAAAAAGCTAAGATCGGAAACTGCAACACATTTCTGCCGAACGCGGCTATATTCATTACGAATCGAAGACACCCAGCCCGCTGATTGGCTGTTTCTAAAAATTCCTAGAAATTCCCTAACCGACAACCAATCGGCGCGTTTTACCATTTTTTCGATTCTCAAATTGCTAGGGATTTTTTAATCAACTGTGCAGCAAAAAATAATAATAAATAATAATTAATTAAATAATAAAATAATTACTAAAATAAATAATAAAATAATTATTAAAATTAATAAAATAATTATTAAAAGAAATAATAAAATAATTGTTAAAATGAATAAAATAATTATTACAATAAATAATAAAATAATTATTAAAATCAGAGAGAAATAAGAAAGTAGCCACCGGGATTTTTTTTTTGTTTTTTTTTATTGGGCAAAAGGCAAGCTTCCCAGCAAACACCGATATATAATTGTTACATTGCTATAATAAAACGAAATATAACAGGTAATATAACGTGTACGTTCATGTAACATTCATGTTAGTTGTAATTTCCCACTCATAGATGTAACATTTTAATATATTACATTGTAATTATATTGTAATTATATTGTAATTATATACCAAATAGCACATTGATGTATTGATAAGTCAGTGCTATTTTGGGATATAATAGAAATAATTACTTTATTATTTATTAAATAATTTATTATTTATTAAAGAAATAATTACTTTATTATTTATTTAATAAATAATAAAGTAATTATTTCTTTAATAAATAATAAATTATTTTAATAATAAAAAAAATAAATAATAAAGTAATTATTTCTAGGGACTCTAGAAAAATCTGGTGGCGACACTTGTATCTGAAGTTGCTCGCACGTTGATTTAAATCTCCTCGGTCAAATGTCAAAATACGCTGAAGGACTGGCGAGTAATAATGTTGTCTTTTGGAGATGATACGCTCTTTGCTGATATAAATATTGAAAAAAACAGCAGGGTTTTGCGAGAACGAGATGGAAATGAAGACTCGCGGAAGGAAAATAACTGCCATGTGGGTGAAATTGACAAGGACACGTCGAAATTGTCACATATAAAACTAAGTGAATCTTTCGTAAAATATTTCGAAGATAGCATCACATTTTCTAAAATTAACGGGAGCAAGAACGCATCCTCGGCATCGAGTATTTCGAAAGGAGATACGATTCTGTCATCTCGAAGCCCGCGTGGAAACAAAGGGAGTTTTAAGATGACCAACTCCAGGGAGAAGCACCTATGTGGTGTTGTTAACAGTGGGAAGAAAAGCGATAAATCTGTACAAAATCTCTGTAAAAATGGATCTCATGATAACGTGTGCGATAATGTAGTAAGTGGTAGCAGCGTTGAAATGTCAGCAAGCATTGATACCACATGCGATAGAGAAATCTCGAATATTATTCTATCACGAGCTCTTTGCACCCAGGAAAGATGTAAACTGGCATCGTGGGGCTTACCGTCAAATATTCTTCAAGTATTATATTATACTGCAATGTGTGTTTGACAAATGTCTGCAATAGAATTATAGATAAAAAATGTATTAGAAGATGCGTGCATTTTTAATATAATTTTGTATCATAACTTTTGGAATTTTAAAAATTATAAAATATATCATAAAGTTTTTCTTGAAAGTTATAACATGATTTTAAATAATTAAAATTTAATATTTTTCATCCTGAAATTATCAATTCTTCAATTTTTATTATTGTTACATCACTTTATTAATTATTTAATATTGAAGGAACCAGACATTATTTTTTATTATTGCTAATTTTTTTATATTTAAAATGCACAATACTTCTAATATTTTGTATAAATGTGTGTAATGTAAGTGTATAATTTTTGTTTATCATGCATGCTATGTGTGCTATATATATATGTATGTTATATGGAATTTAATATTGATAATTATTATTATTTTTCAGAAATACATCGCTCGTGGAGTAGACCGCATGTTTGAATGGCAGATGGAATGTTTATCAAATCATCAAGTAATGCAAGAGAGGAAGAATCTTGTATATTCCGCGCCTACATCTGCTGGAAAGACCCTTGTTGCTGAAATCCTGTTGATTAAAACTATTTTAGAGAGAAAAAAGAAAGTGATTTTCATCTTGCCATTTGTTTCTGTTGTTAGAGAAAAAATGTATTACTTTCAAGTAAGAGATATGCTAAAGCCAAGTTACTTAACATGTCGTAGCTTTTATAAACAATGTTGATGAATTCACAGGATTTACTGTCTGATATTGGAATAAGAGTAGAAGGATTTATGGGAGGAAATGTACCACATGGTGGATTTGCTGCCACTCATGTTGCGATAGCCACTATAGAGAAAGCGAATTCGCTCGTGAATCATTTGATGGAGGAGAACGATTTAAGTAGTTTAGGAGCTGTGATAATAGACGAATTGCATCTCCTGGGTGATCCTAATCGTGGTTATCTTTTGGAATTACTTTTGACAAAGTTGAAATACATGACTGTTCGGTGAGCTTGTTGATATATTTTTTATTTTAAGTAAAGTAATTGACATTTTTTTAATATTACATAACATTTTAGTAACGACGACATCAACATACAACTGATAGGTATGTCGGCTACTTTACCAAATTTAGTTCTATTAGCCAAATGGCTAAATGCTGAATTGTACAATACTGAATTTCGTCCCATTCCTTTAAATGAATATTGCAAGGTAAAAATATATAAATTCTTTATTTTTTTAATTTATTTAGATAAGAGATTTTTATTGTTATATTGTTTAGAACAATCATTATGTTTACGACTGTAATTTCTACTTTTAGATAGGAGACAGTATATATGACAACAAATTAAACCTTGTCAGAAAATTAACAGAATTACCGGAACTGGAACAAGATGTGGATAATATTCTGCAACTTTGCATTGAAACGATAAAGTCCAGTCATAGTGTGTTGATTTTCTGTCCTACAAAGAAATGGTGTGAGAAATTAGCAGAGCAAATTGCTGCAGCTTTCTACAAATTAGGTCTGCTTCAATTATTCGTAAATCGAATTTGAATGAATATAAATTTTTGTACTTTCTATATTTTTCTGTATAATTCTGTATAATTTCATCTCTTCGCGAAATATACCACTATATTCGTTATATTTAACGTACAGAAAGTGTAAGAAAATGTACAGCTAAAAAGAGAAAAGATGTTTGTCTCTTAAATTTACCTCAATCTCTGAATAGGTTGTAAAAATACAGTGCTCGGAGAGATGTTACGAAAAGAGATCAACAATGTATTAATTCAAGAAACTCTGGAGCAATTAAAGCGCAGCCCAAGTGGCCTGGATAACATTTTAAAGAACACGATTTCGTTCGGCATTGCATTTCATCATGCTGGACTCACGATGGATGAACGCGACATCATAGAAGGATCTTTTAGGTGATGAATTATTTTTATTTTTATATTTTTTATATTTTTTATATTATTTATATTTTTAAGTGCTGTATTATACTTGATATCGTAATTTTAGAACGGGGTCCTTGAGAGTCCTTATAGCAACGTCGACATTAAGCAGTGGAGTGAACTTACCTGCACGAAGAGTAATCATAAGATCACCTCTGTTTGGTAACACCCCATTGAATACTTTAACTTACAAACAAATGATAGGACGTGCTGGCCGTATGGGAAAAGATAGTGCAGGTAAAAAATATTGAAATTATTAGGGTAAATCGTACGATTTGATTATCATAATTATATATTAAAAGATGTCTGAAATAAAACTAGAAGTGCGATATTAACAAATAAAATTAACAAATAAAATATTAAATTAAAAAATTTTAAAGTTATGACATTTTAATTTAATATAATATTTTTATAATATAAAAAATTTTTAAATTAAAAATTAACTTTTGATTTAATTTAATTTAATCTTAACTCAATTTTAACTGAGTTACTTCTTTATTTATGCAATTTTTAACGTGACTAAATTGCTACTAAGCCAATGAACTTTAATTTAGTTTTTAAAAAATAATTAACTTGTTTAATAATAACATAAATTAATTGAAATTTTCCAGGAGAAAGTATATTAATATGCAAACCAACTGAACGTAATACAGCTTCATCCTTACTCTCTGCAACTCTGGATCCAATTGAATCTTGTCTTAACGATTTCACGTTATTAATAAGGGCGCTCTTGGAAGCAGTGGCTAGCGAAGTTTTATATACATTGGAAGATTTAAAACTGTATATCAATTGTACTTTGCTGAGCTTGAGCGAACCATCTGATATACAAACTTTTTCCGACGAAGCAATAAAGTTCTTATTGGATAATGAATTTTTATTGTAAGTATACTATAAATATATAAATTTAATTGTATGTTACAATTCTTTTTTGGAGAATGTTTTCATATGAATGTCACTTTATAATTTTCTAAAAATTAACATTAATTTATATAATAATACTTCCATATAGATTACAAACCACGGAACGAGAAACCAGGTGGGTAGCAACACCGCTTGGAAAAGCGTGTCTGGCCGCATCTATACCTCCCAGAGAAGGATTGTTCCTCTTCGAGGAATTACAGAAAGCAAGAAGGTGTTTCGTTTTGGATACAGAATTACATGTAATATATTTAGTGACTCCACTCTCTGCTGGATGTCAGATTGGAACAGTCGATTGGATGGTATTTCATGAATTATGGAACACCATGTCGGAAAGCGAGCGCAGAGTTGGAAAACTCATTGGAGTGGAAGAACGTTTCGTCATGTCAGCTATTAAAGGAGTCATTAAACCTGGAAAATCGGTAATTCACTATTTCTGTCTATATATATATATTTCACTATTTCTACTATAAAATACACCTGAACTATATATGTTTATAAAATCTTTATAAAATTATTCATATTAGTTCAAAAAATTTCTAATGCAAATGCTTTGTGTTACAGTTAAATATACATAGAAGATTCTACAGTGCATTGGCGTTGCATGATTTAGTTAAGGAAGTTCCACTTCATGTAGTTTGCAAAAAATATGGATGTTGTCGAGGAGTTTTGCAGACCTTACAACAGTCTGCTTCTACATATGCAGGTAAATTAATAAATTCAAAATAATAAATCTTTATTTAAAAAAAATATATATATAATCTACTTTAATAAATCATATATAATACATAAAAGATAAATTATATAATTATTATATATAAATATATACATATATGTAATTAATTATTTGAGAATTTTCTATAGTAAATATAATTTTATTTTAGGTATGGTCACGCAATTTTGCAAGCAATTGGGCTGGGATTGCATGGAATTATTAGTGAGTCAATTTCAAACGAGATTGCAATTTGGCGTCTGTAGAGAATTGTTAGATTTATTGCGCCTGCCAATGTTAAACGGCTTGCGAGCAAGAAGTCTGTATAAACAAGGAATAACATGCGTAGCGGACTTGGCTGTTGCTAATGAACTTAATGTCGAACGCGCGCTTTACAAAGCTCTTCCTTTCGAAAGGTAGAATTAATTAAAGTCAGTGTTTTTTTTATATTTTTAATTAAATTAATTTTTATATAAATTCTTATATATACGCACATCTGTGTGCATTTATCACATTAAAAGTAAATAATATAATATAATATCAAATATATTTTCAAGCTGATAAATAGAAGCATAAAATATCAAATATAAATATGGGGGAATTTTATACGTTTATAATACATTTTGATGATTATGCATTTTAGTGAAAAAGAATATGAAGGAGAATATGCGTTTGATGCAGAAAAAAGAAATAAAATGAGGACAGTGTTTGTCACTGGAAGAGATGGTCTCACACCACAACAAGCTGCAGTTTTATTAGTTCAAGAAGCAAGGATATTAGTTCAGGTACGTAACTTATAATATTTTATAAATAGAATACATTTAAACGTTTGCTTCAATAAAATAATGATTACTTGTAGAAAGAATTGGGACTCGAGCAACTACCATGGGAGCAAAATGAGCAGCAATCTCTGCAGATAAATACGCATTTAGAAGTTAAAGCTACACCCGACACAACAGAAGAAATTACGAGAGAATTAGATGCAAAAAATTCAAAATCTATAGAAACGTTCATAGACTCCAAATACGAAAAACCTGCAAGTGACGAAAATCAAAGGGATGATAATTCAAAACTTAATATCTTCAAAGAAACTGATGAAAGTAATATGCCTGACAAAAGAAAAACGATTCAATCGAACAATCAGCATTTAAATGGAGCAATTTTATCACAAAAAATCTCGAAAGATGAAAAAGATTCTGTTTCTCTCGACATAAACATTTCCGATGTAGTACTTAACGATGAACGATTAAATATTTCTGATATAGTAACTAATCATGAAGGACCAAATACTTGTAAAGGAAAGAAAAATTCTCTCACAACCGATAGTAGCAGCAAGATCAAGAGAAGAAGCAATAATACAGAAGAATCCAAGCAGCATGTTGATGATATACCTAATAAGAAGTCAAAGACTTTTAACGTGGATGAAGTAAAAAGTAATGGCGAGAATTTGATAGAGAAAAACGCAACAGAATCCAGTATAAATAAAGACATTAAATCGCCGTATTCAAGGAGTCCGAGTTTGTTCGACGATAGTTTAAATCTCGACACCCAAACCTGCGATCTTCTCGAGCAAAACATCATGGATATCGCATACATATCGGAATTAGATTCTAAATTGTTCGCAAGCGATTTGGATTTGAAAAAATCCAGTTCAGAAGTCGGCGAGAAACAATTGCGAGCGAAAACTGACGAAAATAATGTAAACAAGCTCCTGCAAACTAGAGACAGCGTGTTATCCTGGGGCGACGATTCATGGAATAATTCCGAAAAAGTGTTCAAGCAAATAATCCAAGTGGCTAGTGATCAAAGTAGCAAGAAGGAAATATCTGCTGCGGCAAAAATTAAAAATATCACAGATACAAATGTATCCGTCACACCAAAAAGTACAAAAACTTGCGTGTCAAACGGTGATAAAGAAAGCCTGCGTAAAACAAACCTTATTAAAAAACGTACTGCTTTAATTGAAGAAAAGGTGGAACCGTGGAAACCCAAATTGCCTAAAGTGGCGAAAGTGGAGTCTCCCATAACAAGCATAATCATTAACGAGAGAAAGATGTCCGTGGAGTCGAACAAATCCGATTCGGATGACATCATCGTCGGCTCGCAACAAATCGAGTCCCCTCTCTGCGATAGTAAAAATCGAACAAGAACAAAATTGGAAAAAATACGTAAATTGCGCTCCCAGAAAATGACTGAGGATACGTTAACGGAGATAAATGATCGTTCGAACTCTACTGTAAACGGGGTGTCGAATGACAAACCGGATGATCAAACGAAGCCGAAATTGAAAGAAACTTTGGAACAAAATTTCTCTCCGAATTGCAGCGCAGATAGCATTGTGTATAATTCGGAAGATGAGACGACACTGAAATCTGTTTCGAGGACGAAGCAGGAGACGCAATCGAGGCTGAACAAAAACGTAAAATCCGAGATAGAAGCCGCGGAAGATTTGCCAAACGAAACGATAAATTGGAACGTATTGAATATCGTGAAAGTCGCGGACAATAGAGCGACTTTTAATCTGTTCAAACGAGTTGTGTTGAAAAAGCGAAACATCGCGTTAGCCCTGCATTGCGATACATTCGTGGACAATGCAAATAGTATAGGTTCGAAAATTTGCGTTTCGTCCTCCAACGCAGAGGGAAAACGAAAGTCTAGAAAATCTGCGAATTATGCTCACGGAAAGCTGGAAATTCGCGGTGCCGCGATATCCTGGGAAAGCAATATTGCATATTACCTCTCTTTTAGTAATTTATCAGGTAATAGAAATGTGCAAAGACTTTTCGTTAATACTTTCTAATCGCGAAGTATTTTTCTTTTTAGCATTTTTTAAATACTTCTTATATATATATATATATATATATATATATATATATATATATATATATATATATTATTATATATTATAATAATATATAATTAAATATTACAATCATTCCAGAATCAAAGTCTCCAGAAAAGAACAAATGACTCTATTGAAAGAGTTATTCGCCGATACAGATTTATATATGAAATGCTTTGCGACAAAAGATATATATAAAGCCTTATATCAGTGTTGTGGAATCTCTGCGAAATGTAGATTTCTGGACCCAATAATTGCACATTGGTTATGCACTAATGATTGCGAGAAATCTTTCAATGAAATGGTGAGATTTTTAATAATATTTCTTTATACAGGATAACTCAAAAGATAGATATTTAGATTAATAATGTAAATATTTTTTTAGATAAATATGTTAATATTTTTTTAAGTGTGTTAAAGCTCAAATTTCTAACTTTTATAAATATATAGGTATATTTATTTAAAAAAATTTTTTATTTATTTAGAAATATATATTTATTTTTATTAGAATTATGAATTTTCGTTATATTTTTTTCGTTAAATTCTGAGCAGGTAACCCAATACTTTCCCCAAGGAAATTTCATAATGAACCGTACAAATTGTTGTTACTGGTCGGGTCCTGGGATGGATGTGCACAATTCTTTACCAGGCGAATATAGATCAGCAGCAGAAGCTGTGTTAACGTGGCACATGATGGACAACGTCATGAATAAATTAGAAGAACTTAATCCTGCTCTACTTTACACATTTAGAGGTAATAAAGACTTAAGACATGACCTCTTTGTCTATCTTATAGATACATTCATTCATCCTTTCATTCATTTCCAGAAGTAGAAATGAGAACTGTAACACTTTTAGCTTGTATGGAATTATCAGGCATTAACGTAAATATAAAATCGTTGGAAGAATTGTCATTGGTTACTTCAAACGAAATGCAATCTTTAGAAAAGAAAGCTTACCATTTAGCAGGCAAAAAATTCAATTTTTCATCATCTAAGGAAGTTGGCCAGGTTTGTCAAATTAAAATTATATATATATATATATTTTTTTGTTGAAAAAGTTTATTAAGTATATGTATATAACACTATCATAATTGTAGGTGTTGGGCTTATATAAAGATAAGAAAGTCAGTACAAGTAAGGCCGTTTTGGAAAAATGTGATAATCCAATATCGAATCTGGTGATTTCATGGCGAAAACTGAGTGCAACAAAAACAAAAGTACAGTTATAGGATAAATAAAAATTTATATTTTTACTTTATATGATATTTTGTTATATTACAAAACTAATAATATCTATTATATATTATTAATATATCTGCTTTGTTATATACAGAGTTTTTCTTATATTTTAATTCACATTATTTATTTTTTTTTATTAAAAATTTTTAAACTAAGAATATAAGAGAAGAAAGAACCAATGATTATACAATTAAAATCACTTTATCTGACAGAACATTTTTATCTCCACAGATTATCCAGCCATTATTACATTTGGCCCAAAAGGATCCTCGTATTCATGGTAATTGCATTACTTGTACAGTGACAGGAAGAGTTTCGATGCACGAACCAAATTTGCAGAATGTACCAAAGGATTTTGGTTTCTCAGATAATAATTTCGTGCTAAGCGTAAGAATGGCGTTCGTGCCGGCCTTGGGTAACATAATGCTGTCCGCTGATTATTGTCAACTCGAATTACGTCTCTTGACTCACTTTTCGCAAGATTCAATTTTGTGCGAAATTTTGAAACAACCGGGCGATATTTTTAAAAATATCGCTGCTAAATGGAATAATGTACCAGAAGAAGAGGTATTATATATAAAATTATAAAATACAGAATAATTAATTTTTATTATAAAATAATATAAAATAATTATATATATATAAATCCATATATATATATATATATATATATATATATTACTATTATTTATTACATATTTTTTTATTCTTGTCATTACTTATTATTTATATTTTCGTCATCTATTTAGGTGACAGTGGAGATGCGACAGCGCACCAAACAATTATGCTACGGCATGATTTATGGCATGGGGGTGAAATCCTTAGCTGAGAATCTTTGTGTGAGTGAACCAGAAGCTCAGGAATTTTTAGAATCTTTTATGAACACGTATCCCGGTATATATAAATGGTTGGATGATGTATTAGAAGAAGCGCATCGTGATGCATACGTGACAACGTTATTGGGAAGACGCAGACAGCTTCCCGATTTAAAAAATACAAAGTCATCCGTAAGAGGTGAGTGACATGTTATAAACATGTTATAAATATTTCAATAACTATTGAAATATAAATCGATCAAATTTTTAGCACAAGCGGAACGACAAGCTGTAAATACAAAGGTACAGGGTTCCGCAGCAGATATAGTAAAGAAAGCTATGATAAGTATAGAAGAGAGAATAAGATGCAAATTTCCGGATTCGGCTATTATATTTCCAGAGGTGCAGACTCGCAAACTACGAAGCAATAGTCGAGATATGCAACAAAGAGGTGCTTACTTAGTTTTACAGTTGCACGATGAATTGTTATACGAAGTAAGTATTTTCAATCAAATTAAATCTCTTTTATCTATCAGTTATCTCACTCGATTTTATTAAAATTATTTTAATGCTCTATCAGGTAAATTTAGCAGATCTGACAGAAGTCGCTGAAATAATCAAAGTATCAATGGAAAAAGTATGCCAACTTACTGTGCCATTGCCAGTAAAAATCAAAGTTGGACCTGCTTGGGGTGATTTAACCGATTATTAATTTTAGCAGAAGTTTCTAATCTAAAATAATTTTTTTAAATCGATATTTTTATATATAGATTTTTTTGTACAATTGATCATGATGCAGTATTTACGAATTATGTTAATATTTAGTAGATATATTTGACATATTTATCTTTTATATTTGTGAGAATTGTAAATATTCTAGATCGTTTATCTCAATTTATATTATTTACACGGTATATATTATTTTTACGGAATAAGTTTTTTTAAAAATGAACATTTTTAGAATCTAATGAACTCGTAAATATTTTAGAAAAACGAGGTATCTATATTTTTTCTAATTATCCAAATATTGTTACTAATATCAGTATTTGGTTTTTTATCACATTATCTCCTCAATTGATTTGATTATGAAATTATTTCTGAGGAAGACATAGATAGATCAGTCAATTAAGTATTAGTATTAATATTATTATAATTAGTAGATTATTATATATGATTAGTAGTATTATTATAATTAGTAATTAGTATCAATCAATATTTAAAAGAAAAAAATATTTGTTATTTCCTCATCTTTCTTATATTTTTAAAAAATTGAATACGTTTTCAATTATCATTTTCATATACATATAAAAATCACATTACATATGAAAATTATTTATATATATATAAAATAGAAATTAGAATATAATAGAAATGTGACAAATAATTTTATACAAAGAATTTTAATATGTATATATTTTCTGTATGAAATAATATATATATATTTTTAAAATATATATATATATATTAAATTTAAATATATATTTTGAATATATATATTTTAAAAATATATATATTTTTTAAAAATATATATATTTAAATATAAAGGATGTCACCAAAAAATAATATATATATATATTTAAATGTACAGGGTGTCACCAAAAAATAAAGTCCTAAACATTTTTTTTTCTATAATACTTAATAAAAGAGTAATTATTGAATAAAGTACGATGCTAAATAGCGCCGAGCTTTAGTTTGGACCTTTCGACTTATTTTTTGGTAAGGAAGAATGTATGTATTTAGTGGGCGCGAAATAAGTGATACCTTATATATTTATATATATATATATATATATATAATTAATTTATATACATATATATATATATATATATATAATTTATATAATATATATATAATTCATATATTTCTTTCTCTCTCTCTCTCTCACATATGGAAAATAAATATGAAAGTTATAATCAGTTTTTAAAATTAGAGAAAAATAAAAATATTTTAAAATATATTTTTATACTTGGCATATATATTCAAATAAATATAAACCAGAAAGAAATGAAACAAGTAATGTAAAATAATATATGAATATAAAATTCAATTTATTAAACATAATGATGCATTGTATGAAACATTACAGCAATCTTATTAATGCAAAATAAAATTATTATCATTAATGCATGATAATTTTAAGATTTGTATTTTGTATGAGATGTGTGAAATATGAATTAAAATTATATGTGTTTTACGAAAGCAAAGTATCAATATTATTTATAAACAATAAATATGTATCTTTAATGATGTAAAATAATTTTGATATGAAAATGAATGTTACATCTTAATATCCATTTGTACACTAGATCACATCACAAGGCGGCGCTAACGACTGATGCAGTTTCGTTACCGCGGTTTGCACTATCTGCTGCAGAGTCTCATCCTCCTTGCTAGTCACCTCCAGGTTCAGCAGATCTATATGAGCCTTCTTCCCATCCACCGTGACATAGAGCTTCTCACCCTTGAATATCTTGGGCACGGAGTCCTCGCCGAACATCTCCTGCAGCATCTCTATGAGGCACTCTTTGAAGTGCATCCGGTCCATTTTCGTTGGTGCAGGCAGGATCTTCGGCGACTGGTCCATTATCTCAGCCTGCAGGATCGCAGTCAGAACGGAGTCCGCGTACATATCATTGACCGGAGTAGCCACCCACTCCATCATGACGAGCTTGCCGTCGATTGTGACGTCGACGTTCTTGAACACCCTCAGTTTCTTGTCGTCAACCACCTCCAGGCTGCCTGCTATCTGCGTCAGCAGATGCTTCAGGACAGGCAAAGATGCAGCAAAGTAGACACTCTGCCGCTGTACAACTTGGCTCATACTCATGTCCGTGTACTTGGACAAGTCACAAGGCGCGAGCATGTGATAATTGAAGTTCCTCTTCACTAGCACGCCCGACAGCTTCTGTCCAGGCCTGGGAGTCTCCATCGCCAGAGTTCCCATCACTTTGGCGGTCTTCTCACCTCTGAAATACAGCTCCACCGCCACCGTATTTCGAGGATTGTGTATCTCCATGCTGGTACTGGGATCGTCCTCGTACTCCCGTTGCAAGGCAGCCTTCAGTCGACCCATCTCGTTCTGTTCCCCGTGCACCAGCACCACGTGGGGCGGCTTCAGGGTGCGTATGAACTCAGACGTTTGCTGATAGTCTGTGTGCGCAGAGAAGGATATGTAGTCCACGGACATCTTCAGGGGCAGCTTCTGTCCGGACATGGTTGTGATCTCCTCAGGCTCCGACAGAATAGTCTTGGCCAGGGTACCCTCTACGCAGTAGCCCGCTATGATGACGCCGTTCTTCGCGTCCGTGCACCAGGACTCGAACAGCTCCCTGGACAGGCCGCTCTGCATCATACCAGGAGAAGCCATGACCACGCAGGGTCCAATATCCTCGAAGTGGTCTATCCCCTTCAAATTCGAGATGTGTTTGAAGACAAAAGGATTATTGATGGCGATTTGCCGCCTGATCTTGTCGTTCATGGCGTTGACGTAAGTCTGGTAGACTGCCATGCACTTCTTCGCCAAGGAGGAGGCATAGTAGATGGGTATCTCATGGAGTTCCGAATGCTGGCTCCAATACTCATCCAGAATGAGCAGAAGCTCCTGCGCTCTGCCCAGCGCAAACACTGGGATCAGACATCTGCCACCTCGGTTGACAATCTCATGCACCAGATTGGTGAATCTGCCCTCTCTGTCCTCCCTCTTCTCGTGGATGTGCGTGCCATAGGTGGACTCTGTAATAAGAACGTCAGGATGAATGTTTGGGATCTCCGCTGCCATCAAGTGTCTATCCTCTTGACGACTGAAGTCTCCAGTGTAGAGGATCTTCACCCCAGCGATCTCTATCATGAACATAGCTGCACCCAGGACGTGTCCGGCGTTGTAGGCCCAGAACTTGATGCCGAAGACATCCTTCTCCTCGTGGAAGTTGATCGTCTCGATTTTGTCCATGCTGGTCTCCAGGTCAGACTCGGTGTACAACATCTGCTCCGTGGCGATGTTGCTCACCTTGATGTAATCCGAGAGCAGCCAGCGGTAGATGGCCTTGGTGGCGTGGGTCATGAAGCAGCGGCCCTTGAAGCTCGTCTTCTGGAGGAACCAGGGCAACGCTCCGCAGTGGTCCAGGTGAAAGTGGGAGATCAGCAGCAGGTCGATCTCGTCGGCTTCGACCAGGTCGACGAACGGCAGGGCGTCCATACCGGAGAGACCCGGGTGGATCCCGCAGTCCAGCATGATCTTCTTGCCCTTAAATTCCAGCATGATGCAGGACCTGCCGACCTCCTGGCCGGCACCCAGAGGACGAATCGATAGCAAGTCGCTCTCCTCGGCCGGCACCTGGGTGTCGCTCTTCCTTTTGCTTGACATTTTTTAACTGCTCGAGAAATGTTGGATTTTTACTCGGAATTGGAGGAAATCTCGCTAAATAACGCGCCAATTATTTTCAGATTACATACTGTATATGACGTATGTATGTATACACTTTCATTGCACGTGCTTTGAACCTCACGAGTGACCAATCGGTCGAAAAAAAATCTTAGGGATTTTTGTCGTTCGATGTTCCCTTCGTTCTAGGAACTTTTTTTTTTTGACGTTTAAATTTGATAAAATGGAGGGAAATTCAAAAAATTATATATTCCGAAATTTTGGAATAACAGATTTAATCAATATTTATTTTATATTAATATTAATATTTAAAATTAATTTATATTAATAGTATTCTAATCTGTTAAATAATTTTTATACTGTGAAACTTTTCTTTTTAGCTGCGCTTCAATATGGGTAAAATTAATGAATTTATCTCTAAAATTAAATTTTTAATTTTCAACACCGTAAAAATTTTATCTGTCAGAATTTATATTTTTTAGAAAACAACATTTAACTCAAACTAAACTAAGAATAAATGTAAATGTGTTATAAGTTCAGTTTTTGTTAAATTATTTTTAATTTTATAAAAATTATATGCAAGTTGAAACTTCCTTTTGCATAAAAACTTGATTAATTCGAGAAAAAATGTCAAGTTTCTTATTACATTTTTTATTGTTTTTTCCTTTTCTTCTTCGAGTTTTTATTTTTGGATATAATAAAATAATTTTTGAATGTATTTCTTGTACTTTTATATAAATTTAATTTATTAAATAATTTTTTATATGATCAGACTCCTTTTCAGATGCATATTTAGTTCTGATGAAATAGTTGAATCACAAAAAATATGCAGGTTTATCTCTAAAAAAAAAAAAATTAAATTTTCAATTTTAAGAGTATTAAAAATACTTCATATCTTCCACAATTAATATTTTTTATTTTTTAGAAAAAAATTTAAATCATTAAACAAAGATCACATAATGAATGTAAATGTGTTTTATAATATAAATTCAGTTTGTTTAATTATTTTTCAGTTTTATAAATTATATGCAAGTCAAGTCTTTGCATATATATATATATACATATATTTAACATTACAAATATGGATTAATGGTGTATGAACAAAAATGAAAAAAGGGGGACTTATTTAAAAACGTACCTCAATACATAAATTTTATTAAGGTATACATATGTTGATTTATTGTTTTTTTTTCTTTTAATGATAATATTACCCTATCTTTTCTTTTATCTGCTTATAGCGTAGATTCGAGTTTCGTTATGATACTCAATTGCCAAATCTCAATTCATTGGCTCTATTATAAAATAGAACTGATGTACATATTTACATTATTTACAACGACATTCATTACGAATATACGTATAATATGAATCGTTCAACTAAAACAATTGCACATTTGGACGTCGATGTTGGTTACAGGTGGGCTCTTCTCAAGCTACCTCGAAATTCCATCACATATCAATTTTTTTTCATTATTTAAACGAATTTATTGATGTGAAATTGAGGAGATTGTGAACTTGCAATTGCTACTTATTATAATGATACATTAATTTTATAATAGCAAGTGTATATATGATGAATCATATATTTGATTAATATTACAAATAAATGAAAAATCATCTATCAGTGAAATTATATCAATACATTTCAATATATTGTTTATAGTTTATTACGGAAAATAATTTAACCCTTTGTGCTTGAATATTGCCTGTAATAGGAATACTATATATGTGCAAAGATTACAATATTATAAAAAGACACACACGTCACTGGGTGCTGCAAATGTGGTATTTTAGGGATAGATCTCTTTTTGCAGAATATGACGTAGATTTTCACTCGACTTTAGTTAAACTAATCGATATTAACTATTACAGTCTACTTTGTATCGAACAAATAATTAATTGCATCCATAAAAAATTTAAATTGTTCAGAAACTTTCTTGCCTTTTATTATTCAGTAAATTGTAAACGTCAATTATAACTTGAAAACAATTTTTTTGCAAAAAAAGCGATCAACGTCAAAGTCTCTCCCTAAAATATTCACGCTTACTAAAACACCCTATAGTAGTACATATTATTGCAAAGAATTTAATTTAGTCTTGGATATTCTAATAATTTTCTGTCATTTTATATCCCTATCAAATATGCAATTATATAATTGCAAAAAACGTCACATTTATATAAGTTATACAAACTTTTCCATATAAAGTTATACATATATACACAATATTAAATCTCCCGTTCTATATATTAAATATGAATTTCACAATTCCATTATGAAACCTCGAAAATTGAATTCGTTTATTATCAACCACACTTACTTTCATTTTTACTTCCACACTGCACTCGAATACATATTGTAACGATAATATATATTTTAATGATTTGCGAGTATTCACAACGTCCTTTCTTTCTTATTTTATTACCACATTCATATTCGCACTTGTTTTCAGTATGTGTAATTGTTTTTTTATCAGGGTGCTTGATAGTCTATATTTTCTAAAGCTAGCTAAATTACTTCTGTCAAAATTTAATATGCTTTACAACACTTTTTTGTATTTTTTCTTCGATTACCTTTCCTATATATTAATCGCCAACAAGTTGTAAGTTTAGCTGAGCAATGAATTTTATGAGTTTAATGGATTTTAGGAATAACACAAAACGAAAACATACTTGCACATTTTTGCTACACGAAATACCTGATAATGTTGGATGACAAGCACATCGAGTACAAAGGGTTAATATGTATAATTTAAGAGAAATTCCAATCATAGCATATATAATATGCTTTCATTTTTGCACACCATATTCAAATTTTCAGATTGTTATCGAAATATCTATAAAATCTGCATTTCTTAATCGCTTTATTAATCACTCCTCGCTTCATTTAAAATTAATTGGAACTCATTTTAACACATGTAATTTGATTAATATCAAATCAATCAATTTTATATATATATAAACTAACACATTATTTCAGACAATTCTATGTCCTTTTTTTAATATTGCTCTCTTACATCAAAATAACGAAAAAAAGAGAATGAATAAATGATTCGTTAAATATTTCTGTTTTCAGATTATGATTCAAATTATTCTTGAATTCATAAGTATCTGCTTAATTTTTAACAATGTCATATATCTATACTATAAGAGACATTAATCCGATTTTTCACAAACAGCATGATTTTTGATACATGTGAATGAATATCAGAAGAAAGCAAATTCAAAATCCTCGGTTTTGATACTCTTTATATTATATGCAACAAACTTTCTCTAGAATTTACGTGTTTTAAAAGTAATAGTAGCAGCACAATTAATAGATTAATATCAGTTTTATAGTATAAAGCTTAATATGATCTCATATTAATGCGGAATTTGTTTAATTAAGCAAAATTTATTATTTTATAGAGCTTTAATTTTGAACAAAACTTGGCAAAATGGTTCTTTAATATTCCTTAAAAGATTGAATCCATGATTCTTTTTGAATTTACATCCTTCTATTTCTCAAGTTACAATATTGATAACACTGATATGCAACTAAAACTGAGAAGTGTAACTATTTTGATTTGTATTAGAGAGCAATATATATGACGAACCAACACCGATCAGTCTTGGAATTATAGTAATCGATAAAAATACGGCCTTATACACATATTGCAAAATATATAAATATAGAAGAATAACAACTAAAAAGATACGTAACTATTATGTGATAGTCGATAGTCATAATATTAATTCATAGGCCCTTACATAGAAAATTGAACGCAAGAACTCTCTCTCTCTCTCTCTCTCTGCACACCTTTACATAAAACAGATATTGTAAAAAAAAAAAAAAAAAAAAAAACATTCTTTACCATCGACATGTAAAAGTGCTGCGTATCTTTGTAAGTATTAATTGGATTAATTAGCTTTATATAATAATTATACTATTAGTTGGCAAACGTGTTCCTTCATTGCGCAGAGTTTTTCCTTCGCAAGAACTATTCAAGAATTTTTTGTGACATATATTATAATAGTTTATCTTTATTAAAAATTTGTTATTAGCTTAGGATAATGAAAGTCTCAAGTCACTGGACCTACACAGCATGCAAATGTTCAACATAGCACGTAACGTAATAAAATCCCAACCCTGTATAATCAAGATTGCTTGATAATACGAATATGTATCATAAACAACAATTTCTGTTTAATCCTTAGATACCTTTATGGGATTGTTTTTTAAGGAAAAAAAAGAAATAAAAAAAATCGATTTATAATAAACGTAAAATTTGTTTGAAATTTAATATGTAAATTTAAATATACAAATTTTATTTTAATATAAAATTTAAAGAACAAAACTTCAAATCATCCTATATAAATTGTTAATTCTGAAATCTATTATCATCTATTAATTTTCAATTAAAATAACAAATAAGTAAAACAATTGTGCAATATGTAACACACACATGGCCGATAACAGAAATAATGTACAAAATGCATACATGTTTTTCAGTTTCGAAAATGTATATAAAATAACGGAATTGTGTTGCTTCAAGAATACCTTGCATGATACATGTGTTATGTTCAATTACTTGGATATCTAAGGATTAAAGATGCTTTCCATCGCAAACTAAATCATATAATAAAGTAATTTAATCATCATACACATTATCATGCACATATCAAATAATATAGCGATGAATTTCTTAAAAATAAAGATATCTCGCAGTCAATAACAAAAAACTGATGATATATAACAGTATTTCAATAATAATAAAAAAAAGAAAAAGAAAACTTTAGATATAATAAAAATTACTTATCTAGAATCAAACTACACGGATGACAGTGTTAATAACGCCTCCGATTTTTATTCTATGCGTATGGCAATGCTTAAAGTGTGTTACTGTAAGACACTTTCGGATATATAAAAAAGACGACGGGCAAAATCAATACAACAAATAAAAATTAATAAAGATAGTCATTTTCCTTATTGAAAGAATGTTATATATACACGCTAAGATGGCAATGGTGAGATTATTGTTGAATCTGAAGCATCGAATTTTTCATATATAATATATGTCCATACATATTTTTAAACACATATTGTATTATTAAAAATATATAAAGAGCAATAAAAAAACTTTTGTCTAAAAAGTATAACGTAAATTATAATTATAAATTATTCGTGTATTTTAATTTTGTTTTTTATACCATTAAATATAATGGTAACATTTTCATCCATTTAAATATTGATTAACAATGCTAAAATTATCTTAAGAGTTAAAACAAGTATTAATATAATTAATACAATTAATAATAAATTTGTTCCAATTATTTAATTATTGTAATTTATTCTCATAACTTTCTTTCACTAAAAATTGAGAACACATCTCAAAATTAAATTCCTAAATAATATTAACTCTACATATAATATTCAATAAATTGCTATCTTTATATTCCTACTAATTTATTATCTTTTTTTTATTCATCCGAGTGTCTTATTTTCAATTTTTTTAAATTTGGCATTTCAAATTTTCAACTTTTAAATTCTTATTTTCTTAGTGCTTTTCTTCGATAAAAAAATTAAATAGGCAAACCATAATACAAATAATTAAAGAATTGGAACAATATCTCTTTCGCGGATAAATCACTTTCTCAAAATTCTTATTACTCTTTAGGTAGATAAAAGTATTAACGTACTTGGCGATTCAAAAAACATAAAATATTATATATATATGATTTATATTACACTTTTTAGGCAGAAATCAGTTCATTCTTATCCATCATCCTTTACGCAGTTTTAATAATAATATTTAAAAATGTGTACCGAAAATATGTATACACAAACGCAAAAATGAAATCTAATAATGACGAGCTAATCAAAAGTAATATATTTAGAACAAATTTAATTAAATTACATTACAAAATCAAACGTTTCGAATATAACAAATAATATAATCACAAAGTCGATAATTATTAGGTCATCATAAAAACGCAAAAGCTACAAGAAATATAAAATACATAATTGCGAACGATAAGACGTTTGAGAGCGAATGTGAGCAACAAGAAGCCATGGATTTCAAATATATTCCGTAATATAATGAAGAACCCGCAGTAAATCCCGTTCATATCAAACTCCTTCTTCGTTGGTAAGCGAGAAATTGTACGTTTGAATAAGACAGAGTTAAATTGTGGCCAAGATGCTTTCCTGTCATACTATTATAAAAGGCATTATATTTTAGATGGAATAAAAGTGAAGAAGACCAAGTATGGTTCGAAACGTTTGATTTTGTAATGTAATTTAATTAAATTTTTGTTCTAAATATATTACTTTTAATTAGCTCGTCATTGTGGCCTTTTATTAGATTTGATTTTTGCGTTTGTGCAACATACGAGCATATTAAGAAATTAAATTTAACTATCTTTTATTTATTTTAATTCTTGTATTTAATGCATAGCATGTATACACTTATACACAAAATATAACTCGACGCTTCAGCTTCAATTCATTTAAAGCCCCTGGCTTTTCGCTGACCATGTTAGAATCGTGACGTCAGCAGCGCGAAAATACACTAAAAAATCTTCGAAATCTTTTTCCATTTAAAAATGAAAAAAGATTCTAAGAATTTTCAGCGTACGCTTCCTCCTCTCTGACGTCACAATCTGACATGGCAAGAAGCCGGAAGCTTGAATCTCTGATCCATTGCCGTCGGCGCGGTATGTAAACGCGGTACAATCGCACACATATCCGTTATACTATGTCCCTCCGTGTGTGTGTCACGCGAACACTATATAGTGCTCGTACCTCGAGCACGTGATAAAATTGATCGACGATCATACGACGGTCGTCCGTCGATCAGCGCTAAACAATCTTAACTAAAGTCTTTAGAGTCCCGCGTAATTGTAGCTAGTAATTTAGAAAAAGGATAGCGAGGGATCTCGCTGGCGAAGACTGTCCCCCGGTGTGTCGAATCACATCAGCCGAGCGCCGGGTCCGAGGGTGTCTCGAACCGGATTCGATGCTGAGCGTCACGCTGTGAAACCTCGATGAGCTTAAGAGTTAACATTACATACTTGTGGAGTGTCCGCAGCAGCGTCGAAGAAACCGAGACACTGAGAGATCTCCGATATATCCGGTTAAAGCGTAAAAATATAATCATCCCTTGGTCTGTGAACTTTCGCGCATAAGTACAGCACGAGACGAGAAAAAAAGAAGAAAAAAAAACAAAAAAAAGACGCGTCCATAGCATATAAGATCCTCCTTGCGCACTTAATTCTCGGTATTTACAGGCTCGCGCGCGTGATGGATTCGCACGTGCTTGTTGTGATTGGACTTGGTGCCGCTGGACTTGCCGCAGATGTGACACGTGTAGGGTCTCGCGCCCGAGTGCACCCGCAGATGCTCCTTGAGATAGTAGGAACGGTGGAAGGTCTTGTTGCAGACGTCGCACGTGTACGCCTTGTTCTCCTCGTGCTCCTTCACGTGCCGCAGACAGTTGTACTTGCGGATGAACTGGGCGCCGCAGTAGTTGCACGTGTAGGGCCGTACATTCCGATGGGAGTTCATGTGCGCGGTGTAGTCGCTGTGACGGTAGAAGGCCGCGCTGCACTGGTTGCACTTGAACGGCTTGGTGCTGCGCGCCGCGTGGGTCCACTTGTGCAGCTGCAGGTTCCACTTGGTGCTGAACGCCTTCGAGCAGACCTGGCACTCGTACGGTCGCTCGCCGTTGTGCACGCGCATGTGCACCGCCAGCGAGGATCGCAGGTAGATGCACTTGCAGATGGGACACTCGACGTTCTCGCTCTCCCGCTGAGCGTCCGGCACGAATCGGCGATTGTGAGCGCGACGCATGTGTCGGGTCAGACTGGCCATGTGGATGAACCGCTCGTTGCAGTAGGTGCACGCCTTCGGTTTCTCGTCGTGAGTCTCCTTGTGCCAGGCGAGCTTTTTCTTCGTGTGAAACACCTCGCCGCAGTGGCATATGTAGTCCTTCAGCTTCTTCTTGATGTTCAGGTGGTGCCGGTTCTTGTGCTGGGTCAGATTCGAGTACCTGCGAAACGTCTCGTTGCACAGGCTGCACTTGACCGGCGCGTTGCCGGTGTGGCCGTTCGTATGCTCGTCCAGCTTCTGCTTGGTGAGGAACGCCTTGTCGCAGACGGTGCACGGGAACGGCTTGATACCCAGGTGCCGCTTCATGTGCAGCTTGAAATTCTGCTTCCGATAAAAGTACTTACCGCACTGCCCGCACTCCAGGGGATGGATTTTGAGGTGGGCGTTGAACAGCAACACCGATGGAAACTCCTCGTTGCAGATCTGACACTTGGCGTTCTCGCGGATGCGCTTCACCTCGGCCAGATGCATACGCCGATGGTGTATCTGCAGGGACTTCTCGCTGCCGAAACGTTGGCTGCAGATCGCGCAGGTCACCTCGATGCTCGACGGTATCACCAGGTTCTCGCCAATCTTCTGATCGGCCTCGGCCTTGGTCAGACCCAGCTCCGAGCCGGGCTGCGTCGGCGGTGGCTGCAGCTGGTGCAGAAGCGGCTGCTGATGATGCTGCTGGTACATCTGCTGCATGTGCTGCAGCCCGGCCGGCACGAATATATCCTCGAACACGTTCACGCGATTGTCTAGCAGCTTGATATCCTTGATCTCCGGCAGCTCCAGCTGGTCTCTGCTGCCGCTGGCCACCGCATCCTTGTGCACCGTTGTACTGTGAACCCGACGCTCCTTCGGGCAGTCGAACACCTCGTTACAGTGGGAGCACTTAAACGTCCGTTTGGTCGGGGTCTTCCGGTCTCGATCCAGGAACAGACTCGAGGTGAAGTGGGTCGCCAGGGATCTGCTGTCCAACAAGGGTCCGCTGATCTCGTTGTCGGATCCCTCCGATTCCTCCCAACTTTCACGCGCCAGGAGATCATAAGAGGTGGACATGCGGGAAGATTCCTGGCCCATGTACATCTATGAAAGGAAAAATGTGTTATAAGAATTTTTATGATTTTTGTAATAAATTGTGTGATAACAAATTGTATCTTTATCTACATTATTATATTGGATTTATCACTCTAATTAGTATATTAATAATCTATTAAATTCTTTTACGATTAACTTAATAATATAATAAAAGATAATTTCATTTAAAAATTGATGAAATTATCTAGTTATATATCCATCGCGTATATATTACTTTTCTAAAAAATATAATTATACATTAATATTATTTTAAACAATAATTAAATATGTATAATAAAACATTAAAGTCTAAATTTTATAATAACTATGACAGAACGATAAACAACAACAATAATAATAATAATAACAATAATAATAATAATAATAATAATAATTTCGTAATATTTTCACGATAATTTTAAATTATAATGTAACAAGATCATTTTCATATAATTTTCTTAAAAATAATCTCATAGTTCTGCACATTTTAGTAACTATTTGTTTATTACGAGAGAGTCAAGACTCCTCCCTTTAGTATACTGAGAATATTTATATTTGTATTTTGTATTTCCATATTAGAGTCTCTTTTCAATCTATTATTTAAATAATATAATTTCCTTTTATACATTACGTTTCTTAATTGTATGTACATTTATTACATTAGAAAAATTTGCGAACTAATTATACACGCAAAATAATCAAACAAATTTATGTAATCTCTCTTTTCGCAGAAATGGTTGCAAGTGTACCGAATATTTTATCATATATTGTTCATTACATATAAATATAACAATTATATATAATTATAAATAATTTATCTAATTATATATAATAAGAATAGATAAAAATAAAATATAATAATTATATATATAATATTATATATATATTATATATATAATATATATATAATATTATATATATATATATATATATATTATATATATATATGTATAATATTATATATAATAAGTATACATAATAATAAATATATTAATCATATATACATATTAATTATAATATACAGGGTGTCCGGTAACTAACGGACCAATAATTAAGGGCGGATTCTCTGGCCAATTTGAAGACGATTTTCCTTAGCAAAAATGTTGAGAAGTCAATAATTTTCGAGTTATAAGCGATTGAAAAAAATGGGTTTTTGAAAACTAAACGTTTTGGAGTTAAAAGTCTAACATAATTACATTCTTCAGTTAATTTCAGGTAGAATTTACTATAATAAAATTTTAATTTGAGGCTTAGTCATAAAAATACCTAATGACAAATATTGGAAAGTTGTAAAAAATGATGATCTTTTTCGACATTTTCGCTGAGGAAAAATCGTTCCCAAATTGACCAAAGAATCCATTTGTGATCATTAGTCCGTTAATTACCGGACACCCTGTATACATATAATAATTATATATAAATATATATAAATAACAATATAAATAACAATATAAATAATTAATAAAAATCATTATATAAATAATTACGTAAACATCATGCATTTAAAGAATCTGTAGCATATATGCAATGATTTGGGAAAATAATAAAAGAAATGACAAACCTGCCACGCGGACGGCTCGGTGCATCCGTTGCTCTCCTGCTCGGACAATTCGCCCTAGGCGGCATAGTCTCGTCGGCACGCATATTGATGCTCTTGACCTCCTCGTCGATGCCTATCGCGCCCTCGCTACTCGCCATGGATTGCTGGCTGGTCGCGCTCACCGCTTTCTGGGACGAATCGCTTATAAATGTACTAGGAACTAATATTTGTAGTCCGTCGAACTCAAAGACGTTCATCGGTCCGGCGTGAGCGTCCTCGTTTATGTTGAGCAGTTCCATCGGTTGCTTCGGCATCAACGTAGACTTGGCGGCGGAGGAGTGAAAGCCCTTCGATTCCTGGCCGATCGCGCTGGTCGTCGGGTCGATCGACTCGGACAGGTTCAGGAGATTCTGCGGCGTCTTCGCGGAGTACGACGAGCCTTCGTGCATCAAGACCGATGGCTGCGAGTGCATCACAGGGAATGAACTGACGTGCTCGGTTATCACCGATTGCTGATACGTGTAACTATTATTTATGCTATTACTACTACTGCTACTACTGCTGCTGCTGCTGATGCTGCTGCTGCTGCTACTGATGCTGCTGTTGCTGCTCGACGATTCCTGAACCTTGTCGACTTTGTCGTGCAGGTTCTCCTCCCGATGATCGTCAGTCTTAATTGTCTTCTCCTCGACTTGCGAGCAGTCGATCGGGTCCTTCTCTGCAATGTTATCTACAAGATTATTATCTACACCGTTGCTGTCCTCGTCGTGACTCACGCTGTCACTGTCCACGTGGTGAAACGAGTGCATGGACGTGGGCGAGCACGGCTTGCTGAGATCCGTCCGGACTCTTAACACGGATATACCGCTGATGGTGGAGAGCGGAGTGTGCGATCTCACGCCGCAGTCCGCGAAAGGCGTATGGGGACTCGGGATCTCCTCGATCTCCATGTCCGCCTCGTCGAAGTTGTCCTCCTCGTCCAACTTCTCGTCCTCGTCGAGCTCGTCGTCGTCATCATCCTCCTCCTCGTCCTCGTCCTGCATCGCCGGCCCGTCCTCGTAGCCGGGAGGACGGTTGTGATACTGGTTGAGATTTTCGCAGGATCCCAGCTCCGACCGCGCGCTGAAACGACGCCCCGTGCTCCTGCGGCACTTCCTCGCGGTCACCGGAGACGGGGGCGCTGAAAAACTATGCTTATACTTGTACATGTGCAAACTTCTCTCCAGTCTCTGCAATCCGTCGTCCAATTTCGGGCACTCGGACGCGTTGTACGAGAAATAACAGGGTTGCTCCAGCGTTCTCAGTTCGTTATTATCCGCGTAATCGTTCGGGCACCACGTGTTGTGATCCTCCTGCATGTCGGGCAATATGTGGTCCTTCTCGCGGGGGCCTAGAATCGTCACCACGGTGTCGTGAATCACGGTCTCCTGCCTGTCGGGTTTCTCCCTCGTGTCCACCAGTCTCTCCCGTTCGTCGGACAGAGCCTCGTCCTTCTCGAGCGAGGCCCTGTTCAGCTCCGTCTCCATTATGGTGATCAGATTCTCCAGCTTCTCCACCGAATTCAGTTCAGGCTGAATGGAATCCTTCAACGCGTCTATCGCCACCGGGTCCCGCGGTGATAAAACGTTACTGCTGACGATACTGTTGCGACTTCCCGGCCTCTCCTCGCTCAGCATTTCCGCCTCGACGTCGCACGCCATCGAATCCACGTCATTCGTTGCGTTGGTCTTCCTATTGGATAAACTCACGTAGCCATCGGGCACGATTCCCTGCTGCGCAAACTGCTGGGTCTCAGCTTGCTCGTACGTCACAGTCGAGATGTTTGTACTCGATGGCTCCTCCGTGTCCTCCATGTCCGGCAGCACGCTCTCCACTTTGTCGTCGTCGGTGCTGTTCATGGCGCAGGCGATCGTGATGGATCTAGGAATAGCGTTGTAGCCGTGCTGCACCGTAGTTTCACCAGACGACGAGGCACTCTGCAGCTGCTGTCCTCTGTGATCGATGGGCAGCGCGTTGTCGTCGTTGGTCTCCTCCTGTCTGACGGACGCCTCCTCGTTCTCCAACGCAGGCGAGGCGGCCGGTAGATTAACGTCCGACATGACTTGTCCGGATTCTCCCTCGGTGTCCGGCAAAATCTCAGGCAGGATCTGCTTCGGCTCGGGACTATTTACAGGAATTGCCAGCGCGGTCCTGACACTGCTCTCTCCGGCCATGGTGACCACTGGCCGGATCCTCGTCGCGCCCGGGATAGCTGCAACCGGTGAGATCATTTGGACGGTGGGTATCTGCTGCTGTTGGTACATACCGTAGGGATTGTACAGCATCTGCATCATCTGATTCGCCTGGGGCGGCGCCATCGCGTACTGCGGTATCATCATGGTCCCGTTGTTCACGAATTGCTGATAGCTGAACGAGGTAAACTGCGGCGGCATCATGGTACTTATGGGCGGACATTCGAAGATGGGTCCTATGGGATACGGCGAGTGTGCTGAGATGTGCGGGGAGTTCTGCGAGACATGGGGCGAAGTCTGCGGAGTCTGAATAGAGGTAGGAGCCTGCGGCGAGGCCTGCGGAGCCTGCAGCGACACCGGTAACGAGCCGGTTGACGCCTGGGGCGAAGCCGCAGCTTGTTGCTGCTGCTGTTGCTGCTGCGAATGATGCTGATACTGTTGCTGCGGATGTTGCTGATACTGTTGCTGCTGCTGATGCGACTGAATGTACGAGGTGCTGGCCTTGATGAGAGCTTCTATAACCTGCTCCTTGGGATGGGTGTCCAGATGCTTCTGCAGACTGATACCCTCGCGCAGATACAAGGTACACACCGGACAGGCCACGGCCCCGAGCGGGGCTCCCGCAGCGTTGTTCAGCTCCATGGTTAGCCTACAACAAGTGTCGTTGTTTTTTCTTCCACTCTTACTAGTAAATTATAAAAAGAACAGCGCCTTAGCGCGCCAGAAGAAAAGACGTTCTATGCAAGGTCGACGTGCCGACGCAAGGAACGGCTGTCCCGTGCGTTGGCATCCGCCTCTCGGACCGTAATCTCGTAACGTGTTCCGTTCCGCGCCTCCTCCTCCTCCTCCTCTTCCACCACCTCCACCTCCACCACCGCCTCCTCCTCCTGCTCCTCGTGCCTCGACTCGTCTCTTCGTGACGAAAAGCGAAGGCTCGTCTCGCGTCACATCTCGTCGCCCACCATCGGGCCACCGCGACACGGCTGCACGACAGCTGCACAACAACACCGCTGTGCCCCGAAAATATCGACGTCCATGTCTGCGCTGTGTCCCCCTTAAACTTAAGCTGCTGCTGCTGCTGCTGGTCGAACGATTGCGAGAGCCGCGATGAGCGGCGGCGGCACTGGCTCGCCAGACAAATCGATATCCTGTTAAATCGCCAGCCAGAGGCCACCCCAGCCTTAGCCTGCCTGGCGCTTATTAAATTACACCTGCCTGCACGCGGCGCGGCCGACGCGACGACGGATTCTGACGGTGACTGGCTGCGGCGGCGGCGTGTGTGTCGGGAGACGCGATGTCGTCGCACTCACTCTCTCTCTCTCTCTCTTTCTCTTTCTTCCTTTCTTTCTTTCTCGGGAGATTCCGAGAAACCGACGACGGAGAGCCTCCACGAGAGCGCGGCCGCCCCCTTTCTCGCTTTCTTCCTCTTCCTCGGCACGATTATCGCGACCGCATGATTTTTTTTTCTCACCCTTCTTCTCCTCCTCGCCCACGGCCCCCGAAAACACAACAGAAAACAGCGACGGGGCGATGATAATCCCGCCTGGGAATGGGAGCAACAAGAGCCACCGAGGGACACGGCCGAAAGCGCCGCCTGGTGCCCCCTGGCCGCTAGCGCGCCAGCGCCATCTGGCGGCGCCCGCCCGAAGCTAGAACTGTCAAATCTGACGTATCAGCGGAGCGCGCGTGCGCGCCGCCCAGTGCGCGTGCGCGCGCCATCGACCGATGACGCGTGACAGCTCGCGGCTCGGGTTAGGTCGGCGCGTCAGGGGGCATTGATGTTTTTACGTTTCTCTAATTATTTTCTAATCTATGACGCGCAAGCCTGATTGAGCGAGATTTTTGCAGTCGGTACTGCAGCGCTCCTTCTTCGGTTGTTTGTTTATTTTCTATCATATATATATATTATTATTGTCTCGGAGAGACGAATAAAAATTAGAAATACATCCTGATTGAATCTGCGGGGTTGGATGAAAAAAAAGAACTGACAGGAAGAATTAGTTTATATAGTCGAAAGAAAGAAAAAAATGTAGATTATGAATTATTAAGTATGGCCCATATTAATCACGATCAAGGAATGGAGCATGTGGACTTTTTAACAAAATTTCACAATATTTCGAATAAATTGAAGAAGTGGGTTATTTGAAATATATTTAATTACAAGTTTTTATATGTGACAGTGATTTATTTATATTAATCTTTTAGACGTTTCCTGAGGAAGCCAAACGTCTCGGAGGCATGCGATCAATTTAGTGAGTATTTATTTGTTATAATATACGCGCATTAATTTTTAATTATATTAAAAGAGCAACGTGTAGAAGGAAGTGTTTATTTTTTAGGTGCTTTAGCCACTGAATGCGAACAGAAAGAATTGTGGCAATATGCAGGTTTGTGTTGGTTGGCGGCTGCCAGATGTCAAGGTACATTAGAAAATGCCTCTTCTGAAATAAATCTTCTGATAAAAGCGGGACGGCAATTCCTTGTAGCTGAGAAAAAAGACAACGATATAGGGTGTCCCTCTATAGGACAAGAAAATATACAGGTTTTTATATGAATTTATATGAATATAAATTCAAAGACACAAAGTAAAAAATAAAGGGTATAAAATAAGCAAAAATATATATCTTTCATACATTCCAGGCAGCTGTGAGTTGTTTCGGTCACTCTATGGCAAGATGCAGCAACCAACCAGGATTCAATACAATTTCTGCAGGTCTATCAGTGGAACTAGCATTAGCATTGGGCCCAGGTCCTGCTGGTATTCAACAGTTGCGGAAAGCAATTGATATATTTCCCACATCAAAAGCTATCAATACTTTAGTGTCTTTTCATATAAACCAAGGTATCTATTTTGTCCTACTTTCTTATCATATTTTTTAGTAATTATAAGTATAAAGTAATTTATATTTTTCCTTATGTATAGAGTCTTTTAATTTTATCTTTATAGGAGATTATGTAGCTGCACTACAGATTCTTAACGAATATGTAGAATTTGCGGAAGCTTGCGTTGTGGCAGGTGCCAGAGGAAATTACAATGCTATTTTACATAGGTATTGTAATAATCATTTTGCAAAAATATATTTAACAATCAAATATATATATAATATAATAAAGTCGATGATTTATAGGTGCGAGGTGACGCGAGTACTTTTACTACTCATTCTTCAGCCATCGCCGCAAAGACTAACACCCTCCCTCGCCCAAGTTCTCGAAAAATATGCATGGGCCGAAGAGAATGTAAATAATAGTACGTAATAGACCTGAATTGTGGCTATTTCAAACTTTACAAAAATTATGTAATAAATACGTTTAATATTATTAAGTTAACTTTTTGTCTTTTCCAGATCTCAATATGAGCGAGGATGAACTATTGTTGCTGCAATCCCTGGTATTAGCCTGCCAGTCTCACGATCATCAAGCAGTATTGGAACTCGAGAGCGAATTGTATCCTTACTTTGACACGGAGCAAAAGGAATTGTTACATAAATTGATCCAAGTACTATCGACGCAGTAAATATATACTAAAAAATGAAACGAGGGAGTCGTGCTCGACTAATTTTTGCCCGGAATTTCATTCATCGCAGACCTCTTCGTGATTTCACATCGTAGTGTACAGTCTACCGAGATCAAAGATCAGGAGAGGAGCCGATGGAAGGAGGATTGCCAGTCTTTTTCTTTCATTTCTGCGCGATTACATTATTAGTCGCCTCGAAACAGGTTCCTAAGCTCTTAAGCTCTTGCGCAACCGAGACGAACCGCGCTTCGAATCCAGGAGTAGTGTCGAAATACGGAATCTGCGTTGAACGATGGCTCGCCTCTGGTGATCTCCTGATCGCGGAAAAGGCAGGAGAGGCGCGCGATGTGAAAGGAGGAGGAACTCTTTAGATGAGAATCGTAGAGCGAAGGACGAGGCTGGAAGGAAGGGCGTATATAAAAGTGTGCGTGCCGGTATGGCATCGCGAAGGAGGGGATGTCTCGGCGCGTCCCGTGATACAATAAGGTCCCCTGTTCCTTCTACGGCTTCTACTCTCAGTCATCGCGCAAGTGTCTCCAGAGTTCTTCAATCGCGTTCCATTCAATCGTTCGATCTTAAGTCCTGCACCGAGGTAACGATCTCTTCTTTTATTCCATATTCTCTAGAGCGAGTCCTTTTTTTGAATCCTATAAAGCGAAAGCAAATATAAATTGTGAGTATAAAAATGCGCCAAGATGCTCCTCGACTGTTTTTTTATTCAGACTCGCAACAAGGATCTTCGAGTCTTTCGTAATCAGCTTCAAGGACGCCAATTAATTTCTCAATTTAAAAGTCAAGGTTTATAGAAAGAGTTTATAGAAATAGAACCGCATTCCAAAAGAAATTATTTTATATTAATCAGAGCTAATACGAGCTGATTGAATCGCGTTTTATTTTGTTTGATAAAATATAAATATAAAATAAAATAAAAAATAAATAAAATAAAAATAAAAATATGTAAAATATAATGTAAAATATAAATATTTTTTTGTGCATTTACTAGTGGTTTATTATAAATGAAAATTTTTTTCGATGTGAAGATCGAATATATTTAGAAATATATTTTGAAGGCTGAATAAATGTCTATAATAATTGTATATTTTTATTATAAGAATTTAATTACAAATTTGAGTAATTTCTGGACATATCTATCTTATGATTGCATTCGAAAATATATGAGAGTTTATACACACTTTCGATTATAATTACATCTTTCATTGTCTGGATTATAGTCTTAAAATTTAAAAAGAGATATTTAAAAAATTTAAATATAAAATTCAAAATTATTTTTATTTTCAATTTTAAAATCTCTTAATTTTATGCAGATGCAATTTTTTTTACACCTTTGTCATATATATCTTTCATTGTCCAAATTATAATCTTGTACAATTCGCGAGATATTTAAAAAATTAAAATGTTAAAAAGTTTCCAATTTAAAAAAAATCAAATCCTAATTTTTTTTACATAGATGCAGATTTTTTTATGCGTTTGTTATAATACGCATCTTTTTCCATTCCTTTTCTTTTATCCAAGACACTACTGAGATATACCGCTACAATGATTTATCACGTGTTTCGGTGACCTTGAACTCTCTTTGCTCACTTGCACGAAGGTGAATGCCCCAGGCACCTGCACTCTTCGGCTCGCAAGTGTGTGCATTTCCATAGGAATCAAAGTCTGACCTATGTATTTATCTTTCTCAAAGAGTCTAAGAATCATTTATCTACTCAAAAATATATTTATAAAAGAAATTAATTATATTATAAATATTTAATTATATATACATCTTTGTATAAAGCGAAATACTTACGGAATCAATATTAAAAATTCAATTTTCTCGTCTAGCCAGAAGAGAGAAAAATGACCGGGGACTGGAGGACCATTTTCGTAACCGGAGGCGCCGGTTACATCGGCAGTCATTGCATCGTCGAGCTCTTGGAGTGCGGATACGACGTGGTGGCGATAGACAACTTCGCGAATAGCGTCACGGAAACCGATGGCGAATCCGCGGCTCTCAAGAGAGTCGAGAAAATAACTGGGAAAAAGGTCACATTTTACAACTGCGATCTGCTGGACAAAGAAAAGCTCGAGATCATCTTCAGCAAGGTATACAGACTTCATTAACATTACATTTTGTATTATATATTTTCCACATATATAATACATATTCTATTTTATTTTTGTTATATATAATTTTTTATTATATAATTTTTATTTAATTATTATTTATTACTGTATAATTTTTATTAACATATATATTTATTGTTTATTTAATATATAATTTTTGTTTATATAATATGTAATTACAATCGCGTAGTTTTCGAATAAATTAAAAAAGCAATATATTTTAGCCACACGTGTATAAAAAAGTAATTTGTCATTTTCAGCACAAAATAGACTGCGTCATACATTTTGCGGCCATCAAAGCTGTCGGCGAATCTATGCAAGTTCCGCTTCATTACTATCGAAACAACATAATAGGAGCTATTAATTTGTTGGAGGTAAAAAGAAAATACATTACACACTTTTTTTGGATAATCTCTTCAAGAAGTCTGACACGTCGTCCTTTTCATTTGCAGGTGATGAAAGCGGCTGGATGTTTTCAGCTGGTATTCAGCAGCTCTTGCACAGTTTACGGCGAGCCTACAGAATTGCCTATTACAGAGACACACGAAACCGGAAATATCACCAATGTTTACGGACGAACGAAGTATTTTATCGAGGAGATATTGAAGGACATATCCAGAGCTGAAAAAGTTCGTACGCCCAAAAAGATCTCGAATTTACTCTTTCATATTCGTACGAATTATAGATAAAAGTTTACTCGTACTTGTGTAAAATATTATTGCAATATATATATATATATATATATATATATATATATATATATATATATGAGTGTTTGCTCTCTAGATGACAAATATGTAAATCAAACTTTGCCTCAGTTTTATTTTTCTAGAAGAAATTATGTATTACCATGTGTTCCCGTTTGTGCATTTTTAAATGATTTTTATTGAAGATTTTTTTTCTTTGACAGAGCTGGAATATTATATCTTTGAGATACTTCAATCCAGTGGGTGCTCATTGTAGCGGGTTAATCGGTGAAGATCCGACGAAACCGTTTACGAATCTGATGCCGTACATCGCTCAGGTTGCTTTGAGACACAAACCGGAACTGGTTATATTTGGTGGCGATTATCCTACAAATGACGGCACAGGTACTGATATTATCTTGACTCATCAAATATGAAATAAGTATCGATATACAATTTAGGAGTATATACAGAGTGTCCTATAGGAAATTGCTGAAACTAATCAACTGTCATTTTTTTATGCATGCAGTTACTGAGAAAATAAAAATTGTGTTGAAAAGAGGAAAGTCTACAATTTTTTAATGGATATAAATAAAATATTTGTATACCAGTTTATTTTATTGAAAAAAGTGCTAATAATCACATATATAAACTAATGATAAATATTTTAGAAGTGTGTACCATTTGAATTCATACAAATTTCTGTCATTTTTTATGTTATTGACAATCCTTTTAATAGCTGCTATTAAATCTGGCACTGTTGAAAATATTTATCATTAGTTTATGTGATTATTAGCATTTCTTTCATTACTTTTTATCAATAAAATAAACCGATATACAAACATTTTATTTATGTCCATTAAAAACTGTAGACTTTCCTCTTTTCAACACAATTTTTGTTTTCTCAATAACTGCATGCATAAAAAAATGAAGCTGATTAATTTCAATAATTTGTTATGGAACACCCTGTGCAATTTAGGAGTATATATTTGTGGACTATATAATCTGTGTATAACGTAATCTTACCAGGAGTTTCATGTTCCTTTTCCTTTCACAGGTGTTCGTGATTACATTCACGTTATGGATCTAGCAGCAGGTCATGTAGCGGCGTTAAACGCTTTGCATAAGCAGCATCTTAGGTTGAAAATTTACAACTTAGGAACTGGCAATGGCGTAACTGTACTGGAATTGATAAAAACGTTTGAGAAGGTCACCGGCACTACCGTGCCTTATGTTATGAAAGAGAGAAGAGAGGGAGACATCGTATCCATGTATGCTAATACAGATTTGGCGAAGAAAGAATTGGGATGGACAGCAAAATACAATGTTGAGCAAATGTGTAAGTAACAAAATTTTAAAAGGACCTCACACCAAATATATAGAATTTTGGCTATCCAATATTTAGTTTTGAAGGTATTACATCTTTGTTCAGCAGGACATAAGCTACAATATGGAAAAAAAAATAACAGCCAATTCCACTAAAAGCCAAAATCCTATGTATTTGATGCAAGATCTTTTCAGCTTAGCAATGTGTCTAATGAATAACGAATAAATACAGGTCAAGATTTTTGGAGGTGGCAAATGATGAATCCGCATGGTTATCGAACTTCGATAAAAACGGTATAAACGAACATCTGAATAATTCATCGTAATGATAATCGAATTGTATCAAAGAACATTTGTGCAAATAATTTATAATAAAGGCTCAATACAAATTATCTTATAACTTACATATTTATAATATCTACAGCTCTTTTTTTATGATTAATTTTTAATCTCTTTCGTTCTCGCTCCTTTTATATTCAGCATCACTTTCAGCTCTCTTGCTTTCATCCAGAATTTCATAGAGCGACAAATGTTGAAATTTTAAAATTTCCAAACCCCAACTCGTCCATCCTGGTAATAGATATCTTGCAAAAATTTCTAAACATTTTGGCTCATTTGGGAGATACTCCTTTATGATTTCTAAACATACAAGTAAATTTTTTTGATTGCAAAATATTATATTTTTAAATTTTTAGATTATATTTATACCTGTAAGAGGTGGTTTATGAGAATGCACTGCACTAGGTACACTGATCATCAGCTTGCCATCAGGAATGTTCACTTTGTTATCCTCTAATGCAGATCCTAATATCAATGTTTCAAAAGGTTGCTTTCCCGGCGCCGAATTAAAATTACAAATTGTATCACCTGCTTGTGTTACCTAAAATGACATTTTGTTAAATGTTTGCTGAATTTACATTTACATTGTGTTAGATAAAAACTGTATTATAAGAGACATCGCTTACTTTGATCCAATACCATTTAGCTCTATAAGTAATGCCCCAGGATGGAAATATTTCATTAAAGATACTATTCAAATTATTCGATGAATTAGTACACCATATAGCCACAATACCATTTGCATGTAATAATTTTCTTATTGGTATTTTGATCAATTCCTCATTGTACATCATTTTGTAACTACAAAAAAGAGCAAACATTTCTCATAAAATGCAATCAAAAGTTATATATATATGCTTATCTTTCTCATTTGAGATTAGACAAGTTAAATTCAAAATATAAATATAACATAAATATTAAATTTAAATTTAAATATAAAATATAAACATTAAATTTAAATATAAAATAAGTTATCTTTTCATAAATACACTAAAAATTTTTTTCTATTAATTTATACGTAATTACCTAGCTTCAGCAAATTTCATTTTCTTTCTTCTGATTGACTTATTCCACCAGGGTGGATCCAATAATATAAAATCATACTGATTGTTCAGTTCCATCTTCTTTTCTATATCTCTCACATCATAAGAATAAAATGTACATTTTTTCGGAAATACATATTTCTTATTATTAGCTTCAGATATGACAGCATTATTTGTATCATTGGATCCATACAGATTCTCATCCTTGAGACAATAAGTATCCTGATAAAATTTCTGTGATGCTAAGCGTGCAGCTTCATTGTTATCCAGAGAAATATTTCTATTAAAGAGTCCTCTCCTCTTCGCAGTAGACATCATTGCATTGAATGTTTGTTTAACATGATCAACCTGTAAAAATTAATTTTATAAGAGATCTGTACGACATAATAAGAGAAATGATTTATTTAAACCTACTTCCTCCAAATCTCTTTCTGGCAATAATTGTGAACGCTTCCTCTTTTTTTTACTATGTGACACAGCATCATCCTGAAGAATTTGTGCAATTTGATTTGGCCTCAAATACTGAGAATTAATCTCGAATATCATTTCATTGAAAATTAAAGAGCAGATTCTACTCTCATTCAAGACTACTCTTTCATAAATCTCATTGAGATATTGTAAGTGAGATAAAATCCAGCCCTCTTCGCTACTAAGAAGGACACTCATATTTGACGCATACACTGTCATACACATGTGCACATAATATTCATCGTATCAGATTGCATTTTACAACACATCTTACGTTTATATGTTAAATCATTAGTTCTATTGTGCCTTACCGCACTGCATTTCATCAATCCAATATTTGACATAGGTATTTGACAGTTCGAGTAAGGACAGAGTGTATATAATTATTTACAGATTGCATCTTATGGCACATCTCACGTTTATATGTCAATTTAAATTACTTTATTGCACTGCATTTTATCAATCCAAAATTTGACAGGTATTTGACAGGTCGAATAAGGACAGAGTGTGTATATATATAATTATTTACATACAGATTGCATCTTATGACACATCTCACGTTTAATTCACGTTTATATGTCAAATCATTACTTTATTGCACTGCATTTTATCAATCCAATATTTGACAGGTATTTGACAGTTGGAGTAAAGAGAGTAAATTAATTATTTACATACACCAATGCGTACATATGTCATTTTCTATACGTACACGTGGATTCGTACGCGTGCATTTATTCGAAAAATCTATGCATAATGCGCAATTGCATGCAAATTCGATCCTTCGATATTATTGGTCGCCGTTTGCCGGCTCGTCCTTCTCCTCCTTCGCTCTCCTTTGATAAACACGCGCCGACGAGAGAAGAGTTTACAGAAAACGGATTTTTTTTTATCGTTGCAAAAAAGAAAATTGCACCTCCAAGGACGCACGATGGTCCTCCTAGGCGAAATATTTCCGGACTTCACCGCGGACACGCAATTAGGCACTATTAAATTTCACGAGTGGCTGGGCGATTCGTAAATATCTTTTTTGCAATATTATAACCTATTATGTTATAACCTAAACTCTCTCCATCTCTATTTGTAGAAAAGTATTGATTGAATATATATATATACACACATGTACAATAGATATATACTCGAGATATATACATATAAATATTTAAGCATTCACACATCTTACTTATCTGTCATTTGAAATTATATTTAGTGTGCGATTAATAAATTAATCTGTCAAAAAAGCTTGTATTTTATATATATTATTTTTATTTTATTTTATATATAATTAAATTATTTTATATGTATGTATATATATATATATTTTTTTTTTTTTTTATTTGCAAGAAATCGTAATTTGTGATATGTGAATTATATAACTGATAAATATTATATGTTCGTATTTTATATATATTATTTTATTTTATTATTATTTTATATAATATATATTATTTTATATGTATGTATATGTAGTCTTTTTTCAGAAATTTTTTATTTTACATTTTTATTTGCAAGAAATCGTAATTTGTGATATGTGAATTATATAACTGATAAATATTATATGTTCGTATTTTATATATATTATTTTATTTTATTATTATTTTATATAATATATATTATTTTATATGTATGTATATGTAGTCTTTTTTCAGAAATTTTTTATTTTACATTTTTATTTGCAAGAAATTATCACTTGTGATATGTGAATTATGTAATGGGTAAAATTACATTAATCTGCTTTCTCCTGAAAATAGATGGGGCATTTTATTCTCTCATCCCAATGATTTCACACCAGTCTGCACAACTGAATTGGCACGGGTTGCAAAACTGATGCCTGAATTTAGGAGATTAGGTGTGAAGGTAATCGCATTGTCCTGTAACACAGTTGAGTCCCATCGTAAATGGATAAAGGTTTGTATAATTTGCAATTTTAAGTAATATTTAATATTAAATTTATATTTGTAAGAAATCAAAATATGTGTATATATTAATATTGAGGATAAAAACATTATTACAGGATATAAAAAGTTACGGCGAGATAACAGATGAGGAATTTCCATATCCGATAATAGAGGATCAAACTAGGAAGCTCGCTACAGCATTGGGAATGTTGGATCCTGCAGAAATAGACAGTCAGACTGGATTACCCATGTCGGCGCGAGCTGTGTTTATAATTGATCCAGTGAAAAAGATGCGACTATCAATTTTATATCCAGCCACTACTGGTCGCAATTTTGAGTAAGAACCATCTCTACTTCATATATGATAAATAAAATATTTTTTGTGTAAAAAAAACTGTGCGATTAAAATTTCACATTCTTGATTTTCAGTGAAATAATAAGGGTGATCGAGTCTCTTCAGCTTACAGAAAAGTATAAAGTAGCAACTCCTGTAGATTGGAGGGTAGGTTTTAAGACAATTTAATCTTGTCCCTTTTATCAAAGATATTAATTTTTCATAATTAAATCCTTGAATACGACTTATTAACGGTGATTAAGTTTGTCCAATATTTCAGAAAGGAGACGACGTAATGATTGATCCAAGTGTATCGGACAGTGAGGCCAAAGCTTCTTACAATGATATTAAAACTGTGATGGTGCCTTCTGGCAAAACGTACCTGCGTATTGTGCCACAACCTATAGATGCGTAAAAGAAAACCTGTGCACTGTCGTTAATAATACTGCAATTCATTCTTGGCAGAGAAAAATTTTCATCAGAATATGGGAGTTCCATTTATTCACATGCACACACGCATGTGCATATATATAGATATATATATATGTTTATGTCATACCTGGAGAAGAACAGGCTAAAAACACATTAAGTCACAGTTCAGTGACGCTAAAAAAATAAAAATAAAGAAAATGTTCTATATATTTTCAAAGAAGCTATATTAAAATTCAAACTCTGCACGAGCCATTATTTGTATGATATAAATGTTCCATTTATGCTGTCTTAAGAGATAAGCCGTTCAATATTTTCTTATTATACATTAAATATAATATATAATATATAATATATATTAATGCAACATGTATTAATATAATATATATTATATATTATCGAACAATAATATTATAATATTATTGATATTATATATGCTCCATATATTTAGATTTTATCTAAGACTCTTCTAAGAAGCTATTATTAGAAAGACGTGACAATATTTCTTTTCTACATGCGAGAAAAATCAATATTTACATCACCAGCTTGGTTGACATAAATCAAAGATTTGTATTCTTAGTATTTGCAAACAACAAAAGAAGCTGTTTATTATTTCACCTAATGTAATTAAAAGTACACTGCGTTATATACATTTTCTTTTCCAAGTACATTGCTTACTGTCTCTAGGCATAATGTGTATAATATTTACATTGTTATTTTATTAAGTTATTACTATAAATGTTTTTCTACATTACGATTATATTTCATTCTTGTGTTTCTTGCTTTATGCGCAATAGCGAGTACATAATTTTATATTTCATATATAAAACAGTCCCTGATCAAAATCAATAAGATTTATATATATATATATATTAGTATAAGATAAGAAATTTAACAAAATTATACCTTTATCATATCGTTTATTATTACGCAATTAAAAATTAATTACTACACAAAGTATCGAATCGTAAAATACTATCATATATGTAATTATACAGCCTTATTTGAGAGACCCTTCTCCCTCGCATACCTGTTCACTATCATACTGCCGTTAATAATACCGCAGTTCATCCTTGGCAGAGAGAAACCATCTCCATCCGAATACAGGAGTTCCATTTATTCACACGCACATACACACGCATGCGTACATACACACATTGGAGAAATTGAATTGAAAGCTACTGGCAGATACTGCCAAAATCCGTAGCCCCCTTTCGATGCACTTGTGCTTAATTAATCTGTTTCGAAGCAACCACTTTCTTTCCATGTTTCACAAAGAATCGCTGATCATCGTCGAACAGGAATCATCTATATATATATATATAGATATATATAAATATATATATACATATATATAGATATATATAAATATATATAAATATATATATATATATATATATATGTATGTATGTATGTATGTATGTATATATGTATATAAATATATATAGATAGATTTTCGTTGTGCGAACAATGTCGAGTCAGTGTGGAATAAAAAAATCTAGGCAGTGAGCGAGTGTCCATGATTTTTTCTATTTTCATCCTCCTCATCAGACCACCTGAAGCTTCTCCAAGTGATCCTTCCTTACTTCCAGCAACGCAGGATGATCCCTCTTGATTCATTCGCCAGTCACATGCCTCTTCCATATTTTGTTTCTATTTTCTTTCTCCTCGTCAGGTTACCTGAAACTTCTCCAAGTGATTTCAGCAACGCAGGACGATTATTCACCAGTCACATGACTATTATCTTGCTGGTGCATCTCCTCTTCCATTTTTTTTTCTATTTTCCTTCTCCTCTTCAGGCTACCTGAAGCTTCTCCAAGTGATTTCAGCAACGCAGAACGATCCTCTTTGACTATTCTTGCTGTTGCATCTCCTCTTCCATTTTTTCCTATTTTCTGCCTCCTCGATAGGCTACCTGAAGCTTCTCCAAGTGATTTCAGCAACGCAGAACGATCCTTCTTGACTTCTTCGCCAGTCACGTGACTACTATCTCGCTGTTGCATCTCCTCTTCCATTTTTTCCTATTTTCTGCCTCCTCGATAGACTACCTGAAGCTTCTCCAAGTGATTTCAGCAACGCAGGACGATCCTCCTTGACTTCTTCGCCAGTCACGTGACTACTATCTCGCTGTTGCATCTCCTCTTCCATTTTTTCCATTTGCCATCTCCTCGTCAGGCTACCTGAAGCTTCTGCAAGTGATCCTTCATTGCTTCGGCAACTCAGGACGATTCCTCTTGACTCATTCACCAGTCACGTGACTATTATCTTGCTGTTGCGTCTCTTCCATTCTTTCCTGCCTCTTCGTCAGGCTACCTGAAGCTTCTCTAAGTGGTCGCCCGTTGCTTCGGCAACGCGCGACGATCCCTCTTGACTCATTCACCAGCCACGTGACTGCTGTCCTGTTGTTGCTGCTCCGAGTGCTGCTGCATCTCGCCTTCCATCCGCGCCTGCCGTTCCGCGGCCGCTCGCGCCTGTCTACCTGCGCTCGACCTTAGGTTCTTCCGCTCAGGCGGCGGTTCCACGCTCAGTCGTTTTCCGCTGCGAGCCTTCTTCGTCTTAGGGTTGCCCTTTGCGTCCTCCTCCACCTCCGAGGCCGCAGGCTTGTTGCTACTGGTATCGCTCTTCTGCGGCGTCGTCGTCGTCGTCGTCGACGTCGGCGACGTCGACGTCGAGGTCGATGTTGCTGACGACGGCGTCGTCGTCGTCGTCGGTGTTGTTGCCGTCGTCGTCGTCGTCGTCGTCGTCATTGATGCTGCTGCTGTCGCTGTTGTCGTCGTCGTCGTCATCGTCGTCTCCCCCGTCGCCGTCGTCGCTGCCGCTGTCTCGCTCGTCTCCTTCTTCGCCGCGGTGCTCGTCTCCGCGGAAGACGAAGCGTCGCCCTCGTCCTGAGAAGCCGGCTGCGGGGCCGCCTTCGTCGGGGTGGTCGGCAGCGTTGCTGCTTGCTGCCTCGTCACGGGTTCAATCTCGATCGTCGCCACCTCGTTGTTCGAGGACGACTTCGAGGTGCCGGTAGTGCTGGAAGTGGTGTCTACCTCGAGACGCATCTTCTTGGCGACCGGCTCCAGGGTGACCTCTAGCGGCGCCGAAGGCGTCGATCGTTGTTGCTGGTCGGAATTTTGATTGCTGCCGTCAGTATTGCTATTATTGCTGCTGCGGTTCCTTGGCTTCTCGGGCTTCAACGCGTCCGAGTCCACCGTGTAAGTGACAAATTCGGCGCTGGTCCTGCTCAGGTGCTCCAGAGCCTCCTTCATCTCCTGTTCCTTACTCTTCCGCTCGCTCGTCTTCTTCTCGGAGGATAAATCCGCGGGGATCACGTCGACTTGTTCCGCCGTCGAGGTCTCCCTCTTATCGTGCTGCTGCTGCTCGACGCCGCGGCTGCGTCTGTCCTCGCCGCCGTGCAACGCCGCCAGATCGGTGTACTGTTGAAGAGCCACGGCCGGATCCACCGGAGGATACCTGGAGGACGCCTTCTTCTCGGCCTCCTTCCGCTTCGTCGTCGAGGACGATGACGACGACGAGGATTCCGGGACAGCGTCGCGCTGGTTCCTCGAGGAGCTGCCACCCGAAGACGCGGGCTTCCGCACCGAGGAGGCGCTGGACGTCGGTGGATTCAGCAGCCCGCACTGGGCGAGACTCTCGTAGGCCGAGGACACGCCGCCGGGTTGCATGGAGAACGGGTTCAGGCCACCCAGACCTAGCGGCGTGTAAAGGAGGCTGGGATTTGACAGGAAGAACGGGAACGAGGGTGTCGGGAGGCTCGTCGCCGAGGAAGCCGCGGACAAGGACGACGGACCACCGGCAGCCGACGATGACTTGGTCGTCGTCGGTTGATCGAGTTTGCTGCTGCGCGACTTGCTGCCACCGCCGCCGCCACCTCCGCCACTTCCGCTCAATCCGGATGAAGAGCCTCCGCCGCTCTTGCTGCCGCTCGTGGCTGAACTCACCACGGGATTGTTCACGGCGTCCACCACGGACGCGCTGCTGGTCGCCACCTGAGCGTTCAAGGCCGCCTCCATCCCGGCCAACGACGGCAGACTCAGTCCGGCCAGGTTGGCGAACAGCGAATTTGTTAGGCCCATGCTGCCCAGGTTGCCGAGGTTGCCGAGGCCGCTGAGCGCGCCCAGATTCGTCAGACCGCCGAACGGCATCAGGAGCGGATTGTTCTTCGGGTCGAAGTTGCCGAGGGACAGACCCGAGAGTAGAGAATTGTTGAGATTGCCCAGGGGGAAGTTGAGACCCGACGCCATCGATGTGGCCACTAAGTTGGCGGAATTCGCGGACTGCTGGCTCGTAGGGCTGGGCATCATCGGAGGCCTGCCCGGGCTCTTGCCCTTGTTCACGCCGCCGCGTTCGCTGCCCGGCAGTCTCTTTTGCAAGTCGTGCGGCAGATTGCCGCGTTCCTTCACGAGCTCCGCCCACTTTGGATCTACGTCGAACATCGGGTTCTCCAGGAGCCACTGGCCCAGTCGCTTCAGCTGAGGCGCTTTACTTCCAGTTACCTGGATTGAGAGAACCAAAAGAAAGACTTTAATGATGAAATTTAAATTCAATTAATCCATATGCGCAAGAGAAGTAAAAGAGAAGATAAGAGAAGAGAAGATAAAAGAGAAGATAAGAGTTGGGGTACGGAATGTCAATTACCTTCTTGCCGGTTATTCGATTGATGACGGCGACGTTCTCCTCGCCGGTGAGTTTCTTCCAGTCCAACAAGGACGGATCAACGCGGGGTCTACGTCGTCGAGGTGCGTTCAGATATTCCGCGCATTGTTCCGAGATGGCGCTCTGCTCGGCCAGCCACTTGTTCACCTTCGCCTCGTGCGAGTAGGAGCCGACCTTGGATGAATATTCCGCGACCTTGTTGATGTCCGCGATCATTGCCTCGTAGCTCTTTCGATGACTGCTACTCGAAGACGGATGCGCCGAGTTAAAGGCCTGTTGCTGCTGCTGCTGCTGCTGTTGTTGTTGCTGCTGCTGCTGCTGCTGCTGTTGATGCTGCTGCTGCTGATGCTTCTTCAATTCGCGGTTTTGATCGGCTTGGACCAACAGGGCGGAGAAGGCGTCCTTGTGGGAGTGCAAGGACGGCGGCGGCAAAACGGACGCGGAGGAGCTCGAGGCACGCGAAGATGGTATCGACGTGACGGTGATGGAGAACGGTTTCTGGGTCTGGGGATTCGGAAGCCCCATCGGCGCCGAGGTCGGGGTCACGGTCACGTTAGGCGTGATCGTGTTCTTCTTGCTGTGCTCCGGGTAATGACTGCTCTGCTGCTCCTTCGCGGCGCTCAGGCCTAATACTATCTCATCGAGTTTCCTGCGTTTCTTCTCCTTCCCGATTATCGGCTCCTCTGTCGGCTGGCAAAAATATTCAATGATGAATTTAACACTTCTAATCGTATAGGATTAGCGTCAAATAGGATCTTGCAAAAGACTACTCACGCAAGATTTCCTCTTCATCAGCTTGTCCAGCATGCTGTCCAGCTTCCCTTTGTTGCTGCTGACTTGCTTATTCTTGTTCGGCATGGAAAAGTCCTGCACTTCGTTCATAATGTCTTTGTTGTTGTCAGAGCTGGATTTTGGATACCTAAAAGATGGACATGAATATAAGATCATCATTGCAACATCGTGTTTTATTTCATTAAAACCAGCTCTCACCCAGCGGATAGGTCGATGGGCGTCAACGTGCTCGACGTCCCGGGTATGACAGTCGTTTTCCCCGGGACGGTGTACTTCAGGTCGAAGGGTATGTTCTGCCCTCGCGTTTGCTGATGCGCGGGAGGCGGCTGAACCGGGGTGGAGCGTCGTGACTCCTCGGACTGAGACTCGTCGTTGAGCTCCCAGTTGGAACTCGTGAGGACAACCGGTTTGCTGAGGGGCGCCGGCGACGGGGTGCTCAGATGACTGCTGTTCAGAAGCGCGTGAAGCTTGGCTGCACCAATAGAAATAATAATGAGATGCAAATGTCGCTTAAAATATATGTATATAATATATAATATAATAAATATATACATATATATAATATATTATATTATATATTATATACATATATTTTAATATATAATATATAATTATCATGATGATAATTAAATCAAATGTCGCAATTAATGAAAATTTACCCCGTTCGGTCTCCACGTCGATGGCGATGTGCCTCTTGCGTTTCTTCGAAGCAGACATGTTGTTTCCGCTCACCAACGACCTGGACACTCCGTGGTCCGTGGTGATGGTGATCACTTCCGAGCACTCCTTGTCGTTTTGAGAGATGTCCAGCTCTTCGCCGGCGCTGAAGTTCACCGATACCGGCCACTCTTTGTGCTCTATCGCGTGGACGATGTGCATTAAACGAGCCTCGATTGCGTGTTCCTGAAGAAGGTGGACGCAATAGATGAAAATGGAGCTTTAAATAAAATATTGAGTATTTTTCTTAAATAAAGAGATTAAATAGCGCTTACCTTCGGCCACTTTATCGACGTACTGGTACAACCATGCCCCAAGAGCTGCACCACCGTAGGCTCGTTGTTATAATCTGCCGGTTTGTCTCGCAGGACGAAGGTATCGATCTGCGTTAATCGCGACAAGGGTTGTATCACCTCCAGATCCGGAAACATCGCCTTCAACTCCGCAGCCTGAACGCTACACTTATCCTCGATCTGCGAAATCTTTCCTTTCTCTTTGGCCAGGTCGGAGCTCTTGGCTTCCTGCGTCTCGGTCTCGTCTTTAGCCGGCGCGTTATCCGGCATCGCACTGACCTTGCTATCATCCTCGACAGTGGACTCGACGTTCTCCGCACTCATCTTGTCGACAGTCTCCTTCTCTTTCGCGTCGGTCTCACTTTTCTCAGCCGTTTCCGTCTTCTCGGCATCTTGTGCTGGCGATTCGTCCGGTTTCTCCGTGGATTCGGTTTCCGGCGTAACATCTTTCTCTTGAACCTTGTCAACTTCCTTCTCAACTTCCACCACGGCTGGACTCTCGGCCGTCTCCGAAGCAGCTTCCTTCGCTGGTTTCTCGTCAGCCTGCTTGGCTCCGCCAGTCTGACTGGCTTTGCCGCTGTCGCATTTAACCGGCTCTATCTCCAGCTCGCTCTTCTCCTCGCTTTTAATAGTAACAGTCTCCACGTCCGGTCTCGCGACGGTGGTGATCATCAACGAGCTACCGACTGCTTTCTCCTCGGACTTGGTCTCCGCTTTTACAATAGTCAGCTCCACCTGACTCTTCTCCGGGTCCGCGATCTCGGGCTTCTTCTCGGCAACACTTGGATCCTTGTCCTTCTTCGCCATAACTTTTTCAATCTTTAGAGTTCCCTCGCCCTTCTCTAGTTTCACCAGGATCTCGTCCTTGTCAAACTTCAAGATGTCCTCTCTACTCTCTAGCTTGATCGCCTTCTCAGTCTTGTCCATTGCTTTGGGGGTTTGCGTGCCCGCGTACATCCCTCTCGTGAGAAGCTTGTGAAACGAGAAGTCCGGGTCGTTCAGTATAGTGATATCGGTACGTCCAAGACCGTGTTTCGCCGCTCCGAGTAATAATTCCTTGTCGTGTTTCCCAGGCTGCCACCATTCCGGCGTGTCCCCTGACGGCTGGCACAATGACAACCGTTCCTCGAGGTGCGGATGCGACAGAATCTCCTCGCGAATCTTGCTCAGGAGGTCGACGCGATCGAGGATCTGTCTTGCTTTGGCTGGACTCAACTGATCCACCTGAACATCTGTAAAATCTGCAACGGTGTAATATACTTGTCGTAAAACAAAAAAGCTTTTATTATATATACAATTATATTAGAGAAATATCATGCATATATATATAATGCATATACAATATATCACAAAATTATATATTATATATTTAAATTACATTATATATATCATATTATATTATGTATTACATATTTATTTTATGTTATATTATATTACATATTATATTATACATTATGCTATATTTGTATAATATATATTTTAAAAATTACATATGATATATTAAAAAATAAAATTAGCAAAAAGATGCGCACCTTCTTCTTCGTTCAGTTTCGCGTTGCAGACCTTCTTGCACATTGCTCTGAACGACATGTAATAGTCTGTAAGATCGTTGTCTGTTTTCTTGTCGAATCTGGCGATACTCTTGAATTTAGTCCAATCGTACTGGGCTTTCTTTCTGTCGTAATTAACGCCGTACGTAGACACCACTCGCAGAAATTCGCTCTCTTCGCGGCGAGTCCACTTGGCTTTTTGTTCCTCGATGTGAGTGCGTTCTCGTTCCTTTACTATCGCCTCCATTTTTCCTCTTTTATCCATTTTCTGTAAACGACGTCAATAGTCAGTTTTCGTTCGGTATAAAATATAAAAAATTATATATGTTGTGTGTATATATCATTTTATTAATTATATTATAATACAGTATATTATATTATAATATAATATATTAATTTTATTAATAAAATTATATACATATTCTTATATATATAAATTTTTATTAATTTTATTAGAAATTATATATATATGTATGTATGTATAATTTTATTAATTAAATTAATTATAATGTATACAATGTGTATATATAATTCAGTATAAAATAATGTGTTGATAGATATAAACTGACTGAATATATATATATATATATATATATATGACCAAAAGGTACATCGCCAACTGTTGCAAATCCCATCCTTGCATATTCAAGGGCAGCTCGTGCATCATTCCAGTATGGTTCATGGTAGGGCCGGCGCTCTCGCTGTCCATTCCCATTTTGCCAACTTTCGGGATAATCTTGACGTCTTCCTTCTTATTGACGGTCCGCTGATAAGAAGATATAACGCGACGTAGTCGCGTGTTAAGATCCACCACGGACGGCCAGGTCTTCTCGTCGTCTTGGAGGAGACCGTCGTTTCCGTCGTGACTGCCGCCGGCTTCCGGTATCGGGGTATCCGCTTTGCTCGAGATAGCGGGAGAATCCGCCGGCGTTTCCCTAAATTTGTCGGAGTCCTTCGAATCCTTTGTCATTCCGGGTGACTCGCTGTCGTCCACGTCGTTCTCCAGACTATTATCGTCTCTGCTGCTGCTGCTAAAATTTCAGAAATAACATGAAAATTGTATCTATGCAAATAAAAAGGAAAAATAATATCAAAATCTCTTCTCCCAACAAATAAGATTTTTTTCATTATTATTATGTACACAATTTTTATCCTGCAACACGAAGAGAATAGAAATAAATGAGAAATCATATCTATTTATTTAATTCTTTATCCTTCCTTGGGATGTGTCATAATATTTATCCAGAAATAGAAAGACAGCAAAATTAGCGCGTTATCATCTTGAATTCAATTAGAAATTCCTCACTCTAGATTTTTTTTTGCTGCAACAGCACTTTTTCTCTACGTTAATAATATCTCCCGGGAAGATATCGAAAGACGTTAAAGAGAGAGAGAGACAGAGCTAGGTTGAGTGAACATTATATATATGTATATATATACGCCACTTTTATTGCTGAAAATAAAAGCTATGACCGTCTAAGAGAGCGTATATGTATGTAATATCATATATGTATGTATAAATATATATATAGAAAGCGGTGCAAGCGACATATGTGTTAGGATAGTTAGGCAGCGCATCAGAAGACGAAAGAGAGAAAAAAGAGATAGATAGATAGAGAGATAAATGATAGAGAGATGAGAGATAAAGAAACGAATAACAAATATGTAAAGAAAAAAATACTAAGGTACTCACTCGGCGGTACTCTTGTTCTGAGAGTTCTGGAAAGGGGGAGGACAGCTTGTAATGAAAGAAAGCGCGGGATCAGTCCTCATCTGGTCGTAATTCTCATAGCCGTGTTTGTAGCAGCCGACTATTAAGGATTTGTCTGCTGTCGTGTCCCACCATTTCGCCGGTCGTTCCGTCAACTGTGGAGGGTCTATCGGCAACGCGCTGTAGGGGCGGTTTCGATTTACAAAATTTTATTGCCAATTTTATTTCTTTGCGTGCCGATATCATTATGTGCGTGTAATTTCATTATATAATTTAAATAAAGGAGAAATTTTTCAGCGTTATTCGTAGAAAGGACCCCGCTCAATCCTTAGGAAAACTTGGATTTCCGTGAAAATAGCTCTCAAGTAGCAAACTGACGTCATTAAACGTCAAAATGACGTCACTTGCTACTTGGGTTGACTTTTTCATTATGTTGTAGCTTGTGACCTGCTAAACAAAACATGTGCCAGCCTTGATTCACTTATTACACCTTTTGTTCAGCTGATCATTAGCTAAAATGTATGAGAAAACCAACTGGTTTTATCCGGATTCAATTTCATCCAAGGATTTCGTAAACAGGTTCAAGAACCCCGCTAACTAATCCTATGTAAGATTAAATCTTGGTAGAATCAGCTGATTTTCTCGTATGTTGTAGCTCATGATCTGCTGAACAAAAATTGTAATAGCTTTAAAGCTAAACAATAGTTATTAATTTACAGCTACAGCCTCAATTCACCTATTACACTTTTTGTTCAGCAGACCATAAGCTAAAATGTATGAGAAAACCAGCTGATTTTATCCGGATTCAATTTCATCCAAGAATTTCATAAACAGGTTCAAGAACCCCGGTAACTAATCCTATATAAAATTGAATCTTAGTAGGATCAGCTGGTTTTCTCGTATGTTGTATGTAGCTCATGATCTGCTGAACAAAAAATCTAAATAATAGATAGTTACTAATTTACAACTAGTCAAACACGACAAACTCGGGCTGTAAATTGTTTGACTGATCTGTAACTCAAAAATCGTCCATTATTTAGCTATTATACATCTTTTGTTCACAAGCTACAACATATGAAAAAATCAGCCAATTCCACTGAAATCCAGTTTCCATAAAAATGGTGCGGGGTCCTTTATATAAATCAGAGACATATTTAAAAAAAATAGAGATCTCTCCTCAAAATTAAAAAAAAAACTTATATTACACAAATATCCGGATTCTAAGGATTTAAAAAAACCCACACGATTATCTAAACCTGTCCCTTCGATTACTTTGTGCACTCGCTTAGTCGCCTAACGCTCCTTCTTACCACTCTCTGTTGCAGATTCGATCATCCTCGTGATTGTTTTACCAAGAAGTGTGCAAGAGTTGTGTACATATGTCTCTCTGATCCGCGAGCGCGCGTGTAAACAGTATATTGTTTTGTACGTGCAAATATATAGGAAATGGGGGGAAAAAACATGATTTTCATATATTAGTAGCGTATAAAAGGGGGTAAAAAAACAAAATAGTCCTGGCTTCTGCTACGGTGATTCTGCTCTATGAGCATTCCTCATACAGATATATAGCTCCCAGGGTATCAACAAATACATCGCACATGCAGAAACTATGCTAAGCTCCTGTGATAAGCACATATGTGAGTATACACGAATCTGTGATAGATGGTAGTTACGCTTATGGTTTTTACGAAGAAGCGTCATGAGAGGAAGAGAACGACGCCGACGAACTCACCTCACGTGAACGCCATCGGAAATGTGCTGCACCAGGTCACCGATAATCTCGTGTTTGATGTAATACAGCATCCGCACGCGCAACAATACTCTGCAAAATAATAACAATAATAAAACAATCGATCGAATAAGAACTGATGCGGAAATTGGAGCCAATAATGACGCTAGTAGCTTCACAAGCCTTGAAAGAAGCTTAAAATTGAATATAATTAATTATATTTATAATATCGTATCCAATTCCCGCAATTAATATATAAATCCATCTATATATACAATACTCTTGATAATAAGAAAATAATGCAGAAATTGGATCCCATAATGATGTTAGTAGCTTCATAAGAAGCTTAAAATTGAATATAATTAATTATATTTATAATATCGCATCTAATTTCCGTAATTAATATATAAATCCATCTATATATACAATACTCTTTAAAAAAAATTAATAAAACAATCAATCGAATAAGAAATGATGCAGAAATTGGATCCAATAATGACGCGAGTAGCTTCACAAAAAACTTAAAATTGAAAATAATAAATTCTATTTCTAATATCGCATCCAATTCCCACAATAAATATATAAATCCATCCATATGTACTTGTTGGCGTGTCGACTGAGGTGCTTCCGGTAGTTGCTCTCGAGGAAGATGTCCCCGTCGAACTTCTCCGCGTTGCTCCAATGATTGGGATCGCTGGGCCCGCCGTTGATGACGGATCCCCTGGTCTCCCTGCCCTCTCGGACGCGGGAACCCTTCTTCTTCTGCCGACTGTTCCTGCTGCCGGTGTTCACCGACACGCACTTCACCTTCTCGCCGTTCTCCACCGGCGTGATAAGGTCCCAGATGAAGCTGCGGATCTTCTCGTCGCCGCGATAGTAGCGCAGACAGTAGAGCAGAATGACGCGCGCGCAGTCCTCCACGTCGATCTCGCGCCAGCCCCGGCGGAATTGGCTGTGCTGCAGGATCTCCTCCCAGCGACCCCAGCCAAAGGTCAGCAGGCCGCGCTCGACCTTGAAGCACTCGCTGCGCGCCCAGCTGCCGTACACCACCTCGCCCTCGCGAGGCACGTACTCGTCGTAGAACTTGCGGCTCTTCTTCCCGAACTTGTCGCGCCGCTTTTTACTTCTGCCGGAGAGGCCGATGCTCGTGTCGTCGTCGCTGTTCTCGTCCGAGCTGTCCAGCTCGGACATGTCGACCACCGACTCGTCGTGGCCGTAACGCTTGATTTGCGTCCTTCGCCGCGGCTCGGATATCACCAGTTCGTCCTCCTCCTTCTTCTCCGTCGTGTCGATCTCCGCTTTCTTCGCCCACTTCTTCCAGAAGTCGGGATCGTCTATGTTGATATCCGAGCGATTCGACGAGCAGGCGAAACTCGCCTTTGAGAACGTCGAACCCTTCTCGGCCTCTATCGTGATAATCTGGGTTCGCCGCTCGAGTATCTGTTCGATATCCTCTTCGCAGAATTTGTCGCCGGCGTTGTCGTCGTCCATGATGGCGCCGTAAGCACCTTTCTTCAACAAGTCCTCTATCTCCTTCTTCGTCAGCTGTTTGTTGCTGGGATCTTTGCCGCTCTGGCTGGTGTTCATGGACTGCAGGATCGCCTTGTCGAGACCCAGCTTCAGGGAAGCCTTGTCGAACATCTCCCGCTCGTAAGTGTTGCGGCAGAGCAGCCGGTACACCTTCACCATTTTCTGCTGGCCGATGCGGTGGCAACGCGCTTGAGCTTGCAGATCGTTCTGCGGATTCCAATCGCTGTCGTAAATAATGACGGTGTCGGCCGCGGTTAAGTTAATCCCGAGTCCACCCGCCTTTGTGCAGAGCAGGAAAACGAACCGATCCGAATCGGGTTTGCTGTAACGATCGATGGCGGCTTGCCGCAGATTTCCGCGGATCCGACCGTCGATTCTCTCGTAGGGGTACTTCTTGTACACCAGATAGTCCTCGAGCAAGTCCAGACACTTCACCATCTGGCTGAATATCAAGACGCGGTGACCGCTGGCCTTCAGCTTCGGTAACAGCTTGTCGATCAGCACCATCTTGCCGGAGCTGTTCACCAGCGCGTGATAGTACGCCTCAGAATCCTCCTTCTCGCCGGTCTTATAGTCCAACTGTATCTGATCCTCAGCTCCATTCAGTAGGAAAGGATGGATGCAGCACTTCCTCAGCTCCATCATCGTGTTCATGAGATTCGGTATGTTTGCCGACGTGGTGCCCTTCGCGAGGAACGAGAAGTTCCTCTCGAGAATGCCGCGGTAATACTTCTTCTGGATATTCGTGAGCTCCACCTCGACGACGGTCTCCTCCTTCGGCGCCAACGATTTCTCGACGTCCTCCTTCAAACGGCGCAGCATCATTGGCTTCAGGAGGAGCTGCAGCTTGTTTACTTCGCCCTCGCTGCTCAGATTCCCGAACTCCTTCAGGAACGCCTCGTTGCTCGCGAACTGCTGCGGCTCCAAGAAATTCAACAGGGAAAACAGCTCGTTGACGTTGTTTTGCAGCGGCGTGCCCGACAAAAGTACCCTGTGCTCCAAGTTTAATTGTCGCAGACCCTCGAGGAGTTTGCAATTGCGATTTTTTAATCGGTGAGCCTCGTCTATGACGCAGAGTCTCCAATTGTAGCCACGTAGCTCGTTAAAGTCAGTTATAATGATTTCAAATGTCGTAATTAGCACGTTAAATTTCACCAAATCCTTGATCTGCTGTCCCTTTTCGTTCTTGTAGTAGACCTCGTATTCTTGAAGCATCGTACGACTCGCTGCACTGTAATTTAAATACATATCGATGACAATCTAGTCATTTTTTGTGCATAGTATAAAATTACCTACAATCAGGGTTGACAGAAAACTTGTTTCTTTTTTATTTTAAACAAAAAAAACATTGATTCTTTTGTTTAATACAATGTTTCTTCTTTTTGTTTTATGCATGTTTTTAAGTAAAGTAAGAAAAAACACTTGATAGCTTTAATCTGTGTAAGCATTTAATATATAAAATTATATATTATTTTATTTTAAATTATTAATTTTAAAATTTATTTAATTTTAATTCAATTTATAAAAGTAGGTATTAAAAAAATACCTAATATGCAATGCAATTCCAATATGTTATTGATACCGTTCATTTTTTCTTACTTAAATGTGTATTATTTTTTTAATTAAAGGAATTACATTATTTTATTATTTGCAATAAATAAAATGTAAAATGCAATGTGTTATAATAATCTAGATTTTAATAGCTTGTGCTTTGTGCAAATAACTTTATATATGTATAATCTTTAATATATTTAATTATATTGTTACTTAATATTTAATATTCAAAAATAAATATTCTGTTAAAATAATATTTATCTTATTATTTTTATTTCATTATTTATATTTATATTTTTAATTTGATATCCATAGATTACATATAAATATAAATAAACTAAAAAAATTAAAACAAAAACTTTTTTGCAATATGAACGTATAGTTTAATTGCAACGTTTTAAACAAGTTTTAACCAAATTGTACAAAACATGTGAACCTTGTCTACAATAATACTTACGATCCGTGATAGACTACGACGTTCATGTCGGTCCAGCTTTCGAATTCTCGCTGCCAATTTGGAATGGTGGATAAAGGAGCTATGATCAAGAACGGTCCGCGAATTCCGTACTTGTAGACCGCGTCCACGAATGTCAGGGACTGAATGGTCTTTCCCAGACCCATCTCGTCGGCTAGGATGCAATTGTGGTTGTTATACCACGAAAACAGCAGCCAGTTCAATCCTTCTAATTGATACGGTCTCAAACTGTTATTGTTCTTGTAAATCGGCGATTCATCCAGCTTCACCCAAGCTGTAGCGTTGGGTTTTTTCTTCGGCTACAAAAATACGACGCAAAATGTGTACGTTTGATTTAATGCAGGGTCAAAACAGCAAGTAAATATCCATGTAAATTAATGAAAAGTACCTTCCACTGCTCCTTAGGTGGAACTTTATTAAATTTCCCAAATTGTACTATCTTTTCAGGATCAACGTCTTCTTCCAATTCCCAGGTAGAGTCTTCGTATTGCAGGGATCGCCATTTGACTAAAAAGTGTCGGACTGTATCGTTGGTGTGCGGGTCTGTGTGAGTTGCTTCATCCAAAACTCGATCAACTTCGACAAAGTCTGGATTAAAGGGATCATCCTCGGTCTAAAAAAGGGAAAAAAATGAAAAAAGTTGCATAGAATAAAGATACAATTTGAATTTCTATCAGTGCCAAACTTTCTAGTGTGAAATCGTTTCAAATATATTTTTTATTCATGATTTGAAATAAGAAATATCAAGTACATTTTCGAAAATATTGGTGTTTTGTTGCTGCTTCTGCTTGAATCTCTTGAGTTTAGCTTGAATACGTTTGTCTCCTTTATACATTTCCTCTTCCGTTCTCCATTCACAATGCAGATAAGAAAAATTTCGATATTTCACAAAGTACTCTTCGACTTCCACAAACTGCGGTTTCGCCTCGACGACGGCGGCGGTCTCGGCTGGTTTAGAATCCGCAGGCGATTCCTCCTGCTTCTTTGCATCTTCCTTCTTCACGCTATCGGTTTCACTCTTTTCCTCGTCCTTGCTCGTATCCTCAGTTTTCGTTTCTTTCTCAGTGTCTTCTGCATCTTCCTCTTTCGCAGGATCGTCAGATGTTTTGTCCTTGTCATCGGTAGTTTCTTCCTTATCAGCGTTTCCATTCTTTTCTGGTGGCGCTTCTACCTTCGGTACCACAGGTTTAACTTCCCTCCTTCCCATGCGAGAGCACAAAATGTGTTGCACAACCATAGAATCCTCATCGGTAGTGTTCTGCGGAAAAGTGTGAAAAACATCAAATCAGGAAATCATTTAACAATATATAATATTATATATAAAGAGAATGTTGGCGAGTCAACGATATGTACAATGTATACAAAGTTGGGTTTATTAGGTCCGACTTCGCCGCCTTCACCGCCCTCCTTCTTAGCAGCAGCTGGCTTGGAAGGGTTCGCGCCTTCCACCTTTTTCGATACTTGAGCGTCTTGCAGAGGAACATCGTCATCCGAGAAACGTAACATCACGTCGTCCACATACTTCTTGCGTTGAGTATTTCTCGCGGAGCGCCGCTTGTTCACGTCGTCGCCAGCTTCCGGCGACGGCGGAGGCGTTGCCGCGAGTTCCTCACCATCGGAATCGGGCGCGATACGACTCTTACGTTTCCTGCGAAAAGTAAGAGTACACAGAGTAATTTGTGATTTCTTATACTTAGGAAATTACGCGATTAGCCACGTATATGTATATACAAGTGATGTGCACTCACTTGGAACTTCTAGAAGATTTTCCTCCAGAAGACTTGCCGGCGCTCGAACGTTTTCTAGACGCGGATTTCTTCTTTCCACTCGTAGTCTCGGTAGTCGCGGTAGTCGCTTCTGCACTTTCCTCCTTCTTCTCCTCCTCCGGAGCATCATCCACAGTCTTATCTTTACCCTCTTCCTTTACCTCGGTTAGAGGCTCGTTAGTGGAAGAGTCTACTTGTTCCTGATCACCCTGTATGGACGACTCGCAAACCTTCGTCTCGGCATCCTTAACAGCACTGGAATCCGAAACGGTACTCTCCTCGTTCTCACGTGTAGCATCATCGTCCGCCGATTCAGATTGTACAATTTTTCTATAAAAAAGAAATATTGAATATAATATTTTTTATAGTATGCAAATTAAATATATATTAGATTGTATATTAAATAATATATTAAATATAATTAATTATATATAAATTATATATTAAAAATAATTATATTATATATTAAACAAATTATATAATATATATTAAATATAATTAAATATGTACTTTAGTACTTTAATATTAAATATATATTCTGTGCATAATTAATTACTTACTTCCTATTACGTTTTGTGGAATCTTTGTCCTTATCCTTATTTCTCTTCCGTGCCACCTTGGGGGATTTCGGTTCCTTTGGTGGTTTCGGCTCCTTCTTAGGCTTCGGTTCTTTGGGCTCTTTAGGTTCCTTCGGCTTGCGCGGTTTCCGAGGCGAGCGCGACTTTCTGCCTTTATTCCATTCCTCCTCCATGTCTCCAGAGGACGGCTTTATGTCTTCCGAGTCTGCGACACTATCTACGATATTGCTACTATCGCCCGGAGTGACCTTGTTGTCGGACAATGGCTGCTCGGGTTGTTGCTGAGTGGCAGTAGGAGTAGGAGCTGATGCCTCCTTGTCGGCCTTCTTCCGGCTTTTCTTCGCTCGCTGCGTACCTTTGCTACGACCGCGTCCAGTAGTACTGGAAACCTGTTTCGAGTAACGCAATTTTATTTAATAGACACGACTTTGAAGTACAAGAAACAATACACGCACGGGATTTATCAAGTATTGTAAAAAAAGTATTATAATAAATAAAAGCGAAAGAATGTCGTAGCTTTATGACTTTGAGATTTGTTTACAATGTTTCTCAAAGTTCTCTACACGTTATCGTTTCACATTATCGAGAAATATATATGTACATATGTATATACACTATACTATGCTATATTATATATACTATACTATATTTCTATGTTATTATATTTTATTCTTATTATATGTTTACATTATATATATATAGTCTGACAGAATAAATTCAAAACAACAAGAATTTGTCAGACAAGTATGAAATTGTGGTTTATTCAACTATTATTGAAAAAAATGATTATATTAAGTACATGCAGAGATATATAATTATTTTTAGATTTAATTGAAACATTTATCTTTTTTAAACTTCACATTTAATTATTTCTTTCAAGAACCCATATTCTTGTTGCATATGTTATTGTATTCTTTGAGAAATATTATATAATATGCAAAATATAAAAAATCATTATATTTCTCATTTTTCTTATTCATTTCTATTACTTCAAAAACTGCGAAAAAGAAACATTTAATTGATATTTTTTGAAGAAACTCAATCGGCAAAATATCTACTCAAATTTGATTTAAAAATTCCCTGATTTTTAAAATTCCAAGTAAATTAAAATTTGTTATGCAGATTTTTAATATAAGTTTCTTTGTGTTTTCTAATATTTTCTACAATTGCACAGTTATCAAGAGTGCAGTTTTCCAAATATTTAATATTGATTTATTAATGATAAAATTAATTTTTAGACAATAATAAAGTGCGATATATCACCATATATAAAATACATGCAAAAATATAAAATAAAAATCAATAATTTATTATAAACTTCTTAAGAATTACTAATTTATTTAAATTATTATTTATTTGTTTATTAAATTAATACTAATTATTTAAAAATTTATTTAAAAATTGAACAACTTTCTATGAAACTTATATAAAATCTTTGATACTAAAAATAGATTATCAATAAAAAAAATCACATAAAATTTTAATAAAAACTTAAAAATATTGCACAAATATGTTAGACACTTGTTTCTTAAGTGCTAAATGAGAATAAGATTATCAAGAGGGTAACTTTTAAAAAACTCCCCGAATGCTAATTAAATTGCCTGATTTTCTTTCCCAAGATATAACAAAATTCCCTGAGAATACTGGGCTTTCAAGGTTCTTCCCGATCAGTTTCGCCTACCTGCGGGCTATCGACCACAGCAGCTGTGAACATCGGTGTCTGTAGTATACATTGCGGGCCACCATTGCACTGATCGTTCGTCTCGTGCTGCTGCAACGCCTGCAGCTTCTCCTGCAGGGCGACGATCTTCTCCTGGTTCTCCGAAGCCGGCGGCATGCAGTACAGTTCCTGCAGCTGCTGCTGCAGAGCAGCTCGCTCCTGATGATGCGTGAGAGGAGCGCCGAAGGTACTCGGCGCCACTGGGGTTTGCGTAGGATTAGCCGGCATACTGTACATGTTCGGTATCGTGTTGCCGGTGATCATGTCGCCTCCAGGATGATACTGCCATACATGAAAACACACGTAACGTTAATACCCGTCGTGTTGTAATCGATTACGCATTATTATATTTGAACATTATACCACATTGTTATTTTATAAATATAATATCGGCAATATTACTGCAGTAAATATTATCAGAATATTATAATTGAACGCGGAGCACTTAAAATTCGAACAATACCTGATGCGGTGTTTGCGAATTTGGCACGGGAACCGCGGCCTGATGCGGCGGCAGAACCATAGCGGCGGTCTGACTGACCGCGGGGATCTGCTGCGCGTTCAGAAGCGGGGCGGGCACTTGCTGAGCGTTCGGAGCCTGCAACTGGACCGCCTGAGTCTGCATCGGCTGCGGAGTCTGCTGCAGCTGCGGAGGCATCTGCGACGGCATCAGCTGAGCGGTCGGCGGCATCGGCATACCGACCTGCTGGGGTTGCATGAGAGGCGCTGGCGCCTGCGGCGGCGTCGTCGTCGTCGACTGGGCCTGTTGCGTGACGCAGGTCGGGCCCGGCTGCGCCGGCGCAGGTTGCGCCAACTGCGGCGGCTGCGTCTGCGGCAGTGGCTGAGCCTGCGGCTGTACCAATTGAGGCTGCGGTTGCGCCTGTCCCAATTGCGCCTGCGATTGTCCCAGTTGCGACTGAGACGCCGGCGTGATTTGCTGCGGCTGCGCTTGATTCAAGACGGGTTGCTGGGTTTGTGGAATCTGCGATTGTTGAGCGGGTGCAAGCTGCGGCTGCAGCTGTTGTTGCGGCTGAGGTATCTGCTGCTGCGGCTGCTGCAGCTGCTGATTCATCTGGGCGGGTTGTGGCTGAATCATCTGCGACTGTTGCGGCGACTGTAGCTGCGGCTGAGGAGGAGATATCGTTGCCTGAGACGGAACTAGTTGCGGCTGAGCCATGTGAAGTTGTTGCACCGCCGGCGGCTGCTGCATCGGCTGCTGCGGAGGACAATTGATAGGTTGCTGCTGCTGCTGTTGCCCTACAGCTTGTTGTGGATGCGTCGTACTGCTCAACGACGACTGGTGTACCTCTACACCCTGTTCCGGTTTCGTTTCGCATGCACTCTGAGTCTCGATACTAGAAACGGGATTCTGAATCGGCGCGGCGACCGCTTGCTGTTGCTGCGGCTGCAACGATGTAGTCACGTTTGTGCATTCCATATTCCCGCTCGTACTCGACACTGGAAGAGACTGTACCGTTTCGAGCGAGGGTATATTCGCCGGCGCGGGTATACTTCCCGCCGTGGACGTGTGATCTAGGGTTAGCTGGTTCTGCGAGTTACTTTGCGCCGAGGTATCTACTTGCGGTGGACCGAGTTGCGCGGTCGTATCCAATTGCTGGGCCTGCTGAACGCTCTGGTGCAGCGAAGGCTCGGGTTCCGGTTGCTTCGGGGTTTCGATCGGATTCTGCACGACGTTCTCCGTCGTCGTCGCCGGTTCTCTCGTTGTCGTTGTACTCGTTGTCGTCGCCGTTTCCGCAGGATTGTGCATAGCAGCCTCCGGCCCGGGGAACATCGAAGCGCTCTGCTCAGACACTATCGGCATCTGTTGAGGCTCGACCACGCCGCCTCTGTCCTCGCTAACGCCGAGGCTCGACCTGATTTGCGGCTGTTGTTGCTGTTGTTGCTGCTGCTGCTGTTGTTGTTGTTGTTGCTGCTGCTGCTGCTGTTGCTGCTGCTGTGGATGCGATGGCCACTGAGAGGGCATCGGCATTCTAGGCCCCGCGACTTGAGCCGGCATCGGGCTCTGCGCCGTCGGCTGCTGCGGCAGAACACTCGGTGTCTGCGACATCGGCGGACGCGTCTGGAACTGATTGTACTGATCCGGGGCGGGGACGCTAGAGTTCGAAACGGCGACTCCCGGCATCACCATCTGCTCGAGAGCCTGCAGGGTAGTCTGTTGCTGCTGCGACGACGGGTTCATTTGCATAGACGTGGGCGGGCACGGAGACACCGACATCGCGTTAGGTTGACTGCCTTGCTGATGGGGAAGCTGTACGTGCGGATGCGGCGACAGGGTGGGTTTCGCCGGCGACATGATGGGTCGCGGCGACATCTGCTGCTGCACCGCGGGCGGACGCGGGGACATCTGCGGCCTCGGTGACATCTGCGGCGAGAGCTGGGGGAACGCGGCGCGATACTGAGGACTCGTCGAGTGCTTGGCCGTGGCCGCGGCGGCGAATTGCTGCGGAGGCGGCGCCGAGTGCTGCGGCTGATTGAACATCGAAGTGGCGTGATGGGGATACTGCGGATCCATCGGCTGTTGCTGCGGGTTCGGATGTTGCGGAGGATGCTGAGGATACTGTTGCGGATGAGACGGATGCGGTTGATGCGTCGAATGCGTCGGATGATGATGCGGCATTCTCGCCTGGGGAGGAGCCTGCTGCGCCTGTTGCTGCTGATGGATGGCCGAGGCGAAGCCGGGATAGCCCGGGGACGTCTGATACATCGCCGCGACCGAGTTGCCTTGCTGATAATGCTGCTGCTGACCGACTATGTGCTGATAGACCCCGCCGGTCGCGCCCGCCTGCATCGACTGATGCAGGACACCCATGTTGCCTATCATTCCTTGCTGGCTGCTAAAATGTTGCTGCTGCTGTTGCTGCTGCTGCTGCTGTTGCTGCTGCTGCATCTTTTGATTGATAACGCCAGCTTGGTCCTGCTGATGAGAATACTGCGGCGGCATACTGTGTTGCCTGTACGTGCCAGGCTGCGGAGCCATTTGATTGTAATGCCTCTGCATCTGCGGGTATCCGCTCCCGTTACCCGGCCAGCCTTGCTGGCTGGGATCCATACTCATGTTGGCCCGCGCCATCGAGTGTTGCTGCTCCATCGTGTACATATTGTCATTGTAGCTAGGATACTGGGCGGCGCTGCCCGGATGAGGCCCCCTGTGCTGTTGCGGTGCGATGCTGCGGGTCTGATTCTGAAAGGCGCCGGGCACCATCGCGCGCTGCGGCGCGGCGCTGTTATCGAACGTACCGAGATTTTGGTTGAACATGCTGCGCTGCGACGGACTCTGCAACTGATTCGCGCCGCCAAATTCAGATCCGCCGAATGTCGTTAATTTCTGTATCGGAGATTCTTGCGTAATGTTATAAGACTGATTAATGTAACTCCCTCCTCCATTAGGGCCAGAATTCAGACCGTCCCCTCTCGACACCGCTACGGGATTATTCGCAGGCGCAGGATCGAAATGATCGTTCCCTCCGAGATCAGGAAGAGCCTCGAGCATCGAGCCACTGACATCTTCACCAAACAGATCGTAGTCCATGTCTACGCTGAAGGACTCTTCGTCCCCATTTCAGGCTTACAAGAATACTGTGCGATCTCTTCTATAGCCAGTAACGTGCCCATGGTAAATACAAACTCTTGCTGCCTGAAATTATTACAAATTTTCCACGTTACTCTTCTCTGCCGGATCAATTTTAAATCATTTACAATTTTTAAACAAACATTCTTAGCCTAGATTCTCCTCGTTGAAGCGACACACGCCGAAGGGGAAAAGCTATACGCTTATGGCTCAATTTCTCATAATCGCTATAACTTTTCCCCCTCGGAATACATCTCTGCTTGCAACAACTCGCGTTGTATATTTTGATATTAAAAATCTTACAATTATATATAAATATCAACACATGCTGCTACGATTCTAGAAAGAGATCAGAGAGAAGTGAGGAAAAAAATCTATGTGCAAAAGCATGTAGGTGGAAATTCCAAGACGTATTATTGTAATTGGTATAATACGTGATGATTGGCTCCACTAGCGGATCCTGCAGAATTATTTATGCAGGATCAACGACGAATTTTTTTAATTTGCAAGGACCCTCTCCAAGATCCGCTAGTGATTGGGTCTATATCCTCCAATTTCGGAGTCGAAATGACGAAAAATATCCAAGTTTCTCCCTCCTGATTAGATCGAAGATTTATCTTCCTGTTTCCCGAGCAAATTCTCGAGCCTTATCTGATCGCGAGAGAGCCAAAACAGCCGACTTTACAAAATGTCGTTCCACTTCTCTCATTCTTGTCTTCCTCTCTATCTATCTCTCTCTCTTTCTCTCTCTCTTGGGACGAATCATCCGGACAATTTTTTTTTCTGGAAGGTAAACAAGTCCGTGTCCCGGTTTACGAGGAAACCGGAAAAACGCTACACCAGTGTTTTCCCTTGAAGATGACGAACGAAAAGGAAGACGAAAGCGAGAGAGAAATGCTATATTGTACCATTCTTTTTCTCTCTCTCTCTCTCTGTCGGTGTAAAGTTCAATGAACAACGCGTGCTACGATATCGAGGAGATTAATAATACATATATTTACGGAAAAATTATGGAGGTCCGCGTCTCACGTGACTTAATGACGACGAGTTATTCTATCCCTCTACGTCATTCCACACAAATTTTGGGTAGTCTATATATATATATATTTAATTAAAAATTAATTATATATTAATTAATTAATTAATTATATATTATATTAATTATATATATGCTGTCAAAAATGAATTAAATTGAATGTATAATATATATATAATGAAAAATAATTTTCTCTTTGGGAAGAAAGTTCGAGAGAAATATTAGTGATGAATTCCGAAGCTACGATATATATATATAAACACACACAGATCATTATTGTGAGCACTGTCGTCGTGACTTGTGACGTACAACAATATGGCAATACATTGTTCGGCATCTCATAAATAAAGGTTCCGTTCGGGACATGACACTGACGAAAATCAGATCGATATACAAGGTGGGATAAAATTCTGGAAGAAGCCCAAAGGGGGATAGCGAACGAGGAGAGACGGAGAGAGGTGAAACAAAAAATTGGAGCATCGGTACAAACCAGATACACACTGACAAATCCAGCGCGAGCAACGCGCGATAGAGAAAGAAAAAGAGAGAGATAGAAAGAGGGAGAATGTTCTCGTGTCTCGGAAAACGAACAAAAATACACTCACTCGGTGCGAGAGCGAGACGGAAAGAGAGAGAGAGAGAGAGAGCGAACGGTCGAAATTGCACCGAAAAAAAGAAGCTCTCTCTCTCTCTCTACTCGGTTATATTTCATCGGCGTCTTTTACAGCCGTAAAAAGTGGGAAGAAGAAGCGGCTTCGTAGGGTTATGGCATAATGCTGAAATATATATATATATATATATATAGATATATATAAATCTATATATATATATATAGATATATATATATATATATATATATATATATATATATACGGCGTCGTCCACGAAATTCTCACGCGAGCGTCGACGAAATTAATGAATAAGCCACTCGATATCCGATGATAACGCCGATGACGACGACGACGAGGAAGAGGAACGCTAGAGAAAGAGAGGGAGAGAAGGCAGGAGAAGAGGAATAAAAAAAAAAGCGACGAACCCGACGACGACTACGGAAAGTACGCCATTATTGCGGGAAAGAGAGAAGAGAGGTGACGCGAGGAGAGAAGGAGAAAGATTTCCCGTTCGGGGCCACCGCGAGAGAGAGAATTCGTCGTTATCGCGCGACGCTCGATATTCCGACATCGAGCGGCAGCGCGTCACTCTCCGTCCGCGTCGCACTGTTTCTTTCCAGCGGTGGCCAGATGAGGGAGAGAGAGAGAGAGAGAGACCGCTTCGCTAAAGGACGACGCGCCGAGTCTTATTCAAGTGTCCCGACCGAGGATTTTCACTCGGAATCATTCCACATATATATATATATATATATATATATATATATATATATGTTTCGCTCACTCATTAAACGAATCACTCACACTCACTCACTCGTTCGTTCGCTTCGTCTCCCCCACCACGGAGTAGAGTCCGTCTTCGCCTACCCTGTCCTGTCCCGTTCCAACGCGGAAAAGGAGGAGAAGGAAGAGGAGTTGAAGGAGGCGGAGGAAGAGGAGGTCGGAGCACCACCACTGATACTATTATTATTATTATTATTGTTGCTACTACTACTACTACTATTCACTATTAGATATATGTGGAATAATATACCACTACTGCTCCTCTCGCGCACGTATAAACGTATACCGCACTCGTTTCCCGGAGCGTTGCCGCCGCCGGTGTGTCGCGGCCGAGAGAGCGAGCACCTCTATCGCGCAGCGGCGGCGGCGGAGCACCACCTGGCGGCGCGCGCATGCGCCGCAAGAGCGCCCGCCTGCGCATGCGCAAGCCGCTTGCCGCCGCTGTCAGGTGCGCATGCGCGCCAAGCGCGGACGTGTGCGTCAGTCGAGCCGGCTTGTTTCTCTCCCTGCGTGTGTTTATGCATGTGTGTGCATCGTATATATATGTAATACTACTATTTGCTAACAGTGTGGAAGAAGGAGCGAAAACATTATGGTATGTGTGTAATATGCGCGCGCGCGCGCACTCGCTCGTAAATTGTTGGGTCTATCCGTTTTACCTGTATTTTCCGCGCACTCAAAACGAGATGAATATCCGGACTCCTCTTCCTCCGAGAAGGAGAGGATGGATTGATTTCTCTCTCTAACTGAGGCCCGTTAGAGGGAGAGAAAGATATATACCTGCTCCTTTTGACAGTTAACGCGGTGAATTTAAGAATGATTGTAGGTATTTGGGTGTACATTTGAATGGTTTTGGATTTGAAAAGAATGGGAGAAAGGTCGGGGCTTTTTGTTTCCTTCCATTGTGTCGAATTTTCTTTTGACCTTTCCGACTTCTCTCTCTTTGTTTTCTTGTCACTTCCTTAACAGCACACATATCCCGAAGACGTTCAGAAAACATCCGAGGATGTCCGAATGTCCTCTGGATATTCTCTGAATATCTTTCGGATATGTTGTGCTATTGGGATGTGCATATGTGCGCATGCCCGATTGTAATTCATTATTGTTCGTTTTTGAAGATACAAAAGGAGAAAAAGCACCGATAGAAAATAAATAACAATATTGTCCCTTGTTTCTTCTCTCATAAACATGTTAATCGCCTTCAAGTTTGACAATAGTGATTTATTAGCTTGCATGCGGAGAGGACGGACCGCAAAAAGATCCGGCCCTAATTTAGAGACATCGATACTCCGAAAGTACGAAAAGAAATACGAGAAAAGGAAAAAAAAACTCGTATTTTTTTTCTTTAGACTGCGAGAAGCTTGAAAACACAAGGCGACAATTATTTGTTCGAACGTGACAAATAAGCTTCGAACTTGGCCTATAATAATAAAAATTTCGTCATTATCGTCAATGTGTCAATGAGAAACTCTAATTATACCGCGTTGCTTGGCGGAAATGCGAATAAAAATAGAACGAGACTTGCAAACACTTGCGCGAACTCTCTTTATGACGGATAAATTTACGTGCCCGGATAATACGTGTATATGTAAGTAATAATGCACGTATATATATGTGTATCCTATACTATGTATCTGGTGTACGGAGAGTCGTGCGAATTTTAGTGAAAGGATAGGAAGCGGCGCGGGAGAAAGAGAGAGAGACAGAGAACGAGCGAGAGAGAGAGAGAGAGAAAAAAAGGAGGAAGGCAGAGGAGAAAGACGGCGAGAAAAGAACGCGGACGAATCGCGCTGGCAAACGCATCGAGTATTCAATAATATCGCGGTGAAGGCGCACCGCGCAATTGGTAGCGGCAAGACAGGAGTCGAAATTACGCGAGAAAGAGGACCAATCAGATTTTAGCTTATATAAAGTCCCGCGATAGCCGCGCGTAGGATATTCGATTAACCAATCGTATTCCGCAGGTATCGATTCGAATACATCTCTCGATGTGCCACACTCAAATGGCAGCCGACGTAGACCACCAGGATGATGATGATGATGATGATGAATGATGATGACGATGATGATGACAAGGATGATGATGATGATGATAAGGATTATGATGACGATGATGATGATAAGGATGATGATGATGATGATGATGATTATAAAAATGATGATGACAAGGATGATGATGATATGGATGAATGCCAGAATAATCGTGTGTGCATTTTATGTATATGTATACGACGCGATTTTGAACCCCCTAAGGTCCTATAACGGTTTCTATAACCGACAATGCTTTTGACAATTGCTGCTTTCGATCAACACAAGGACGCTCGTATATCTTCAGGGTTATTAGAGAAAGCAGCGTTATTTTTCGGGAAGAAACGAGCAACAATTTTCCGCGCAACTTTTTCTTTTTCATTGATAAACTCTCTCTCTGTCTCTCTCTATCTATCTTCCTTTCGATATCTGTTTTCTTTTTTTTCAGCTTATACTTGCTTGAATCTATATGAATATTCTATGTAAAAAAAAGGAAGAAAATATCTGTCCTCGAGAATCTACGAGGAATCGTCGAACCGACTCGAAGAAATCTTTTTATTAAGAGTCATGTAATTAAAATTTTGTTGATTCATGCATAGAAATGATAGATTTGGTGAAGATTCTATTATGCAGATAGATATATACTTTGCATCAATATATCTCATTTAGAATAATCGTTGTTATTAAAAAGTAACTATGCGCAATCAATTTAAAAGAAAAAAATAATTAAACTCGCAAACACTCGGTAATCTGTCAAAATTCGCTACCAACAAACGAGATAGAATAATTCATAAAATTTTACTATTACAATTTTCTGTTGAAAGAAAAAAATAATGAAGAAACGTCGCGCAGGTGGATGACCTCTGTTGAACAAAATAAACAAATCGATTTCATGCCGATCCGTCTGTCAAGACTCGAAGAGTCTCGAAAGGTCTTTCTCTTCTCGATTTTATCGATATTTACTTTATCATAAACAACAACACAAATAAAATGATCCGGAAGAAATGAAATTACTCCGAAAATGCTGAAGTTCGGAGGCATCCCCAGATAGCCGCAGTAATCATTATGACGTCATTTCGACGTCAAAATAACGTAATGTGACGTCAAAATACGTCATTTTTACGTCAAATGCATCATTTTTGCGTCATATACATCATTTTTACGTCCAATACGTCATTTTGACGGAATGTGACGTCAAAATATATCGTTTTGACGTCAAAATGACGTGATTCGGCGTCAAAGCGACTACTCAAAAGTAGCAAACTACTACGGGATCGATCGAGATCGCGCGGATTTATTCCCGATGATGAGAAAGGAGAGACAGAGGGAGAGACTCACGATTGTGCGATCCCATCTCTCTATTCCGAGGTCCATCAGGGGGAAAAATAAAAATCCGCGAGGCGAGCGGGAGAGCTACCGCACGAATGTTCGCTCAATCGTTATCTCGGTGTCCATTTTGTTTGGTTTAATTACTGAAGAGGCGTCGGTGGTGGACTGATGATGATGGTGCTGCTGCCGTGGGTTACGTTGACACAACACGACGACGAAAGGCAGCTTCCCCTTCGATGGGTAGCCAGCCAGCCGCCTCTTGTGTTTTGCTTACTGTCTCCGTGTAGGATCGGGAGACATCGAGAAACGATTACACACATGCAAAGAGAAATCACATACAACGAGTCAGAGGGAGAGAGAGAGAGAGAGAAGGATGGAGACAGAGTGCGAAAGAGAGAGTGCGGAAAAGGTATCACACTAGGAAAAGTCGCGAAGTGACAAAAATATGAACACTCTTACTTTCCGCCGACATCTAAGATCCTCCCTGGGCTGTCACTCGGGCGTCCTGGACTGACGGTAACCTAGTTCCGTGTCGGGAAAGAGGAGAGACAAAACAGGCGGTTTATGCTCCGTACCTGTGCCACCGCGATCGTTTTCCCCATTCACTCGATGTCGGCGACGACGTCACTCTAGGAAGTTGTTTCTCTCGCGCACTCTTCACACACACATACACTCTCTTTCTAGTATTCTCACTTTACGTATATACGTACACGTCCGCCCGTCTCACGACGACGCACACACACACACACACACACGCGCGCGCGCGCGCGCGATGATGATGAATGATGAACGTCGGTCTCGTCCCGTCTCGTCCTCGTCGTCGTCGTCGCCGGGCGACACTAGTGCCGCTTGGGCCTCCGTCGTGAAAAATGGCGTGAAAATTATTACGACGCGCGGCCCCCTCGCTCCGCTTCAACCTCCTTCTTCGATGGATCTGTCGCGCCTCGCGATTGGCCGCGCGCCGGCTCGTCCAGCGCGCCGATTGGCCGCGCGCCCGCTTGTCCAGCGAGCCGATTGGTTCTCCCACTAATGGCGGAAAATTTCGATTCTGATTCGCGCGGCCGAATATTTTTTTTAAACGGATTACCCCCTCACAGATTGAGCAAAGAATAATTTATACATTGAAAGAGTTATTATATATATATATATATATATATATATATATATATATATATTTTAGAATCGTACTTGTATTGGAAAAAATACAATTTTAAAATAAAGTTATTCTTTCGCTTTTTTGAAACGTAAGTTTAAAAAGAAAATAAAAATAAGTTATTTTAATATGCCAATAAATTTATATTTCATATATAAAATATACTATATATTATTTACATTAGTAAATTTATAACTAATAAATGTACTAATAAATATAAGAAATAAAAATATGCAAAAAATTTATATCACTATAGTAAATATATAATTATAATATATTGATAAATTTCTCTATAAACTGAAATAAATAAATATATATATATATATATATATATATATATATAAATTGGTTAAGATGTACATATAAGAGTTTTTATTATATAAAATTTGATATTTATTTTTCTTTCCTTTTTTGTACTTGGATTTCTTGTAGATTACCAATTAACTATTCATATAGTTAATTGAATCCACATCTAAATTTGAGTGTATTGTCATTTATATCATTACAAATTTATTTGTATTTAGATATTCGTGGCTTGATACTAATATCTATAATATAAATAGTAAGCTATTTGTATTAATAAACTTATATTAATTATTTGTATATTTTAATTTTATACTTTTAAACTTTAGCTTTTTAAATCTGTTTTATATATTAAAATTCTCTAGAAAACCCTACTTTAAATCGTACCATCAATGATAGCCAATTATTCTTTTGATAGCTACATTTGGATACTCTTCCTGCCATTTCTCGATATAAAAATTGTTGATGTTATCGCAAAAGCTAAGGTCCATTAATTCCAATTTAGGACAACTTAATAAAAGTTCATAACATATATCCGATGTCAGAGATAGCGCGCCTAACAAATCCAATTGTTTCAAATGTTTGCACTGTGTCAATGCTTTCAAATCACGATCCGTGAGTCCTCGAAAAGCAGCCAAGAAGACCTTTTCCAAGAGCTGACAAGAAGACAATAATTTCACCAAAGTTTCACCATGACCAGATGTGCTACCGCTATACAAGAACAACAAAAACTATATTATTATAGTCTCTTGTAAAGAAACAATTAATACAGTTTCCAAGTGTAACAGAAGAAACTGTAGTAGAGAATAATGTAAATAATTGTCAGAGAAAAATCATAATACGCACCACCAACTGAAATCCACCTCTCGTAGATTCTTACAAGCAGCCAGAGCATTAATACCTTGCGATGTAAGAGTCTGTGCCTTCCAAAAGTCTATACTTTCCAAATTTGGACATGATCTTCCCAATTCCATCGCAACTGCATCTATGTTTATATTGATTTGAAACGTTCCTGCTATATTTAAGTGACGTAACCATCGATTCTTCTGCAGTATTCCACATAAAGTTTTAGTTGTTATAGTTGTCCTATAAAGGTCTAAATGCTCGAGAAATTCGAGATTCATGAGATACTCGAATCCTTTATCTTGTATGCTTTGACAATTGCGTAAATATAATTCTAAAAAAATATATATATATATTATATATTTTTTCTTATATTATTTGGCTATATGCTTATAATAATTATATTTGTATACCTTTCAAATTTCTACATGTTATTGATATTTGAGAAATAGTTGAATTGTCAACATTTTCACAGCAATTTAATCGTAGATGCGTTAAAAGACTTCCACAATCAACCAGAAACTCTTTAATACTTGTAGGAGAAAACATGCCATGATTACCACACCATGAAAGATCCAACTTTCGTAAATATTTACATCTAAATGATAAGTTGTGCAATGTAGATGCATTGAAAGAATGCCAATATGGTTTTAAGTTTAAACACGTATAGAGCAAAGGATCTAGTACCAAGTTATAAAAATACTTATTTACTCTGGATATAAGATATAGCGATCTCAAATCTAAGTTCTTTAATATTTTTAATATCGTTTCGTCCTGCAAAAGAAAATTGTAAAATCTTATTAAATGATATAACATGAATATTATAAATAATAATATCACTATGCATAGGACTTAAAAAAAAAACTTTACAGAAAGCATAGAAAAATAGCCACAAGACTCCTCAGATTCATTTGAAGAAGCTTCAATATTGTTCATAAATTTTGTTGGTAAATCTTTTATTAAAAATTGTTGCATATTATTGAGTCCTTCTTGTATAGGTGGTATGCGGTGATAAAGTTGTTCTAGATGAGATATATGCATACTCTTAAGATTGTCAATTATATCACTGCAAATAGTATTATTAAATAAATATTTCAAATTTGTTTTCATTATTACATAAGTAAAAAATGTTTAAATATTACATATCAACAATTATAATACCTTTCATATGTAGTATAATGTTCATCCAATATTACTTTCAGATCTTTGCTCTGTTGTACATTTTCATAATCTGGTGTTAAGTTGATTAAAGTAGAATTTGAATCGTCAACATGACTATAATTCGTATCTTGTAATAAATCAGATAAGCTCTGTTTGCTTGATGGATTCTTGGGAAACATCATTTCCAATGTACCGATTAACAACACAGCATCCAACTCTGTGTAATAGTCCAATAGACTATGGTTGAATTCCAGCCTCAACATTTTGGTCTTGAAATTGCACAACTGTAAAGGCGGGGAGAATAATCTTGAGTTCTTGATTACAATCTGAGGCAGTCCGCTCCACAATCGATGCCACTGACCACAACCATCTTGCGCCCATATAGCAATCACACTCCCAGGATTATATAATTCATATATGGAAACTCTAATTGGATATACTGGCTCAACATATTGAATATCTTCAAATTTCATGTAACAGAACAAACAATAATTATAATTTTACCATTAAATTTATCTATTTTTCCTGCTACTATTGCAAATATTTTATATACCAATATAATCTTGACTCACAGCATCCAGATTATTCTGCGGCATGTAATCGATGGATCTTGAAGGTGCCTTATCCCACCATAATCCATAAGTTCTCTAAAAAAAAAAAGTAAATTTATCAAATCTCAAATGCAATGCATCTTATTTTGATTAAAAGTAGCAGTTATTTTACCAATTTAACAAAAGATAAAGTCAGGGAATACATACCATGGCAAATGCCTGTGGAAAATCTCCATATTCTGGAAATTTACTGGGTGGTCCAATTATATTATGAGCGGTGTAGGATATGCTGATAGTATGGCTATTGCCATATTGAGAACTGAAGCTATAAACGTTACTCACAAACTGCTCTATAACATTGAACCCTGGTTTCTTTTTACTTTGATCCTCATGAGATGTCATGTCTCCAGATAAAAATATTAATTTTATATTAATATTAAATATATAATATTATTATATATATGTAGTTATATACATTATAATTATACAATTTAATTGATTGTATTATATAATTGCATATGATAAAATAAGGCTCAGACGTTATAAAAAAACATAATACCTTTTAACTAAATGCAAAAAATGATAAATTTACCTTAATAATAAAACTGTTTGACATCTCATATGCTAACTGAAACTGAAGACATCACGTTTCTAACCTACTGATCATTGGGAGAGGGGAAATAAAAAATAAACAATACATGCGATCTAAAGCGGGAAGCACACACTTTTGCATAGGCGCACAAGCGTAAGCATAATAATCTTGATTGGTCTATAAACGTATACATAAGAAATTTAACCAATCGAATTTCTTATGCATATGCTTATGCAAGAGTGTGTGCTTTTCCCTTAAATTAGATACAATGTAAATTGTATTTATTAAAAAATAAATATAAATAAAATATAAAATATTTAAATATTAATTGTATATCAAAATTGCCTTAAATTAGCATTAAACTGTGCATTGAGAATTGAGCTTAAGAATTTATAAATTATTTATTACAATAAATAAATTAAATTAGATATATAATTAATTAAATAATTAATTACATAATAAATTAAATAATTTAAATTCGACCAAAAAAATAAAGAAATAATTAAAACCAAAACATCTCTTCGCATCTATTTTTATAAATCTCATCCCGATTTTCTATATTCTATAGGATAAAATCATGCTGGAAGGAAAAAATATAAAATATAAGATAAAATATAAAATAAAAATATAAAAATATAATATAAAAATATAAAATATAAATCTGCATTAACTTGTGCATTGAGAATTGAGATTAAGGATTTAAATTGAACCAATCGGAAGAAGTCTCTGCGTCAGGGATTTGCTGATTGGTCGATGCTATTCCTATTATTATAGCCAAAAATATTGGCCTCACATGTTCACTTCATGAATCGAAGGAAAAATAAATAATTGACAACCATTTCCAATTTTAATTCAAATAAAAAAAAATAAAAAAAATATATAAATAGTAATAAAATAATAAGTGCTAAAAAATAAAATAAAACACGAAACATCCCTTGGAAGAAATGTTTTTAGCTTGGGTAGACTTCATGCAAGAGAGAGAACCCACCAAAACTCTCTTCGTGCTCCGATTTTCTATAGGATAGTATAGAGAAGCTTCGCTCCGGTTTACTATAGGATTTTCGCCGAGTTTGCAAAAAGAGTCCAGCTTCAGGTGCGAAGATATACTGGGGGTATATCTTTGACCTGAAGGCCTGCTAGTAAACATAACAAATTTAAGGCAATATAGGCGAGACTCGCAACCTTAGAAGAATTATTATATTAATTAATCCGCCTGTGTTAATTAGGTGTATATAATTAGGCTCACAATGGTAAGTTCTTGACTTAATTAAAGACGTCTCATTTGATTGACGAATACTCCATGTCCCCGAGTCAACTAACCTCTGAAGGCACTTCAGTCGCTTCCGTTGCAGGATGTATTTTTAATGATCAGGCGAAAAAAAATGACAATATTTACCGACGCGAAAGACGACACCACAGTACTCGAGCTTAAGAAGATGATTGAAGGTAAAGTATCTCTAGGGAACGAACAAATTATCAAGAGTGTAAAATGACAAATCATATTTGTCGACATCTTGGACTTTCGATTGAATTATTGTTCCTTCATTAATGTGATTATTTTTATATCATATATTTTATACATTATTTTTTATATAATATTTTTGATATAACATTGACATTAACTTAGTTTCTTCTTTTTCTTTTTTTTTTTTTTTTTTTTTTTTTTGGTTTCTTTTGCTTTTACAGGCATACTGAAAGTACCACCAGCAAATCAACAGCTATTTAATAAGGAATATTTTCTCATGGTTGATAACAAGGCATTGCAAGAATATGGATTGACATCGTTAACCGCAAAAGCGCAAAATCCTGCATTAGTTGGTTTAGCTTTACGTCAATCGGATGGTCAATTTGAGCCCTTGGAGATGACGCCGTTTTCATTACCACCAGATCTCCCCGATGTTATGAAATCTCAAGAGAATAATGGACAAGAGCAATCTCCTTGAAATAATGCGGATGGTATATGCACCAATTGACGATGAAGTTTTGTGTTCTATACATTTTAGTAATCGTCAGTGCAATTCTGAATGGTAAAACGAGAGAAATTCTTATGTACCATGTACTATGTGAATATTAGAATGTGAATATCATGGTGTCGAGAGGGAGCACTATGTGAATATATTAGATACGTACAATTTTATACAGAGATGTTCGGAACAGCAACTTTTTTTCAATATTTAATCTAATGAGGACGCTATGTAGTCACAATCTTCAGTTTTTCTAATAACATCACAAGTAATAATTTGTATATTCAATTATTAGACTGAAGGTGATAATAAAACTGAAAAAGAAACATGCTCACACTTTACACCGTGCATTATAAACCAAATTATATAGATAAAATTATACATTAGTATTTTGTTATGATCAGATTGCGAGAATAAATACCTCAGCTTATCATTAAGTTACAAATATAGCTTAAATATTTTTAAATAATTTTTAACATCTTAAAAACCGAATTTTTGTTTTATTTAACTGGCTATACATAAATATATATATATATTTATACCCTTGTATCACAAGGAAGACTAAAATAAATTCAGTTTCATAAGATGTGTACAGATAATTTCTTATTTAATATGCAAAAAATTATATTTCTAAATTATAATTCTTATAGTCACAAAGCATACCAACATATAAGGCTGATTGGGTCTGTGTTGATATAAGATATACAATTATTATAAATGTAAAATATAATGCTCCAATGAATGGTTTTTAACTCTATAATATTGTATATCCTATTACAATTATTATGCAACTTATATATAGTTTTATAATTACTAGCAACACAATTATATTACTATATGTACAATGCAAATAATATCACACTAAGCAACAATAAAAAGAAAATAAATATATTATGCATGTATGATTGCACAATATGTTTATTAAATATTCAAGTGTCCTGTGCATATTCACATTTATTCAACCAATCATATGTACTTACATTTGAAATTCATTCACACAACTCAATCGCATACTCTAAACAAAATTATAAATTTAATAATAAAATAAAACAATTTTTTATTAATTACTTATAGATCTTTATTTGCCAGCATTTCCATTATGAAATCCCTGTAGAAATCTTTTTTGCTTGGTACATAGTGGCCACCTTCATGTCGTATCACTTTCTTATTTGGATAAAGACAGCTAATTTGTTCTGCCATTACTGTAATAAAAATAAATAATGAATTTAATCTAGTATTTCAATATAATTTTTTATTCAACTATAAATCATAATAAATTATAATTCCATACCTGTTGGAATGACTTGATCATTCTCTCCGTAAATGTGCAACGAAGGTACATCTATCTTTTCATTGTAATATGTTGCATGAGGTGCGCACAATGATTTGAATCCAGATATCATAATAGCAAAGTTAAATTCGATCTGTAATACTATGAGAAGATAAATAATTATATATACATATATTTTTTTATTTTTCTTATGTATTATCTTCCAAGTTCTTTACTTTTCCTTTTTATCATAGCACATAATATGCTAACGTAAGCAGCTCCTTGTGAAAAACCTAATATACCGTCAAAGGGACCTTGTTCTGAAAATGTTTTTTCTATTAAGGCTATACTCTTCTCAAATCCTACACATAATTCACTAGGTACTGTTGCTTTAAATACATGATCCTCTGTGTTAAACCACCATCCGTATCCTGTAATTTAAATATATTTTTAATACACTAATTAAATAATAAGCAAATAACAATATGAAGAGTTTTCTTATAATTAATTCTATTAGACACTTTTCTTGTATAACACACACCATTTTCATCTGCAGTCTCTTCACTTTCATTATTTGATGGGACTTTATGTGGTGCCCTTATAAATGTGAAATCTATTTCTTTTTTAAATCCCTTCCTTAAAGATCCTAATTTGGCGCTAAATATTACATCCGATTGCCTATATCCATGTAACGCTAATATCTGAAATAAAAAAAATATATATATATACTAACATTATGTATCAAATTATATTACGTATTCTTATATCAATGCATTGAAATAATTACTCACTCGTAATTTTGATTTGGTTGAATTAATGGGTTGCATTTACTTATTGTTAGCTCTAGAACAAATCGAAAATTGTCATGTATATACATTCAAGAATTAGACATCAATCAAGTACCTTTATTTTTTATCTCTCTCTATTCTTAACTAGTTGTCATTTTCTGTAAACTAAATATCTATATATATCTTTGTATTTTAGTTCTATATATATTATGCATTATTTAAAAAATAATAGAAATTATACACACGGCTTTGAACCATATAATAAATATATTTGTATATTTGTAAAGGAATTAATAAAAATATACATAAATATAAAATTATAATCCTTATAATTTATAGTATTGGGAATAATTTTTTATAGGGAAATAAAATCAATAAATTGATATATAACGTATTAAACATTAATCTATTTATTAATATCAGTTTTAAAAGAAAGATTAGACTGCAAAATTAAAAATATAAATATATATATATATATATATATATATAATTTACAACTTCGTATTTGACTTAAATTTGTCAAAAATAATAAATTTATTTTCTATTCTTTCAATTACCATAATTTTACTAAAAAATTATGTTGACAAGAATGGTCAACACAAAATTTTTTACATAAAAATTGTTTAGCTTAAATAGTATAATTGTAATAATTAACGTTTTTGATATAACTTGTGCAAGTTGAAAAAAAAAATTTGTTTAATATTCTTTCCTTAATTTCCACAAATCATATCAGAGAGAAAAGATAAATTATTATAATTGTACCATTTAACTGATAAATTCTTTAACAATTACAAATTACGTTGTTTAAAGGTCGCTAAGATCCACAGCTTCAATCTGTGTATTAAGATTGGCAACATTTTCCTTGGTTTTAGAAATTTCCGTCTGTACTTCTCTAGGAATATCCAATTTCGACCATGAACCAGGTTCAGCTTTCTTTAATTTGATTTCTACTTTGGTTGGCAGCATATTTACACTACTTTGCTCAATATCCACAATCTAAAAATAAAAGGTAAATAACTTTTATAAATATACATATTTCTTAATTTTATAGAATAATTTTAAAAAATAATAAAACATTAATATATACTCCTCTCAATTCTACATCAAGATTGTATCTTGAGTTTTCTTCTATAAAGAATAAATCTACAGTCAAATGAATAGGATTTAATTTTACAACAGACTGATTAGGCAGATATTTCTTCGCATATATAGAAACAACTACGTATGCTCCAGTTTGATGCCAGTCCATCCTACATTGAGCCTTTTTCCCAGTATTCTAAGAAAAAACAAATATTAAAAATATTAATTATTAAAAATATTGCTCAAGCTGCAATTTATTATTTTTTCTTTACAATTTACAATTTATCTCACCTTAGAAAACCATACATGTCTGCCTTGCGTACAACCTGGCTGGTCCAAAAATACAGAAAATTCTGTTGTCTTTTTTTTACAACAGGACCAATATTTCAACCCTTCATGAAATATAGGTACTCCCGAATGATAACGACAAGTTTCTTCATCAGAGGTAGTCCCTAGGTAAGACGCCTTACACGAATTATTTTTACAATTTTGTCCTATTTGTATTTCGCTCTCTGTTGACTTATCAGTCTCCGTAACTGTCAATCCTTTAATTTGTTCCAACAGAGCGGGAGATATTGTTGGCGATAGTGTGAGTTGAGGAACATCAAAGGGAGGTCTTTGTAAGGATATTCCATTGTTCACAGGCTTCGGAATGACTTCTATCACTTCATTAACCTTGGATTTGTCGACAAATGGTTTCTCTGGTTCTGGTGGTTTCTCATTCGAGTGCTTTGCTTTCGTGCAACCTTTAATGTTCAAGAACTCTGTAAAATCTGTACATTTTTTGTTACAGCAGGACCATCCTTTATAAGCATCGTGAAACACTGGATATCCAGGATGATGGACGCAATCATCTGTGAAAGAATTATAAGAATTATAATTAAATTATACAATTAAATTATTAATTTTTTAACTTTATAAAAGTGGCATAACTTACCATCCTTATTATCATTGGGGTCGAATTTCTTTCCGCAACCGCGATGATAACAATTCAACAAAGTCTCTTGTGACATCTCTATTTCACAATTAATTAATTTTTTTTTCTATTGAGTTTTTGAAAAAATATAAAATATTATATATGTACGAAAACTGTTTTCTCTCCACTTTCCGTAAAATTCGAGAAAATTCCAACACGTTTCATCAGCTTCAGAATTCGCAGAGAAATATCCAGATTTGTTCTCTGCAGCAGAATTAGAACGAGATGGATATATAATAACGAGTTGAAAGAAAGGGAAGAAAAACAGAAAGTGCAAGAAGTTCAGTTGCAAGGAACAAACCTCTTTCGAATCTGTCTTCGCCAGATGACGTCATAATCTGTCATGAACAAGATGACGTCAAGATTCGGGACAAATGGAAACTCTAGATCCGAAAGTAGAAACCAATCACGTTTGATTTTTACCTAGTGATTTTTTCCACTGAATTTTTTACTAAAAAGAATATTTAGGGATATATTTGATTTAAAGGGAAACCGACGAATCCTTTTAAATTTCAGACAGCCGTTGTGGAAGATTTTGTCATCGTTGCATGTGCTTTTTCGCTGTTTGAACTTTTAATTTTAATTATTTGACAAAAGTGTATATTGAATATTGAGGAAAAAATGAAGAGAGTGAAATCTAAAGCTAATCCATCGTCCAGGTAAATAAAAAAATGAATTGATCTTTGTTAAAGTGAGACTTATTCTAAAAAAAAAGCACACCGATTTTTTCATCTTTATTATCATTTAATTTCGCTTTTCTAATAAATATGTAATAATAGAAATTTTGTAACAGTACAAGAAATATTGCTACGCAGACTACAGATTTTGATAGTTCTACTGAGATTGCCAAATTGCAAGATCAAATAAAACTCTTGCAGCTTCAGAACGATGTTCTGAAGCAACAGACGAAAACACCTGAAAAATCTTACACAATGACACGTACTAATAAACAGCTTTATGCATCAGAAACACCTAAAAGCAAGGATGTGAAACATTGTAAGTGTAAAAAAAATTGCTCCTCACAAGCCTGTGGGTGTGTTAAAAAAAACAACAAATGCAACTCTTTGTGCAAATGTAATTTTGAAATATGTCAAAACCAGGTAATATTTATTGTTATTTACAGATCTATAAAATGTTTTTATCGTGAGTAGCATTTTTAAGCAACTTTACATAGAAATTAATTTTATTTTACAGAAATCAAAACATGATGATAATAAGGAAAATATTAATAATATCACTGACGTTGAGATTTCTATGAATCAAAACACAAAGAGTGATCCTATAGAAGTAATGTTTGATCCCATGAAACCAAAACATCAATTATCACGAACACCACCAAAGAAAAATTTTGGAGAGATAAGTGATATAGCTGATGAATCACTGATGGATAACAATAAAACACTAGAGCCAATAATTAATAACAATAAATCACTAGAGATGGATAATGCAATTGAGACTCAATCACATTATAAGCTAAATAAAGATACAACAATTGTATCTTCTGTTAAAGGTATGTTAAATAAAGTTAAATGAACAAATTGTTTGCATTGTTTATAGACATTTATATTTCATCATTGTCATTATTTTCATCTGTGAATTTCTTTGCTAATTATGTTATTCATTATATTATTAATAATTCTTTGGTTTTCCTGATATACTGATAATTTTAACACATTAATTAGGATTTTAAAATAAAATTCAGTTTAAAGGAGAAATTAAATAGAAGACTAAATTCTTACTGTATACTTATATTCTCTCATATGTTTTATTAAATTCTTTATATATATTATGCAATTAATATTTATATTTTAATTATATGTAATAAATTTCAGATGTGGAGGAAGAAAATGTTGATTGGCAAGAGCACACTGCACAACTTATTCCTTGTAAAAAATGCAAACGAACTTTTATGCCATCCCGGATCCAGAAACATGAGGCATGCTGTAAAAAGATTTAAAAAAAATTCTGGAAAATTTTTTTAAAATTTTACAAATTAAGATTACAAGATAAGATAAATAATTATTTTTTCATGTAAATAAGATATATTTTACTATGTATATTGATATTGTAACAATAATGTGATGTTATATATTTTTTAATAGAAGAATTAAACTTGTGAAATATTAAATATGGAGATTTTAATTTCAAAAGATTTGATAAAAGCAATGTCAGAGGAACTGATTTATATAAACATTATAGAACATTTTGAAAGGCTAGTAAATGAGTTTAAGAGTCTTCTTTTAAGTGAGTGATATTACGTTTTGTATTATATTTCAAATTCCAAATTATATTCTCATTCTCATGTATCATTCTAATGATATACATTTTTTTTGCAAATTTGTCGAATAATACAAATTCTACAAGATTAATAAAAATGCATAAATTTATCTGTTTTGCACTTTATTTTTAAAATATATTGGAACTTATTGTAAATATAGAATCCTGAGAAGCTTGAACAATATTATATTGCTTAAGGGGAGTGTGATTTATTGATTTACATAATAGAAATTAGTCAATATATCCTCTGGAATCTTCAATACAGAGAATTATAGATAATACATACAAACACACAGGAATATCTGTCAATTAAAAAGATTAGATTTATTTAACATTAACTGTGATTTTATTGCAGAAAAGTTTATTATATATTGGCACAGAGATTCATCTTTGTTTGAAATACATGCTACTTATTGAAGAGCATTTGGAATGTCCAATTAAAAGTCTGCAAAATCTAAAATTGGCTTACGCTTACAAAAAATTTGTTTCTGCGCAGTCTCCTCAACAAAATTACATTGAGCTTTGTAGCCGAATCTTTTTATTTCGATGATGCCTCCAAAATTAGTTTACGAATTAAACACAATATATAGGAGTTTAATGTTATAATTCATAATAGTATCATTGATATAAAAATGTTCAAAGAAATTTTATATTTGTGCAAGTGAAGTGAATATATAATTGTAGTACATAAACTATGTATATATATTAATTTTATTTCAGAATTTCTTCTGTGTGTAGAACCTTCTGTCTCAGTCTGCTGCAATGACTCTAACAACTACTATCTATTATAGCAAAACGTTTATTTTTTTCAACAGATATATATCCTATTAATAAAGCAAATTATAGTTTCAAGTATGAATCAAAAAATTTAATTTGCTGTGTAATACATGATTGAATTCTTTCCATTTAATTTTATTTATCTATTCTGTTTCTTTCTTTCAGATGATATGAATACACAGGAGGAAATATAGTTGTAATATATAAACACATCATCGTCGAAATATAAAAACTATGAAACACGTTTGGGAAACAAAATAAAATTTCAGAGCTGGTGCAATTTTGAATAAATGGAACATAATGTGAGAGAAGATAATTAAAACGTTTAATTAATAATTAATAAAATAAAAATTATAAAAGCATTCAAATACAATTACATGTATTAGGTATATAAATATAACTACATTTATGAGTGTTTGTACTCTCAGTCATTGACAATATACACTCGAGCATGCTATTAGTCATTCTCTGTGATTGACACAATTTAAATTTTATTTTATTATCATATTGCAAAGTGTTATTTTTTTCTTTCTTTTTTTCTTAAGGGTTACTCTCAATATACAAAAGTATATGCAATATTTAAAATTTTTGTCCAATAAGAGATAAATTTCGTAATCGATATTAAAAAGTGAGTCCATTATATGCATAATATAATCTTTTTACAGAATTCATAATTAATACTACAAATTGATCGTTATTATATTCCAATCTTGTTCAATGTACTTTGACGATTTTGTCAAACCGATGTCATTTTAAAAAGCGATAAAATTTCCCTTCCTCGCTAGCCACTAAATAAAGCATAGCTTTATATCTATATATATATATATATATAATAAGTAAGTACACAAGTATTAACAACGTATATGTCATTATGGAAAATGCAGGCAGGGTGATTAAGGCATATTTTCTTTCCGAGCTTTAATACTGAGATGCATCCGCGTCGTCCATTCCGGAGACACTGGCTTGTTCCAATACCTCGAGGAGCTTCTGCATTTCCATAGAGTCGGATGAATTGTCGAGCGTTCTTTCCAAAGCTCGCACATACGACATGCACGTTCGTCCTTCGTGATCTAGATTCTGCGGATTCGCTTTATGCTGCAAAGTTTATGATGACATTAGAGCACAAATTCCACATTACTTCTTCGCAAAGTGTTTAGTAAAATTTGAAAATGAAATTTAAGGATATTTCCGGAACATTTCAAGGAAATTTGCACGATTTTCCAGTAATATGATAAAGATGTACAAGAAATCGAAAATTTTATATTTTTTATCAAATTGATATAAATTGCACGTTAATGAAAATTAATATATGCATTACATATATTCGATATATTTTTTATATTATATTTGAACTTTTAAAATCTACACAGAAAAAATTTTGTTTAGAATTTACCCTGCAAATTATGGTAATCATGAGACAATATGATATTGGAAGAATTTTATAATTTCTCTGATGAATATTTACTACAATAAAAATATTACCACAATAAAATATGAATACTTTTTATTGTGGTAAATATTGAATCAGAGAAACTCTTATAAAATTCCATCCTACAATTACATGATTTTCAAGGTAAATTCTAAATAAAAATTCTCTCCATGTATAAACAATTTATGCACATTTTTGGACTCCATAAATAAAAAAATATATTGCATTATTTATGAAATAAGATTAAATATTTTTTACTCAAATAGTCTCAACTGACTCTTAACTGAATATTTAGAAACAACGAAAAAAAAATCAAAAAGATCTATGAAAAATTCAAATACATTTTCAGGATTTTTAAAGAAGAAACAAATTCTAGAACATTTCAAGGATTTCAAAGACAGCTAGACACCCTGCAAATGCGTTTCAATTAGCTAGAAGCTAGAAGAAAAGCTAGAAGCTATCTAGAAGAAAACTAGAAGAAAAACATACCCATATTAAAAGTTGTGCCATTGCTAAATTTCCAGTTGCACAGGCCAAGTGTAAAGGGGTTCTTAGATCTTCCGTGCTGACCGAAATGTTGATATCTTCATAATTACATCGGGCCAAGCATAATGTGAACGCCCGCATGTCTCCTCTATATATTCAAAAATAGAAAAAAACGAATATAAGTATAAACTCTCAAACTTAACTGGTATCTCAGATTTGATTAAATAAAGTGCCTTACCGACAAACGGAATCTATGAGCAATTTTCCTAAAGAAATGTTCGGATTGATCGGCGGCAGAAAGAGTTTGTCCTCGTATTTCCATCTGATCCACTGTTCCTTTTCCTCCCTAGAACTATCTGAGGCCGGTTTTTGCTTCCCGTTTAAACAATATTCCCAGATACTGTTTGCTATATCATTACCGAGAGCTAGCATTACGCTTAGGTGACCTGCGCTAAAATAATCATTGAAGATTATATTTTCAAGTAAAAGACATAGAACGAATTTAATTAAACATGTGTACAAAATTTTGCCTTATACACTTACGACCAGTCGTCCAAATCTAATGACCGAACCTTAGATATGTGCGAACCTAAGTTTCTGTGGATGCCAGAACATTCGATGCACACCAGCACACCCAAATTAAGACTGGCCCAATCAGGATCTAAAATAAATAATTAATTATTATTATTAAAATAATATATATATATAATAAATAAAAATTATAATTAATTATTAAAATAAATAAATAATATTAGTAATAAAAATATAATTAGAATAAAATTGATTAGAATAATAATTAATAATCAAGATATATTTCGCGCGATAATAATCGATCCTACGATAAATAAAAAAAAAAAGAAAATCTTACTCGGTGCACCGCAATCAACGCATGCATCGTTTCCCGAAACTTTGTTCTTGATGCAATGCATCTTGAAAGCATCGGTCTCATTCTTTTTGTCACCGTCGCTATTTTGCAAACTTGACAGTATTTGTTGCTCAATCGCAGCGATCCAGTTATCTCTATCTTCAGCATTGTTTGCCTCAAAATGCCAAGTTTTATTCTCTAAGGAAATAATGGAAAATTCGAAACTGTCTTCTGAAAAAAATAATCATGTTTTGTAATGAATTAAAAATGTTAAGTATACAAGCAAGAAACAGAAAGGAAACCTTGAGCATTGTAGGACTTGGAACCTTTTGGCGTCTTTCCAGGCACCTTCACAGTAACATACTGCAAAAGTATTTCTTTGCCATTAGTATCATTCATGTAATCCTGAAAATGCATTTTTCTTGTAAATAGATCATATAAACACGCGTAAAATATAAAAGTAATTTTTTATATAATAATGAATAACTACATGTAAACTTGAATGATACGTCAGGCGGCCGTCCTCTAATAATGTAACATATTTCTTCTTCCATTCCTTCAACGATTTGCTACTTCGTTTAAACAAATAGCCTTGTTTAACTGGTATTTCTCTGCCAACACCCATTTCACCCATGTATTTCTCTTTCTTAGAAGGTGTAAATATATTCGATTTTCTTCTAAATTTCCTAAAAAATAAAAAATTAAAAACATATATTAATTGTCAGGTATATCAGTGCAACCATTTAAGAAAAAAATAAAAAAAATAAAATTTATTGTATTTACCTGATAGTGGTTGGTGTTAAAATCGACGATCGTAATTCTCCATGCTGATTTTGTACATTATGAAAATTATCATTCAGTAATCCCGAATCATTGGGCACAGAATTGTTATGAATCGAACGACAATCTTCGTCTTTTTCCGTAATCTAAATCAATAGATAAAGAGTTGTATGTTAATAATTTTATTCAATTTTTTTCAGTGATTTGCTCAAGGATGCGATAGCGGATAAAATCACTCACATTTACTTTCAATGAATTTGTGGTCTCCATCTCTTTGTTTTGAAGTTGCACATTTTTAGTAGCAACAGGGACTGGAAACTTTACATCGTTCTCTGTACTGTGTTGGCATACATCACATGAATACTGTTTCGATATATTTTGTATAATTTTTTGACACACTAAAATTGATACATGTTATTACATTTTATAATTCATAATATATAATGTCTAATTATTTTCTTTTATAAAATTCTTACCATCTTGAAATACTCTTTCAACATTTAAACCATAAATAGCGCATGTCTCATAATAAGGGCATCGTAGATCACAAGCCAGTTTTCGGGGTCTAACGTCTTTTATGACGCGGGGATTACTGTCATTAATTGCATCTAGAAAATTAAGAATTTAGTGAATGACGCTAGTAATAAAAAAAAAAAATTCTACAAAGAAATGTACACATTACATACCTTGTACACCTACAAGTATTTTTGGTACCTCTGACATATTTCGAAAAGAACACATTCTATTATAGAAACTGCAAACTATAGAAAAGCTCTCTTCATTTTCTAGACTGAATACAAGTAATAAAGCATCTATCCAAGATGAAAACTGAAATCAATGTAAAGTTTCTATCATTCTTAAGTCTATCAATATAACAATCAATTGTTTATCACATTCCTATTATGATAAACAAAATAAGAGATTTTGTCGCACTTACTTGAGCCTCTGGCACGCCACCTTCATCTCTGATCAAGAGTAGATAACTCTGATCGTTGATAAAAATTTCCTTCTTAAAGCGACCACCTTCTGGCGATTCCTCGTGCATAAAAGAACCAGTGAGATACCTGTGAACGAGAGCGGATTTTCCAGAGTCCGAGGAACCAATGATTCCCAAGTGCAATTCCGGGACATCCCTCGCCAGGGTCCATTCATGACTGTTGACGAAGGAATCTAAGAACACACAAATTTACATTATAAACAATTCAGTAACTATCTTAATATTAGCATTAAATTTTTCTATTATTTTCATTACCCAAACTGCTTCATTAGCAAACTGATGTCATTAAATATCCAAAATGACGTCATTAAATATCAAATGAGGTCAGCAAATGTCAAAATGACATCATTTGCTGACATCATTAGCTGGGTACTATTACCAATCATATTATTATAAATTATTACTACCCTTAATTAATATTGGTATCAAATAATTTTATTATTTTCATTACCCAAGTAGCAAAATGACGTCATTAAACGTCAAATAACGTCAGCAACTGTCAAAATGACATCATTTGCTGGGTATTATTAGCAATCGTATTATTATAATTATTACTACCATTAATTAATATTGATATTAAATTGTTTTATTATTTTCATTACCCAAGTAGCAAAATGACGTCATTAAACGTCAAATGATGTCAGCAACTGTCAAAACGACATCAACTGTCAAAATGACATGATTTGTTGGATACTATTATCAAACGTGTTATTATAATGATTACTACCATAAATTAATCGTGCTCATTATTACTGTCAACGGGTACCTTCAATCGCCACGACGTGCTCGCGAATCTGCTTCGCGATGTGCGCGTCGGGCACCAGCTCTATTAGGTCGTAAATCGCATATATCGAGGGGTGAACGCTCTCGAAACGTTGTATTTCCTGCCTGATAGCGAGAGAGTGATCGTGCCCGCTCTGGCCAGTTGTCATTTTTGTCAGCTACGTCCGGACTTTTCCTCGGCGACGATCTATCACATCGACGGCATAACTTCCTGGCTCATCTCGTCGCACTCGTTGAAGAAGAAGCTCGCGCGAAAATCCGATAAGGCTGTCGCTGATGTCTCGCGTAACATATGTCAAATTCGAGTATTTATAAACATTATCCCGTCGCCCAAGATCGGCGAAGTTGGTTAGGTGCACGGTCCCCCGCGGTCGAGAAGGAAAGCGTAGTTTTCGTGAAAACTGACGTCGATGACGTCACGGCCCGATCTCGTTTGCGCGCCATTTCTGATCACACCGCAAGTTTGTGTTTCGTGCGCATTAGCCAATCAGCTGACGCTACCTGTCATTCTTGGAGGCTGATTGGTTCGGCGTTTCAGTGCAGGTTAAATTTAAAATATTTTATTAATTTTAATGATTTTGATGATTTTAATTTTAAAAATAATAATTATTTAATTATTTTTATTAATTTTAAATTGATTTTTTATTTTGGTATAGAGTAGCTTTTCATTTCTTTGTTCTGATTGGTCAATCAAAAGCTATTATCTACTTCAAAGAATAAATTTGACTGATCTGTTTATTTTAAAAAAATTTAAATAAAAAAGTTAATTAAAATTAATAAAAATAATAAAATTATTATTATTTTAAGAGTAAATGGCTCATAACGGCTCGTCATGTCATGATCAAGCGATTTTCCGGAAATAAAGGGTACAGAGTACAGACAGATGATTGGCTGTCAAAATAATTGCTTACGGGAGGCGTGGCTGCGAGATCGTAAATAATTTAAGGGAATTTTGTGAAAATATTCATAAAATCGGGGGAATTTCGCGTAATAATAAAAGACCGTAATCGAGAACATTCGAGCCATTAGAGGACGAGCTTTGGCGCGAGACATTTGGTGATTGTTAACAATTGTAAATTCGTTTTGCATTTGCGGCGCAATTGCAAGGTTACATCAGCAAGTAATTTGAGAAGGATCTGATTTCTTTCGGGGAGAAATTCGTACAGTACGAATTGAAACAGGATGCCGAGGAAGGGTACGTATTATTCGCAAATTTGTATTGTTTTTATTGAAGGATCGTAATTAGGGGAAGCAAGGTAGCATATGCCAGGATAAACAAGGATCTGATCTTATTGTAAGGTGACCTTATTATAAGGTGACCTTATTGTAAGGTGACTGGCTTCAACTTGCTTTGTCGATGTAAAAACCAACCAAGGAGCTCATATAATGATGATATAGCCTTCAAGTTATTTATTGGGATTAAAAATGAAACTTTAGCATTTATAGAAATAATTTATATAAAATAATATACTTTTGGAAATATATATACAAATTCTATACAATTTGATTTTTATATTTTGCTTTTGTAATGATATCTTCAAACGTTAGGTTACAGCATCAAATAATTTAGGAGAAAATTCATAAGACATTTATTTTAAACAAAAAACTTGTATCTTGTAATAATGAATTAAACTGGGATAGATACAAGAATATGTTACATAATGCTAATGCAAATTGTAAAACTTGATTATTATAGATGGTTCAAAGTGTATACACAAGAGATATATGTTACAGGGAAAAAGAAGCTGAGCGCTTTAGAAGCAGGCTCATCATCAACGTCAAAAGGTAAGCAATCATAAAAAGAATAAGTATTGTAACAGAAAGAACAACTTTGAGCTACTTGTTTCTATTATCTTTCTTAAAGTAGAAGAGAAGAGTTGTTCTTTCTTTTGAAACATTTTTGTAAAGTGTGTTCATCTTGTAATATATATAATAATAGATCACTTTTCTGTAGCTGAAGAGAAACCACAGAAGCAAGTAGCTCAAAGTATACCACAGCAGCAGCAAGTACCACCGCAACAACCTCAACAACAAGGAGTACAGGGCCAACCACAACAACAGACTGGAGCACAGCAGCCAAAAGCGTGGGGTCAGCCATCACAACAACCAGCACAAGGCCCACAACCACAACAGCCAGGAGCGAGGGGTCAACAACCACAAGGCTCACGACCACAACAGCCAGGAGCGTGGAGTCAACAACCACAAGGCCCACCACAGCAGCAAGGAGCATGGGGTCAACGACCACCTCAACAGACTGTAACACAAGGTCCACCACCTCAACAGCAAGGAACATGGGGTCAACGACCAGGAGGCCCACGACCACAACAGCCAGGAGTGAGGGGTCAACAACCACAAGGCCCACGACCACAAGGCCCACGACCACAACAGCCAGGAGCATGGAGTCAACAACCACAAGGCCCACCACAGCAGCAAGGAGCATGGGGTCAACGACCACCTCAACAGACTGTAACACAAGGTCCACCATTTCAACAACCACAAGGCCCACCACAGCAGCAAGGAGCATGGGGTCAACGACCACCTCAACAGACTGTAACACAAGGTCCACCATTTCAACAACCACAAGGCCCACCACAGCAGCAAGGAGCATGGGGTCAACGACCACCTCAACAGACTGTAACACAAGGTCCACCATTTCAACAGCAAGGAGCATGGGAGCAACAATCACCTCAACAGACTGTAACACAAGGTCCACCACCTCAACAGCAAGGAGCATGGGGTCAACGACCAGGAGGCCCACAACCACAACAGCCAGGAGCGTGGAGTCAACAACCACAAGGCCCACGACCACAACAGCCAGGAGCATGGAGTCAACAACCACAAGGCCCACCACAGCAGCAAGAAGCATGGGGTCAACGATCATCTCAACAAACTGGAACACAAGGTTTACCATCTCAACAGCAACAAGCATGGGCTCGACAACAAGCTCCAAGTAAAATATCTTTTCAATATACATCTAAATAATTGGAAAAGATACTATTGGAACATTCTTAAATAATTTATGAATTTATATATATATATATATATATATATATATATATATATATATATATATGTGTGTCTTATAAATTTATATTATTGAGTAAAATAGATATTATGGATTTTTGGAAAAAGTATTTAGTGACAATATTATCGATTTTTTTTTTTGTTTAGTTCAAGTTAAGACTTATTTATGCTTTTGCCAATGTATTTGTTGTTTGATTTACACGCGCACACACATACAGAGTATTCTATATAATAGATTCATTATCCAAATTCCAATAGATTCTCTTTTGGAGACGATTTTTCGTAATAAAAAATAAAAATCGGGAGAATCATCATTTTTTTCAAGCTTCAACTTTTGCTATTTATAATTTAGTTTTAAATTAAGAAACTATTTTAATCAATTTGTTTATTCTATGAAGTAGGTTTGAAATTAATTAAACATAGTGATCTTTCAAAATCTACATAGTTTAGTTTGCAAAAAACCTCCCCTTTTTTTTAATTGTTTATGATTCGAAAATTGATGCTCGACACTTTTGCTGTGAAAAAGTCCTTCTGAAAAATTAGTCGGAGAATCTATTAAAAATAATATACAGTAGTTTTGAGACATCTTATATAAACGTATATTTACATTATGTCCATGTAAATGTATAAATTGTACTTTTATTCTTTTGTAGTTGATATTGGTGCTGCTGGTGATTCTAAACTAGTAACTGGCAAAGGTAGCATGACGCATGGTGATACACAACAGCAGCAAGCAACAACAAGTGCACAATCCCAGGTATTACAATTATATATATAAATTATTCATACAGTTATTAAGCATATCTGTAGATTTTGATTTCATATCTCATTTCTGTCAATTTGTGAAAAATAATTTTTCCCCCCTTTAGTTATCTCAACTTACTTTGAGAGATACATTACATACGGCAAAAACCTCTGGAAAAGCAAAAATGTCATCTGAGGCAATGAAACAATATCAGCTTTCTATACCGAAAAGGCAGAATCCTTTGAAAGCCGGAACACTAGGAATACCGATTAAAGTTTATACGAATATGTTTGAAATTATATTTAATCAAGATTTTGTAACAAATGCTGTTCATTATGATGTAGACATTACACCTACTGCTTCAAAAGCTATATATAGAAAAATTTTTGAACAATGTAGGTTTCAAAATTTTAGTAACAGATATCCGGCATTTGATGGCAAGAAAAATGCATATAGTGCAAATGATCTTCCTTTTGACGATTCGGTACGTAATATATAGCATATATGCATATTTTTAGTAATACAATTATCTATAAAATAAGACTTCTGATTTTATTTCATGAATGTTTAATTTTGAAATAAATACGAGCTATAAATTTTTTATTAGTTTTTTTAATTGCACTAAATTTTTTTCATTCTATTCAGATGCAGAACGAACTTGAAGTTTGTGTTTATGAAGATGAATATGATAGAGTAATGAAGACATACAAGATTACTTTAAAGAAAGTGGGTAATATCGATCTTAAGTGGATAAAAAATTTAAAACCTGGTCTTGATGAGGCTAACAGAGATCAAACTGGTATACAAGTTCTGGATGTCATCATGCGTCATGCACCTGAGTCACAATTTTTGAGTGTAAGCAGTTAATAGTAATATGATTATAATTAATATACTAATTTTTATACTAATATGCAAGGTTGGGTAGTAACTAGTTCAAAGTTAATAAAAGAGTTAATAATTTTAATTCTTTTAAAAGAGTTAATAATTTTTAATTTAGCTTAGTTAATTTAAAATAAATTAATTTTTAATTTTAACTAGTTATTTTTAAATTTAAACTTATTAATCTTTTACTAAATTAAAAATTTTTGACATCTGAATATTTCATTACATTTTGTTATTTTAAATATTGGACAATTAAATTTTAACAAGAACATCATTCTATGATGTATATCATTCTTACAAATATTATAAAATAAATAAAGGTACTATTAGTTTTTACTTTTTTTATAATTAGTGTTACAGAAAAATATATTTTTATATCAAAAACTAAATTTTTTGTTATTTTGTTATTTATTTTATATAAATTAAAAAAAAATAAAGTATTAAATTAAAAAATTTTTAAATTATGACATTTATAAATAATATTTTCAAGAATGTTAGTTTTTTGTTCATGTAAATTTTAATTGAATTAATTATTTTATAAACCATTAACTTCAACTTTATTTAATTTTAAAAAATAATTAATTTAACCAACCCTGCTAATATGTTATAATACAAGCACTGTGTGTGAAAAGTTAATCGCACATTTGTGTATAAAGAAATATATAATATAATATATATAATATAATATAATATTGTTTAAATTTTAAAAACATACTTTTTCTTTTACAAATTTATATTTTATATGTGTTGTATAGATATTTCTATATAACAAACACAATGCTTTTATTAATTTATATTGAATTGTTTGTTTTCATAACAAGCAACTAGGGTATGTATATTGGAGAATCTCAAAGTCCATTTAAAACTTTGAGGTTGGAAAATATCTTATAAATTACGATTTAACAGAAAGAAGAGAAATATATGTGCATAATGCGTGATTTACAATATAAAATATTAAATATTATAAATTACGATTTAATAGAAAGAAGAGAAATATACGTGCATATAATGCGTGATTTACAATATAAAATATTAAATATTATAAATTACGATTTAATAGAAAGAAGAGAAATATATGTGCATAATGCATGATTTATAATATAAAATATGTATGATTTACAATATGAAATATTAAATATTATAAATTACGATTTAATATAAAGAAGAGAAAAATATGTGCATAATGCATGTGATTTACATATAAAATATATTATGTGTGATTTATGATATAAAATATTAAATATTATGCAATATTATATATAAAAATACTTTATATTTAAATATTTTAGATTGTAAATCGCACATATATATTTTTAAATATTTATCTTATTATAGGTTGGAAGATCACTATATTGGGATTTTGATAGTGGACAGTCATTAACCGGTGGTTTAAGTCTCTCACGCGGCGGATTTTCAACTGCTGTACTCGGCTGGAAACCATTAATAAATATAGATAGTAAAAAAATTATATTAATTGACACATCACGATACAAAGGCTTTACACAAACTTTTGTGTTTTATAAATTCTTTCTACATTAAATATTCTTTATTTATGCCTAATATTTATTGTATTTCTCTTTTTTTAGTTGCTCACAAAGGGTTTCCAACAGCTCAGAATGTTTTGTCTTTAATGGCCGAGTTTACGCAAGAAGAGGTTCCAAGTCCACAAGAAGTGAATAAGAGATGGAATCGAGAAAAAATCGAAAAATTTTTGAAGGGTTTAAAAATCATTTATCAAATGAAAATAAAGGGTAAAGGGCTCACAAAGCGAACGTATCGCGTCAACGGATTAGGTCCATCTGCCGTTGAACATCGATTCAGCCATGAAAATCAAATGATGTCAATACAGCAATATTTTATGAAATACAAGGAGTACAATTTGCAATATCCCCATTTGCCTTGTCTCTGGGTGGGCGCGACGAACAGACCTGAGAAGATTTTTTTGCCTGCCGAAGTGCGTGAGCCATTTTATTATATATTTTGCTGCAAATAATCGAGTAAGTCTAAAAAATTAAAATATTGCTTCAAACGTTTACAGTTATGTGCCGTCATGCCTAAGCAGGCTGTTAACAGAAAGTTAGATGAAGAGCAAACCACCAAGATGATTAAATATGCAGCGACGGATGCACCTACTCGTAAATACAGAATAGAACAGGCAGTAAGGCAGATATCATATTGTTACATTAAAAATATTTATGTCATAATTTATTATATAATATTGTATATTTGTAGTTTCGAAAGATTGATGTGAATAATAGTCCTGTTATGAGAAACGAGTTTCATCTGTCCGTCCGCCCGGAAATGAAACAAGTGGCTGCTAGGGTTTTACCTCCTCCAGATTTACAATATAACAACAAAAAAGGAATAGTGAGGCAAGGAATTTGGAAAATGCAAGCATTTCAGCAGGCCAGTAATTTGAATAAAGGCACATGGACTATACTTGATTTGAGTGACTCTAAAAGAGACACACATTACATACATGAATTTGCAATGTCATTGATGGATTATGGTTAGTATCTGAAAAATTAAATTTAAAAAAAAGATGGAATAGACATAGGATTTTGGCTTTCATAGAATTGTTTTTTTTTTTTTTCATTTTTTTTCTATTTCCCATATGTTGTAGCTTATGTCCTGCTAAACAAAAAATGTAATAGCATCAAGGCTAAATATTAGATAGTTACTGGTCAAACAACTCGCAAAGTCCTAATTTTTCGTGTTTGGTTGTAAATCAATATGTATTTGGTGCAGGGTCCTTTTTTTCCATATTGTTTCTACAACAAATATAATACATTTGTCTATTACTATAATTTATATTGAACCGTTTGTTTTCATAGCAAGTGAAGTTGGTATGAATATTGAAGAGCCCCAAAGTCCATTTAGACAGCTGAGGTCGAGTAATATATCAGAGATCCACAATTACTTTGGATCAAAGAAAGATTTGAAATTGATAATAGTGATTATATCAGATCGTATGGATACAACATACGGTGAGAACATAATTTTCCAAAATCTTTTCTCAGTTGAATGCCAACTTGAAATTACTTATATGTTTCAGGCAAAGTAAAACAGATTACCGAGTTGTCAGTAGGTATTCTAACGCAATGTATAAAGTTCCGAACTGCAACAAAGAACAATTACATAACAGTGAAAAACATTCTTCTAAAGATAAATTCGAAACTAAATGGAATTAACCATACACTCCATTCAGCGTCTATGTAAATACCTGTTTTTTTATTGTTTCATGAGAGAGAGGACATAATTTTCAATAGTTTCGAGAAATCATTTTTTTTCCTTCTTTTTTTAGGCCAAAAATTTTGAAGAATAATGATTGTATGATTGTTGGTGCTGATGTAACACATCCGTCTCCTGATGCTATTAATATACCTTCTATAGCAGCGGTGAGTATAACTGTTTGGTTTAACCAGAGTGTATACTCCCTGGAAAAATCTGAAAAATCTAGAATTCTCAGGGAATTTTTTTCTACCTTGAAAAATCCTGGAATACTCTCATGGAATTTATTTTGAACTCGGAGAATTTTAAAAAAAATTGCCTCTTTGATTTTATTTTCAAATATAGGTACCTTTAAAAAATATAAAATTTATTAGGTTCATATAAAGTATATTAAAATATATTTTATTATAAAATATTATATTAAAAAATATTTTATTTATGTTAAAAAATTATGTATAACAAAAATATACTTAATTTAAAATTTTTTTTTTTAATACTTTAAAGTTACTTGGAATTTTGAACAAAAGTACCTGGAAAATCATGGAATTTATTTATAAGATTTGAGTATACACTCTGTAAACGATACTTTTCCTTTATATCCTCTTGAAACATGAAGTGTGATGACTTATCTACAAATATCTACGGATCCTTTAATAATAATGTAATTAATTTAGGTTGCCGCAAGCAGTAATCATTCCGCCTTCCAATACAACATTGCACTTAGACTTCAGCCACCCAAAGAAGAGATGATCTTGGATATTGAACAAATAATAATATCGCAGCTGCATATTTATAAGAGCAAAACAAAATGTCTACCAAATAAAATCATCTATTACCGGTATGTATTTCCCGTGATATTTCCTAATGATATTATTTGACGTTATGCGTAATATTTTTAAGATTATAAACTGTCGCATAATTTATAATCACACACGTATATTTCAATATATAGAGATGGGGTCAGCGAAGGTCAGCTCGCTCAAGTTATGTACCATGAAATTAATGCCATTAAACGTGCGTGCAATAGAGTGAAAGCCCCTAATATTCAAATTACTTGTCTTGTTGTTCAAAAGAGACATCATGTGCGTCTTTTTCCAACAAATGATAAAGAATCGGACGACAAAAATAAGAACGTGAGAGCAGGCACAATTGTAGATACTGAAATAACGCATCCAAATCATATTGATTTTTATCTCGTCTCGCATGCGAGTATTCAGGTAAAGTTGCCGTTTAGAAAAATAAAATTTGTTTATATAGCTAAATAAATTTCAACGATAAAAACAGTGAATATATCGATAGGAAAATCGATACAATAATAATTAAGGCTCCTGAGTTCTTAGCCATATTAGATTGTGACGTATTTCGATGAGACATTATTTTAGATGGCTTCAGTACACTTTTTATTTCGAAATGGCATCTAAGAATTTTTAGCGTGTGCTTTCTCGCCTCTGACGTCACAATTCCAACATGATCGATGAGGAGCCAGGAGTCTTAAAGTACTTCGATAATCAATTTTATACAAATGTCCTCATTAAATAACGTTTATACCACATAAATACAGGGTACAGCAAGGCCTACAAAATACAGATGCATATGCAACGACTCTCAATATACGGAGGATGATATCGAGCAACTAACGTATTATCTCTGTCACATGTATGCTCGATGTACAAGAGCAGTAAGCTATCCGGCACCAACTTACTATGCTCATTTAGGTGCTTACCGTGGAAGAGCATTGATACAAGGGTAAGTGATCGATCATGATGTACATCAATTATGCTTTTGATATATAATTTAAGCAGCAATGTTTCAACTTGCAGAGTTGACATTCGCATGGAGCAATTAGAACAGGAACAGAATAAATTGTACATGAAAATCTCGGAAAATTCGCCAATGTGTTTCGTTTAAAAGGGGACAACCTGTGTGTTTTCCGAAGATTTTCAACGATTTGCTGCATCCGACAGATTTGATGTCTCTAAGTATAAGTTCATATTAATACTTTAGATTTATTTGACTCGTTTTCTATTTCAATCGGTCGTAACCGTGGTTGCAGTGAAAATGTCGGTGAATATGGAATATCAATTCAATTGATATTTTATATTCCATATTCATTTGATGAAAAAGTGTTAATATACAATCAATCAGTTTTTCATTTTTGCTTGCCTACATTTTATATTGCTAATTATAATTTTCTTGAATAAGAAAATCTTGACAATGATTTATGATGATCATAAGTATTTTTTTGATATTATTATTACTGATGTCAAGATTTTTTTTATTGCTAATTTTTAATTTTTAGATATCATTACTCTGAATTATTACTATTATTAAAAATATAATAATATTTTACATACACGCGCGTGCGTGTATTTGTGCAATTTAATTTTGCAAAAAGTTTGCCTTTTCTCTTTTTTATTATCTATAATTTTATATTCCAAAAATAACAATTTTGTAATTGTTTATACTATTAATTATAGTACAAACGATATCACGTGATTGTTTCTGCATGCAATTGTACAATTACAGGTACAAATTATTGTCAATCAAACTTATTGTTTATACAATTGTAAAATTTTATTATTTTTTATAAATGTAATACAGCATTGATCGATACCTGTTTTGTGCATTTGCATGAATTTGTGCGAATTACGAAGAAACATTTCACAGGATTTTAATATAAAATCATACGAATGAGGTTTCCTAATTTTTGACTATTTCATTCTCACATTTTTGTAAACAGAGCTATAAAAGAAAGAGATAATTAAGGAATTATTTCTAAAATTATATAATTTTAACGCATATATATGCGAAAAATCAATAAGCTAAAAAAAGATGATCATATATATATATATAAAATAAAAGGAAATTATATCTCAAAAATGTAAAAATTTCAATGCATATATATGCGTTAGAGAAAAATCAATAAGCTAAAGAAAAAGATATTGTTTATCATATATATCAAATAAAAGGAAATTATATCAAAATTGTTTTAAATACTTGTAAAGATTTCAATGCATTTACTGGTGTATGTATCGCATTTTATAAAGATTATATTACAGGCTTCGATAGTCCTTTCTTTCAATTAGAGGATTACAGAGACAATCGGAGGATAGAAATGGAAGGATGCCGACTAGAAGAAGAAACGAGGAAAAAAAGGAAGTTCGAGAAGAAATAATTTACAACGCGACACCCACACGTGGTTTTCACGATGAGGCCATGTATGGACACGTGACGTCAACGTTACTTTTGCGTTTATCAACGTGTGCATGCTCGTGTAGGCGCTCGACGGGGCATAGAAGGTAAAGTCCGTGGGAGAAGAGGACTGAAGAATCGGGGCCTCGAACATATCCCGGAGATCGATCGATCAATCGATCGATGATCACATCCTTCGAATTTGACCCAATCCGTTCCATTGATCTCCGGACGATTTCTCGAACGGAAGATGGATTTGTGCGTAAACGATGTGGAACGGGATCTAAAAATAAAAACACGTTTTGCATTCTGGAATTCGTGCTTGTCTAAGTCGATCTAATTTCATCTGATAATTTTTTACTTCCTATTTACATTAATTTGTATAATAATTTTTATAATAATATATTGTATAATATATATTTTATAATATATATTTTATAATATATTTTTATAAGAATAGTAATATATAAAATTATATAATAATTGTTATGATAATATATTGTATAATATATATTTTATAATATATTTTTATAAGAAGAATAGTAATGTATAAAATTGTATAGTATAATTTTATACATTATCTTTCGCCAGATGCGTGTAATTAGATTTTATCTGTAGAAACGTTTGTTTATTCTTGTAACACAGGATGCAGAAGTGTGATTTTTATTTTTAGAGATCCGATTTTTGTTTCGCTGTGAAAGGGAAACAAAGGCACGATCATTTTAAAATAGCGTAATAGTGGGCAAGCGGAAACCCCGACGAGCTCTTTGGTGATTTTAACATAGATTCAACGGGTGTCTTCAAAATTTCACACAAAGATATTTGTTTTGGAAAACCTTGAAAATCTGCTGATTTTATTTGCATTTGAATGAATCGAGATCGGCTGCCACCTTCCGCTAATTATGATTCTGAGTTTTTAAATGTAAATAAGCGTCGATTGTCAACTGAATGTCGATTACGAACCGAGTCACGCTATCTCGTTTCTCTTTTCCGCGCGCTTAAATCGCGTGCGTGCTCTTTGCAGCGACTTGTAAGGACAAACTGGCGGAAAACACGCACCGTTGACAGCATTAATTGTACCTCGCAATCTCGGCACTTCCATCGGCGTTCTACCTGGGAAAAGGTTGCATTCAGTAGCATTTCCCGCGCAAAATTACTTTAATGCGAGTTCTATGTAATAAAAAAGATTGCTCCGATTAGAACGGAGGAACGAAATTTAGATTAAAAGAAAAGGCAATTATTCTTCAATTGTTCAGTTGGCAGAAGATCCTCTCGGAGGATCAGCTTCGTACACGACCTTGCAATGTCAACACAGTTATTTGGAGGGGTGTCTGTCGACTGAGATTGTCGATTCCTCTTGAAAAAAATGTATTGAAGTAAATGAAGACCGAGTGTCGCCGGTTTATTTGTATATCGTTAATGCATGAATCGCGGATAAATTTACCTTGTACGCTCGCGTCGTGATATATAGCGCGCATCGAAAAAAAGGCGGGTAGGTAGAGAATATTAATTATGCATTCTAAGGCACGCCGCTCCGAGATCGTAACCAAGTTGTTGATGTAATGCACCGATCTCTCTCGGCTTGGGAGAGGCCGATTGCGCCACTCAGGATATCTCATTGTGTGTGTGTTCGTGTGTACGGTCCATTTTTTTTCTTCCTCTTTTCTACTTCCACGAAGCTCTAGGAGCGGCTTCCCGCGGCTTTTCGCAAAGACGATTAAGCGCATTTTGTATTATTAATTATTCGTCATCAATCTTTCTCTTATTATTCATCCTCGAAAAATCTCGCGCGAAGGCAGGATCACATTTGTATGAGTAACTCGGTGCACAGCATCCCGAGCCAAGATTAAAAATTGTAATCGGAGAAGGTGCGCGAAAAATTCAAGCGGAAATTCTTTTTATAAACATAATTTAGAATTTATGCGTTGAAAAAAATGTATTGAATTCGAATATTTATTTCAATACTGCTTTATAAATCATTTATTTGAAATTATAAGAAAATCATTTTCAAAGCATCAATATTTATTTGTTTCAAATAAATAATATTTATAAGGCAGTATTGAAATATAAATCTTTATCAATTGTAATCGGAGAAAGTACACACGAAAAATTCAAGAGAACATTTTTTTTTATAAACATAACGTAGAATTCATGCACTGAAACAAATTTATTGAATTCGAATAAACATTTATTTCAATACCGCCTTATAAATCATTTATTCGAAACTAAATAATAAGAAAATCCATTTCGAAGCATACAAATATTTATAAGGCAGTGTTGAAAGAAATCTTTGTTAATTTAATAATTATTTTCCAGTGCTGTAAAAAAATTCGAATAAACATTTATTTCAATATACCTTATAAATCATTTATTCGAAACTAAATAATAAGAAAATTCATTTCGAAGCATACAAATATTTATAAGGCAGTGTTGAAAGAAATCTTTATTAATTTAATAATTATTTCCTAGTGCTGTAAAAAAATTCGAATAAACATTTATTTCAATATACCTTATAAATCATTTATTCGAAACTAAATAATAAGAAAATCCATTTCGAAGCATACAAATATTTATAAGGCAGTATTGGAATAAATCTTTATTAATTTAATAATTATTTCCTAGTGCTGTAAAAAATAATCTGTAGAAGGATTCATATCTAAAGAAAAAAAAGTCCTCGCCCCCGCACACACAGAACATAAGGAAGGACAGATGCACATATGTATGAATATATAACGTGGGCCTGAATTATCCGACTCTGCATGTATATCTGCGCGTCTCTCTCTCTCTCGCTCCTAGACTAGAAGCGCGCATGCAGAGGCCGTATATGGTAGTGGGCGGTAGCGAGACGGCGGTGACAGCTAGGCCGCGCATGCGCGGCGCGTCACTCGCGCGCCCTCGGGCGGACTCGGCTCGCGTCGGCGCGCGCACGTAGCTGCGCGAGCGCGGGCGGCGGGCGCGCTCAGTAGATCCGAGAGTTCCGTGGCGCGCGCGTGTTTTCTCCTCGAATCCCCCGCGAGTTCCGCTCTCTCCCTCCTCTTCGCGATCTACTGCGCGCGCGCGTACGTGGAGACATACGTTTCCTAAGAACGTAATAGTGCGAGGAAGAGGAGTGCATCGGTCCAAGATTTTTTTTTTCTCTCTCTCTCTCTCTCTCTCTCTCTCTCTCTGGAAAAATAAGAGAACTCGAGGAGCACTCGCGGACAACTTCACGACTCTCTCGGAGGAGTGTCGCCCTCGTGTGCTCTCTCTCTCTCCCCCCTCCTCCGCCGCGCCATACCGATCCCCCACCCACTCGCCGCGTTCTCCGGCTCTTCTCTTTGCGCGCTCCTTCGTCAGTTCGTCTCCGCCCGTCCGCGCCTGTCGTCGTGATTTACTCGGAGAGAGAACGATTCCGTCCCTTTCGACACCGCGCACCGTGGTGTGCTCTCTCTCTCTCTCTCATTTATTCACTTCTCTCTCTCTCTCTTTTCTCTCTCTCTCTCTCTCTCTCTCTCTCCCGTTGTGCATTATTAAGCGTGCCCGCGCGCGCCCAACACGCGCCAACATTCGCCATTGAAGCAACCGAGTACAATTTGCGATGTGTGATAATACTAACACCACGACGCAGAGTATAGCGGACTACCTGTCACAGTTGTTGAAGGACCGGAAGCAGCTAGCTGCCTTCCCGAATGTCTTCATACACGTGGAGCGTCTCCTGGACGAGGGTGAGTTTTGACAGCTCCTTTTTATTCTTTTGCTCCAGCGAAATCGCCGATCCAGAAGGTCGATCATAAAATTTCTCAGAAAAAAAAAAAAAATATATATATATATATATATATAAAAGTTTGAATAAATACTAGAATTTGTTTGCACACTTTATGATATAAAAAAATTAAATTAAATTAAAAAAAATGCGAAATCGGGAAAAATGCGAGTTGATCGATATCGTTAAACTTTGACGCGCCATTTTGCGTTCCTCGCGATGAGAGAATGAATTCTTTTTTTTTTATGCTCTTTTATCGCGATCGAGTGATGTAACGCGAGTATCGCGTGCTGCCTCTCTCTCTCTCTCTCTCTCTTTCTCTCTCGTCGGCGATCTGTCGTCGGGGAGAGACTTGTTATTTCTTTTTCGCGCCGATTGTGTTTGCCCATCTGGATTTTGCGATTTTAGCTTAGTGCGTGAATTTCGCATCAAATTCGTCATCGGCTCGAAATATCACCGATCGGCCCCTAAATTCTATCAGCGAATTCCTGCGGCGCTGCGTTATGCGAATAAAGTTTATATAGGGTGTCCCGGAAAACTTTGGCCTCCTATCATTTTTAACAACGAAGATTTCTTTATGAGATCCTGAATGCGTATATATGGACCTATTTATATATTTTTTTTAAGTTAATTGAACATATACAAATATTTAAATTAAATTAATTATACGATTTTTTTTATAGAGAATTAAAGGTATAAAAAAATCGTATAATTAATTTAATTTAAATATTTTTATATGTTCAATTAACAAAATAATATTTAGTTGAACGATTTAGTCAAGTTAACAATTTTTTTTTCAGTGTTAGGTACCAAAACTTACTTACATTAATGTATCGTCATTAATTAATTACATCAACACAAGACACGTGTGCTAGAAAAAATAAAGACGCAGATACTTATTGTTAGATATTTTTAACATATCGCCCTGTGATAATTTTTTGATAACAGCTGCTAGGACATACCAAACATTCTTTTCTATTATATCTTCAAAGAAAAGTTTCGACATACATTTTTAACATTTAAAGAGTCGCCTCAAGGTACCCGGGTACTGCAAACAATAATAATTACACAACAATTTTGAAAAATTAAAGTTTGATATTGAAGACATTAAGAAAATAATTTGCATTATTTCTAGATATAAAAAAAAAAATTATGAATATTTAAATAAAAATATTAAATTAATTATACATAATTATTGATAAATTTTTAAAAATTATATGTATATTTATATATGTACACCTAATCGGCTTCATTCCATTTCACGGTACGCATATTACGAAAGCGACACGAAGGTCTCCCCGTTTATTGCGTCGCTCGAGCGCGCGAAGGAATCTCCCTCCCTCTTCCTCTTCCCTCGTCATCTTTCTCTCTCTCGTTCTTTTTCTCTCCCACGAGGATGTGAAACACCCTGGGCGAGTGTCGCGATTTAGTAAAAAATTAGTTAAAAATCAGTAAAAATTAAGCATATTTTGAATAAACACTGGAATTTATACAAAAAAAATAAAATTAATTAACTTACTAATTTTTTAATAATTTGTTAATATAAAAAAAATGAAAATAATAAAATAACAAAAAATTAAATTTACAAAAATTTTTAATTATGCATAATTTTAATTATGTGTGTGTGTGTGTGTGTCACGTGGCCGGCACGAGAAAAAAGAAATGTGAACGTGAAATGGAAACCGGAGCAGAGACAGGCTTTTCTGCATCGCGTCAGCAAACCCTGAAAATTAATCTGCAATCGAGCGCATTCATTTTCCGCGATATCAAATATCAGAATAAAAATAAAGACACAAAATAATTTAAAAAAAATTATTTTAAGTGTGTAAAAAATGAAAAAAAAAATAAAATAAAATAAAAGAAATAAAATGAGATCAGAAATTTCATGTTGTTTCAGAAAGAAAAATATCAAACCGAAAAATTTTACCGAAATCCCTCTCATTATAATATGCATAAAAAATTACTTTTATTAACAAAAATAAATATTGCGCGAAAATTGATTCTGGCGCTCTTTTTTTTATTGGAAGCTGATGTTTATTTTTTAGAGCCGGTGTTTGAGACATCATTACTGCGTTACTCGTCGTGCAATATGGAAATTACGAAATAGATGAATGATAGGCAGGTAGTTTTGCATCTGACATTTATGACAGTCGCGTCTCTAATAGCAGATACGAAATAAGGTAATACACACACAAGGAGAACCTCTCCCACGTTATTCATACTTGCGATGTCATGCGCATACGATAAATAATCGCGGATTCGTTCGCGTGTTCAAAAATAGCCAAGGGGAGAATACATTATTTTCTATTATTTCTTCTCTTTTTAATTCTCATATTTTTTCAAGATTTTTGATTTATTTTTTTTTTCAAATAAAATATCTCGTTATTCCTTCCCTTCAGGAAAGTAAAAAAGTAAAAACCGCATTGTACATTATTTCGTATTATTTCTTCTCTTTTTCTCATTTTTTTCAATTTTTTTTTATTTAAAAAATTATTTTTTTATTTTTTATTTATTTATTTTATTTTTTTTAATGAAATATCTCGTTATTCCTTCCCTTCAGGAAGGTAAAAAAGTAAAAACCGCATTGTACATTATTTCTTTTCTTTTCTCATATTTTTTGCAAGATTTTTTTATTTAAAAAATTTTTTAAAAATTTATTTTTGAGACAAAATATCTCGATTTTCCTTCCCTTCGGAAGGTATAAAAATGTAAAAACCGCATTGTCCGTGGATGCGGTCGACCGTCTGTTTAAACCCTCTTCTCGATCAATTGACAAATAAAGACAGGCGAGGATTTTGAGGTCCCGACGATGACGTAATATAATGCTGGTCGATGATGCGGGACACGAAATCGGAAGTGGGTCCGATTATAGAAAAAAAGGCCGGTAAATACCTCGAGGATTAACTTTCTCCGCCAGCTTGTCGCTCGGTTTCGTCATGGCAACAAATTAAGAGCTTATAGAACAGCTTCGTGTCTCGTGATGCTAGAAATTCCTACAACCTTACAAAATAATCGTTCGATCGGTCGAACGAAATTCGATATTCTCTATTCCCTATGAGACAGATAAAAAGGATGTACACGGCTTATCGCCGCAAGATAAACTTCTTTTTTTTCTATGTAAAATCTTGCATTTTTTGGATTTTTTTGGTTTCGGAAAAAAATTAAAAAAGGACTTGGCACACCACATCGACGTTTTATACTTGAACTGCGTTATTTACTCGCATATCTGCGTGTTTTGGAATCGATTTCAATGATAAGGCAACACAGCGCAAGTGAAAGGAACGTAGTATGTATGCGTAAATATTTATTTGTCAGCTCGTTATATACATACAATATTATACACATAAATCTATGTATATATATATATATATATTATTTATTTATACAGGGTGTTCTATTTTAAATAATTTATATATATTATATATATATTATTATTTTATATACATGTATATATATTTTATTATATTTTAATAATTATATATATATATATATATATATATATTTCGAAAATACAAAAATTGTAGAGTTTCGAGATTATCATTATTTTTTTACATGAAACCACTATAATTTTCTTGCATAAATCAATTTCTCGTAAAATATTTGGCGGAAAAAATTTGTTAGAGTTGAATAATCGAAAATTGAATGATTTACTTACGAGATATTTTATCTTTCATTCTGACACATTTTGAACAAAAACAATGAAATATCTCATAATATATTTATTTTTTAATAAACTTATCATAATTTTTTTTGCTTATTAGTAAAATTTGATAAATCAGTTGATGTAAGAAAAACATACTCTTCTGATTTAAAAAAATTTACAAAGTAATAATTGTACACTTTTTCAAATGACATTTTTTACATCAATTTGCTTTATCTCATTATTTTATCCAGAAAATTATTAAGACAAGATTATTGAAAAATGAGTACATTATGGGATATATATTTAATACTTTTTATCAAAAACATATATCAGAATAAAGCATAAAACATCTCGTAAATTATTCATTTTTCGACTATTTTATTCTAACAATTTTTTATGCCAAATATTACGATTTATAAAAAATAGTATAATCAAAATTATTATGGTGATTCCACTTAAAATAATAAAGGCTTTTTATTATTATTATTAATTTATTATTAATGGAATGTTAAAAATATATGTTTACTTGGAATGAAACTATGTTTATAACAAATAACCCCTTCAACAATCTACAACTTTTATATAAAACATTTTTTGATGAGAAGCCTCGATTTTGTGAAATAATATTACACTGTAAAAAATATGTAAAATTACATAAAAATTTGTTAAATTACATAAAAAAATATTTAAAATTACATAAAAATAAGTGTAAAATTACACTTGATAATTAATATTTAAAAATGTATAAATTTTCATTATTTATGGTGTAATTTTACATGTAATTATTCGTGTAATTTTACATATACATATTTTTCTGTAATATATTACAGAAACATTTTTTTACAGCGATAGGGTACCCTGTATTCACCATTAAACGATCGCATAGTTGTTCCCAAAAAATATGCAAAATTACATAAAAATATGTAAAATTACATAAAATAAATGTAAAATTACACTTGATAATTAATATCTAAAAATGTATAGATTTTCATTATGTATGGTGTAATTTTACATGTAATTATTCATGTAATTTTACATTTACATATTTTTCTGTAATATATTACAGAAACATTTTTTTACAGCGATAGGATACCCTGTATCCTATCGGTCCACCATTAAACGATCGCGTAGTTGTTCCCCTTTCGATATTTCGTAGGCGAGGCCGATGTTTGTCGTCGACTTTCGTCGGCGGAAAACCGACAACGACAACAAGGATCGGCGAATCCCCGAGTACGCAGAAAAGACGCTGACCTCGCCGCGCCGTAAAACCGCTTCGCAGATTCCCTCTCCCTCTGAATTCTCGGTTGTACTCACCGTTC